TACCATCAGCTTGGCTCCAGCATTGCGTACAATGCGAATAATTACACAAGCTTTGAGAAATGATATGTGCGGTGTAAAGTGCCTTCAACGACAACAACGCCTCAGTCTAGTTATGGAAATTTTATGCTAACGAAACAAATCACTGGTATCTATTCATCCTCGTGCCTCGGTGCTCTCTCCTTCGACCTTTTCTTCCTCAACCTTATCTCCCGATTCTGACTGTGGCTTTTCGTCCAATTTCTTCTGTTCCTCACGAAGCCTTATCCGTTCCATCGCAGCCTCTCTCTTCATTTGCTTCTTGCTTGTCTTCAGCTCAGTATCGGGCTTAACGACCTTGGCGGATGGCCATTGATCCCGGCATTTCTGTTCATCTTCTTCAGACCAAGCCCGAGGCAGGATGGCAAAGACTAGATATGACGTGTGAGTTCGGAGGTCCGGCTCTGACCGATGCGTCAAACGACCCTGAGCATATTCGGGGACCTCGGTCTTCTCTTTATAGAATGGTGTCTCCTTCGCAATTGGCTGATAATCTGGCTGGTCTTTGGTCAATCGGTTCTCACGGATGAGCTTGGCACGTTGTTCATCACTGCGAAGCTTTGCGACTGCCTCCTCGACGGTCTTGGGATACATTGTAGCTCCGCGCACGCCCTCGGTATCCAGCCCGATACGATCCCGCTTAACATCGAGACGACGCTGCGCGACTTCAACCATTGAAATATTGAGCCATGATAGCTTGCGCATAGTGCGGATTGTACGCTCTGCCTGCTCGAGGCAGGGAGAGAATGTGCAGAGATAAGCGGGCGACTCAGGGTCGAGAGCGGATTCCTGTCCAGGGGGCGGATTGCGGACGAGATGTTTCAGCGCGAGCCAGGGAGCAGGAAGATCCAGGAAGATGGCACTGGCTTTCGGCGATTTGCCAGTTTTGGGGTCGCCTAGCAGAAAGCCGTCCTCGTAGACATCGCGATGCGTAGCCTCCACTATCCCAGCAAGACCGTGGTCTCTGAGTTCTTGCTGCACTTTGGCCGCGCGCAGTTCGTGGAATTCGAAACTGCATACCTTTCCTAGTCGTTGCCGCTTTGTCGCATCTTCTGTCCCGGGATACCCATTGAAAACGGCGCGAGCGGAGGCGTGTGTGAACGAGCCGCTGCCGGCTCCAGCTTCAATGACTGTACAGCCCGGCCGTGCACGGAGTCGGTGGAGGATGTAGCTGTAGTCTGGGGTGTAGACGACCTGCGTGCGGTGTGGAAGAGATATGGTCCAGGCTTCGGGGGTCGGGGCGAGGATGTGTAGGAATCCGCTCTCCGCAGAGACGGGTGCTCTAAATGATGGCTTCTTCTTCTCTTCCTCTCCACCAGTTGTTGTTGCCTCCGCATCGAGCTCCTCGGCTTTGCGCTTAGCGGATTTGTTGCGACCGCGCGAGCCCGTGTCGACTATTGAAGCGACAACCTGCGCGCCCCAGGCTTTCCCAATCAGAGTGCTGTGTGGGAATGAGCCGAAGCGGGTATTGGTGACCTTTCCTTCCCAATAGCCTTGGTTCTCATCGTCATGGTCGCGCAGGATCGTCGGAATGATCTGGTCGCGACGCAGCTGCAAAAGGGCGAGGTTATCTGTGTCGGCTACAGCGCTCCGGGTGAGAAATGGGGACGTCATGGTGAGCGATATCAATCAGGATAATGAGTATTGACAATCCTTAACTTGAGGCTGGAAGTCGTCGCCTCTCCGCAAAGAAAAAAGGCTATCATGCTCATTGCCTGATCGGGCCACGAATTAGGGCTCAGGGCTCGGTCCTCCCATCCCCAGTTACCGCCAATCACAGCGAGTCCGCAGTTGATGGATGAGTCGATCTGGTCCTGACAAGAGCCCCTCCCCCTCCATTGCGTTTGTTTCTCTCTTTATGCTCTCCCCCCGACCCTCCCTCCTTCCCTTTCCTTTCTTTACACCGTCCAAACAGCGGTTTTTATTGTCGGTCACATCTTTCAGGTTCATGTCTTCTCGCCAACAGCCGCCATGGCGGCAACCGGCCTCTAGCCCGGACGTGCAGCTGCCTCCATTGAAGGTGTGGAACTCTTTGACCAAGTCTAAGACGCCCTTCGTCCCGATCGACCCCGCGGGTAAGAAAGTTGTGTGGTACGCGTGCGGACCGACTGTTTACGACGATGCGCATCTTGGACATGCCCGAAACTACGTTAGCACCGATATTATTCGGCGAATTATGCGCGACTACTTCAAGTTTGATGTCAACTTCGTTATGAACATTACAGACGTGGACGACAAGGTATGACTTATAGTTGTGTATATAGATACAACCTCACGCGCAGTGACTCACCAACCCCATAGATCATCCTCCGCGCTAGACAACAACACCTGTTTAACGAATTCGTCGCCGTCAACCCTACGATTACCTCGGAGGTCCTAGATACCGTCAAATGTGCCTTTGTTGCCTACTTAAAGAAGAATCTTCCCTTGCTCGACTCCGAACTCCCTCCGTCGCGGTACCAGGATGAGGTTGAAAAAATCTATGCGACTATCTTAAACGGTGGAGCTTTGCCAGGAAACGAGAAGGCAGGTGATGATGAGGCTAAGGTTAAGATGCATATCAAGACGGCTGCCTCCGCCGCAAAAGTCATCGCGCAGGCAGAATCCCGTGATGGCTCGAGCGCCGACCCTGCTCTCTTTGCTGAGTCGTTCTATTCGAGTGCGCAGGATCTCATTTTGCCTTACCTCGATGCCCTGAAGGGCGCATTGGTTGATGCGAACGATCACAGTATCTTCACCAAGTTGACTAAGAGATATGAGGACCGGTTCATCAAGGACATGCGCGACCTGAACGTTCTTGATCCCACTGAATTGACTCGTGTGACAGAATATGGTGATGATATTGCCGCATTCGTGGATCGCATTGTTAAGAACAAATTCGGATATGCTACAAAGGATGGATCGGTGTACTTTGATATCAATGCCTTCGAAGCTGCGGGCCACCCGTACGCTCGACTTGAGCCATGGAGTCGATCAGACAACAAATTGGCTGCAGAGGGCGAAGGCTCTTTGGCTAGCAAAACGACAGAGAAGCGTGGTGCTTCCGATTTCGCTCTCTGGAAGTCGTCCAAGCCAGGCGAGCCCGCCTGGTCCAGTACCTGGGGCAAGGGCCGTCCTGGTTGGCACATCGAATGCTCAGCCATGGCATCAGCTCGGCTGGGCAACCAGATGGATATTCACTCTGGTGGTATTGATCTTGCCTTCCCGCACCACGACAATGAGCTAGCCCAGAGTGAAGCATACTGGCACGGTGACCACGGCCATGACCAATGGGTTAACTACTTCCTTCACATGGGCCATCTGTCCATTCAAGGATCCAAGATGTCCAAGTCGCTGAAGAACTTCACTACCATCCGAGAGGCGCTTGATCGCAAAGACTGGACGCCGAGAAGTCTGCGCATTGTTTTCCTCCTGGGTAGCTGGAAGGACGGCGTTGAGATCACAGAGGATCTGGTAAACACTGGCAGCTCATGGGAGGAGAAGGTGAACAACTTTTTCCTCAAGGTGAAGGATCCTGCGGCTCTCCAGTCGTCAGGCACCGACACCACCTTTGCTACTGACCTGGAAGCCGCTAAGAAGGCAGTCGACGACCAGCTCTGCGATTCTTTCAACACTGCTGCTGCCATGGCATCGATCTCAGAACTTATCTCCAAGTTCAACATTGTTGACAAGGCCACCGTGCCCTCTAAGGACGTTCATGCTGCAGCCCAATGGGTTACCTACATGGTGAACATTTTCGGTCTTAACGGCACCGCCTCGGCTGATAGCACTGAAATTGGCTGGTCTGGTATTGAAATACCCGAGGAGGCCAAGCCCTACTTGTACCCTCTGTCGGCTATGCGTGACACTCTCCGTGAAGCCGCGCGGTCCAAGGCCGGAATCTCCGCCAAGGATATCGAGGCGGCAGTTGCCAAAGCATCGGCACCCCAAGAGGCTTCCGAGTCTGCCAAGCCATACGCTGAGCTTTTCTCCAACTTCCGTGCCAAGGTGGTGTCTTTGGAGTCATCCGATACTATTGGCAAGGATATTCTGTCTCTGTGCGACCGGGTGCGAGACATTGACCTCTTTGATGTCGGTATCGCTCTCGAGGATCGGGAGAACCAACCTGCCCTGGTCCGGCCAGTCACCCAAGAGATGCTCAAGGCGCGGGAAGAGAAGGAAATCCGGGCTCTCCAAAAGCAGGCCGAGAAGCTGAAGAAGGAGCAAGAAGCTCTCAAGAAGGCTGAGAAGGGCAAGCTAAGCCACCTGGAGATGTTCCGCACCAACGAGTACAGCGCCTGGGACGATGAAGGCATGCCTACCCGCGACACTGCGGGCGAGGAGATCACCAAGAGCCGGGCGAAGAAGCTCCGCAAAGACTGGGAGCGCCAGAAGAAGGCACATGAGGCGTGGTTGGCTACTCAGGCCAAATAGAGGCCAAAAACAAAAGAGAGCATTTGATTTTGAAATATCTAGCTTGATAGGTATCGGGTATTTTTACGGGTGGGTTTCCACTTTGCATCGCGAGGCGTTTCTGTCGGCATATATCCTTAACTTCTTATGCTATACAATGCGAATATTGCCTGATTGGGATTCTTTACCTTTTACTCCTCTTGATTTGCTATATTTCTACTAGTTAGTTGTTATGGCACGCTGTAAGTTTCATACACTCGTATCTCATACTTCCGTCATACTTTATAGCCCATCCCATGTTGCACCACAATATACATGCAGTAATAGATGCAGAGTTCATATTTAATGCATATGATTCATCAATACGGCCCACTATCAAGTCACTCGGGCCGACAAATCCGTGCCACCTGCGGAGTATAGTACCCCGGAAGCCCCCAATTAAAGGCTTTATGGGGTTGGAGAAAGCGGGATGCTCATTCCCCTCTTTGCTCTTCTCTTCTCTCTATCAGATCCTACCTATGCTCGTTTGCTAGCTCACGAATCTCAAATTTACCACCTACTCTACGCTCAAGATGGCAGTACAGACAGGTCTTGACTATATGCGTTTGCGCACGCAGATCGACTGTGATACGCTGGACGACGAAGGTACGCCAACTGACCCTTCTACATCGTAGAGATTATTATCAATCTCAAATAACTGACTACGTTTTAGTCGCCAAAACCCTGGGCCCATTCCAGGACTGTACTTCCAACCAAGTAAGCATATGAACATTCTACATAATTCGGTCATGAAACTGACTTTGCAGGCTATTGCACTTGGCGAGCTTTCTAAGCCAGAGCGGTCTAGAATCCTTGTGTTATCGCTGTCAGATGCGGCGATGCTACATCCGAAGTGGTCCATGGAGGTTGAAGAATTGGCTGTCGAGATTGCGGTGAGTTGTTGTTTTGATTATAGCATTGATGGGCTTGAAGAAGAAGTCGACTAACATCGGTTTGATAGATGGTTAGATTAGCTGTAGGAATGGCGAAACACATTCGTGGACGTGTCCATGTACAGGTTAATCCTTACTATTCGTACTCGTCGGAGAAGATTGTCGTCAATGCACTCCGTAAGTTTAACCCTCCTCCTTGGTACTTTTCTTGATCAGTTGAACCTCATGCTGATCACATTGTTCATAGGAATCGTGCAATTGTTCCAGCATGTCCAGCCCGGCTTCGACGCCACTCGCATTTGCATCAAGATTCCGAGTACATGGGAAGGAATGATGGCGTGTCGCACCCTTGAACTAGCTGGTGTGCATACTTTAGCAACCACTCTGTTCAGCATGACTCAAGCTGTACTCGCAGCTGAGGTAGGCTGTTCATATATCGCACCCTATGTGAACGAATTGAAAGTGCATGTGCAAGCAGGGTAAGCACCGAACTCTTTTTTGAAATCCCGTCTAACACTCAAAATCCTACTTAACACTTTTCCCATTTTAGTTTCGTGGATAAAGCGAAATTGCTCCCGCTTTGCGCTGCCATTCAGAAATATTACAAGTCCATCAATTCGCGCACCAAAGTCCTCCCTGCTAGCTTGACTTCAGTTGAGGAGATCTTCTTGCTTGCTGGGGTGGACCACCTGACTATTTCGCCGATTCTGTTGACACAATTGACTCAGCCTTATGTGAATATCAAGTCGCTATTTGATATAGAGGCGACACTTCCAATCCCGGCACGAGATGTCTCTTTCATCAACGATCCTGGAAATTACCAGATCACATTTACCCGGGACCAGGGTGGTGCTAGTCAGATCAAGTTGACTGAAGTAAGTGCATACATTCATCGGCCTTTAAGCTTCGCTGACAGAGATCAAGGCTATAAATATCTTTTGTGATGCCCAGGACAAGTTGGAGCTACTTATGAAGGGAGCTCTCTGAATTTTGGTAGCCCGTGATTGAGGCAATGCCATATTATTTCCGTAGTTTAATATTTCTTGAAATGAAAGGAAATGAAAGAAATGAAAGAAATCCGCACCTGAAATCCCTTGAAATGGCCTATACAAGGTTCTTATACTTCCAGTACACGTGACCACACGACGTCATCCATGGCTCCCATCTTTCATCTGTGGATTTCTCCAATTCTTTTCGCGCACCTCCAATTGCCTTATTTTCCACTTGCACAGAGCTGGGTCTCCCAGCTACTATATCTGTTTATATTGGTATTCTATTTTTACATCGTTTCACTTCCCAACCCTCTATTGAGAATACTTGACTCTGTATCGCACAGTTCGCCTGCAGGATGTTCCCTTCGCAGGCGGCTAATTTTAACATCGAGGCCCTCAGCGGCATTTGCGGGTAAGTTCAACAAGCTGAAAATCTCTTTTTTTCGTTTCATGTGTCTTTTTGTTAGCTGTCATGTTCGTTTAATGCACGCATGTGCGACATCGGATCTAGATCTACTTGGGCCGACGATCTCTGCATGTTTTGTTTTTCTTAATCTAATACTGACCAATCTAGATCCATTTCTATTGCCTGCTGGGTTGTCGTTTTCTCCCCTCAAATCATCGAGAACTTCCGACGTGGCTCTGCAGATGGCCTCTCTCTCATCTTCCTGATCATCTGGCTGGCTGGTGATGTGTTCAACATCTTAGGTGCCGTCCTACAAGGCGTGCTTCCTACCATGATCATCCTTGCGGTGTACTACACTTTAGCAGATATTGTTCTGCTGGGGCAGTGCTTCTACTACCGGGGGTTCAACTTCAAGGAGGAGCTATCTCCCTCGGCCACACCGGACCTTTTTGCAGCCGACAACGCAGAGCGGAATGGCGCCGAGAATCAACCCGCACCAACGGAGAGATCAGCCCTCATCCCGAAGCCCAACGCCCATGTCCAAATTGAAGACCCAACCATAAACGTAACTGGACAGCAACCTGAAGACCGTGCACGCCCACTCTCCGAAGAAAGACGGCACTCGGCAACCTCTTACCATGATATGTTCCACTCATCAGTAGACGCCACCCATCTATCACCTGCAACGCCCTTCGTCGAACCGACATCTGATTCCGCGCGGCGCCGTGCTCAACGCGTCCGCCGTCGCCGCATATCCGCCCTCCAATCCGTCCTTTTCAACCTCACCGCTGTCGCTCTAGTCTGTGCTGCAGGTGTGATGGGCTGGTTCGTCAGCCCAGCTGCAAAGTCACCATCACCGGACTCGGAACCTCTCGCTATGGATGTTCTGGGTCAGGTATTTGGCTATTTCTGTGCAGCCTTGTATCTTGGATCACGTCTGCCCCAGCTTCTCCTGAACTACCGCCGCAAATCAACGGATGGTGTTTCCCTGCTGTTCTTCCTCTTTGCTTGCATTGGCAACTTGACTTACGTGCTGTCTATTCTGGCATACTCGCCTATTTGCCGTGGTGGGTCTTCCGAGGAGATCATGGGGCACCGTCACCGTGCGCATTGTCGTCCTGGTGAGGCGGCTGCGCTGTATGGCCGGTATGTATTGGTGAACTTGTCGTGGTTGGTCGGCAGTGCTGGCACGCTGCTGCTGGATATGGCGATCTTTACGCAATTCTTCCTGTACCGCGATGACAAAGGTGATGAGGAGGAAGAGGAAGAGGAAGAGTAGATATACAAAAGTTAGATGTGATTTATTGCACATATACCAATGTTTGAATACAATATTGCAGAACTCCGACTCCTGTCTTTTCTGGTCTAGCCTTCTTTTGCAGACAACCCATGCAAGGTGAAATCCTAGAGCAAAGGGAAAAGGGCTCAGCTTATTGGTTCTTTTGTCTACATATGACACAGTTGGCCACACTTGTGGCCTTGTGACGGCTTTTTAGTAGTCTTTTTTTAAGATATTTCCCCCTCTTATTGGCGTTGTAGCCAGAGTATAGATAGAAATGGCTTCAAATGTGTAGAACTACTTTCCCATGATAACCTTCTACTACTCCCCTATGCGTTGTTGATGACCTGGCTGCCAACGATGCGATTCTGATCTGATACCCAATCGTTAGATGTCCATCGTAATACAAGCATATACATGCATTCCTCAAAAATTGGACCGGAGACCTTGTGGAAAAGCTGCAAGGCCAGCCAGATCGGCTTATGATGCTTCGCTGGACACGCTGCCACTTGTACAGGGATATATGGCAGCGACTGAGGCTTAGCGGTGCTAGCAAGTCCCGATGATCCTAGAAGTGGCCGATAACATCGCATTGATAGAGTTGTCGGCAAAATACTATTGGTTGATCGGCTTTGACGAAACCATAACACCGTTCTTCAAGGATCCCACGAGCCCCGAAGAGCCGACGGAATCCGAACCAACCGAGTCATGCATTCGCCTCTGGTATAATGAGTCTAGACTAGCGGTCAAGTTTGATTTGTTGAGCTCACTAGACGAGAAGAAGATGTTTTCCATAAATAAGAGATTGCAGAAGCTCGATTTAGGTCGTTGGGGGCCATGAACTATGGATCATACGGGTAAAAAGGTCAGACCCTTGGGCATGAAACACTTCCTATGATGTTGTACGGTCTTGTGCTCTTAGCGTCGATTTGTGCCTGAGGGGGTTATATTAGCTCAAGGCTAGCGGAGACGTAACTTTACCCCTGAACCAACCATCCCTGTTGAGATGCAAGTGTTTCGATATTACCAGACTAGCAAAACCTTACTAGTGCAGAAGTATGGCTTGCAGGACAGGGATCAGTGAAAGACCAAGACTGTTGTGCAGTGTAAAGGGGGGCCGGCGCCAATATAAGTTTCACGGAGAGCGAATGGAAGTTAGACTAAGACCAAGCCCTAAGCGCCCACAGCCTATCATTTAAGCTTTGAGTGCTACTTGCTTGCAGCCCTAAGCTGACTTGTAACCTTGCAACCCCAAGTTTTCATCTTACTGTCTTCGATGATCCCATATCACGATACCCGGTCTATAAGATCCGTGGAAGCTTCCTAGCCAACAATCTATCTATATGGAAATTTGCTGTCGAGTTGGGTTTCATTCTTTGCAGCCTTGATTCCAGCCCAACATCCTCAGAAGTCTTTAGAAGCGAGGATAGAAATGTGTATATATATACTCTAATTCGATCGCACCATGGGGAGAAAAGAGAATCATCCAGATAACAAATCAAGACACAAAGCAAGCGTCAGCAAAAGCCCACCTACAGTTACACAAACAACTCATCAACTGAGAAAAACCATCTACTCTCTTACCCAAACAACCAATCTCCATACCCACCATGATGCAGCACCCACAGATAGTGCACGCTGATACGACCCGAATGGGCAAATGGACCGATTTTGACGGCGTCGAGGCAGACAAACTCGGCACATGCTCAGTCACGGCAATTGTCAACGAGGAAGGCTTTCTACTCTCAAATACTTCCTCGGATGGGTTTAGGGAGATCCCTGCTGCAGAGAGGTTGTGTGCACTCTACAATGGGAACAAAACGATCTTCGGAAACAAGCCTGTGAATGTGTGGATTGTGTACGAGCAGGAAAACGCCGTCAAGGGACGGGGTATCGGGAAGGTTATGGAGAGAATCCGGCCTGCTCGGGTTTTCGAACAGGTGTACAACGGGGAATCTTTCATGAATCGGCCGAGTGAAGAAGGTGCGAGGTTTTGTCTGAAGTTGGTGGGTGGTACAGTCGTGGCTACTATGCGTCGGCAGGATGGTGGTGGGTCTCCCATCCCGATTTCTGGGGATGGGACGACTGTGGTGTGTCGATAGTGTGTGGGAGAAGGTTTGGGTGAGGATTGTGTTGGGTTTTGGAAATATCTATTGGTCGGTGTTTGGAAGGGGGGTTTATATCCAAGTGATTGAAGTCTACGAATTGAACTACTTGCTTTTCATAACTAAGACTAAGAAGACAACTTGAGAAGAATCCGTAAATTGAGACATATTTGACAACTAAAAGTTGCAATACCTTGAAAACACCTCGCTACATGCGGCTTAGCAATGAGAAGAGAGAAAATAGCAAGTGGAAAAATCATTCAGGGTGAGGCTCTACCTTCCCCTTCGCGACCTCGGACCAGTTCGTGCTCAGCGACGTTCCCTGGCTTTCGGTGTAGCTTTTGATCATAGCTCGGCGAGTCTCTGGGTCGGCGCCGGCATACAGCTTCTTGAAGAATCCGTCGACGGCATCACCACCTTCGTCATCCGATGCATCGGCTGCGTTGCCATCATCCCCCGACTTGTCCTTTGGCTTCTTCTCTGTGAGCGACGATGCGACTTTGTCCCAATCCTTAGTGCCGTGGCGCGACGAGGTGGGATACGAAGGGCCCGAGGTAGCTGGCGCGTTTTGTGCGGCTGGACGGTCGGTGATCTCAGTGGTATTGGTGGCTGAGCCTTCGAGGGCACCCCATTTTTGGCCGGTCTTCTTTCGCAGAGTGAGTTCAATCTTGGTGCCCTTGACTGAGACCTTGGACTCGGCGGGGTTGATAGCTGCATAGAGCGGGTCGAGGGTAAAGTCGTATTCAGCGCCAGATGGGAGGGGGAATTGTATCGAGACCTTTTGCAGAATTAGTTTTCAATTCAATAATGGCTGAGCAGAAGAAAACTCACCGAATCTTCTTTCAGATCGACTGCGACACTCTCACTTGGGATCCCCTTGACATAAAGAGTCACAACCACAGAGTCCTGTGACTGATACCACTCATGGCGAATCTTATCCGGGGCAATAGAGGTAGCCGTAGCACTGATGTTTGAGTTTTGAATGTGAGAAGCCAAAGCAATCTCCGCCGGGGAAAGAGTCGATCCCTCTGAGAGCTGAGGCCCCGAGGGCCGAGGCTCAGTCTGCTGCGAGGCTCCAGCCACTCCCACGTTATTGCCAGCCTTGAGAGCATCCCACTGATCCATCACCTCTTCTTCAGTCGGAACGTGGGTGGAAGGCGGGAACTCGGCAATAGAGACAGTGCACTTCGGGTCATCCTTGGGCAGTTCTGCTAGCTTGCGTTGAAGTTTGGCGGTCCAAATCGGCATTTGCGCGCTGTAATTGTTTCGGGGGCCTCCCCATCCGGATCCCGGTCCTCCCATGGCAGCCTGCACCTGTTCCGATTTATTCTCTGGGACTTTCTCACTCTTAGTCTTCTTCGCGATGATTTCAAACACAAATCCTGCATCTCCATATCGTTCAAGCTGGTACAGCGACACGGCACGGCGCATCTGGGCGGAGAGAATCAGCTCACGGTTTCCCCGCTCTTTGGCGAGCTGGAGAGCAATTTCGGCATCGTTGAGTGCGGACTGGTAGTCGGGTCCGCCATCTGCGGGCTTGAGGCGCGAATAGGCAGTCGATCGCGCAATGTAGTATGCCGGAGCGCGGGGTAGCTCACTCAGGGCGTGGGTGTAGTGTGCGATAGCGAGGCGGTAGTTGGATTGGGCCGAGGCCCTGTCACCCTGTGTTGCAGCATTCATGGCGATGGTATCAGGATCCAGCGGACGAAATGTAAGCAAAGAACAGTATTTGCAGTCGTCCAACACGGAGGGATAGATGAGCCGCAGTGGCCCAAGCTCCTGTCGATCACTCATTTTGGGTGGGAGGTCACGTGCGACAGTGTTGTGAGGGGAAGGTGAGGGGAAAGGGAAGGAGCGATGGAGAAAGGAAGAAAGGAAGAAAGGAAGAAATGAGACACACACAACACACTACGACTAAAGCATCGATTGCTCTATGATTCAATATTTGATAATCCCCATTATTATTGATTAAGTAGATAGGTGTGGAATATTATTTTCCCTTGAAATGTTTTACACGAGCTCCGCATTGCCGAACTTCTTACTATACAAGCCCAATGCACGGATAGGCCAGTAGAACTTGTAGTTGGGATATGAGATCATGCTAGAATGAGGGTCAGTAAATCATAACCAAAAGAGGACCAGGACAGTCCAAACTCACCAAGATTGGTTGAAAACCCCCTCAATCGCCTCCTGCAGCCACTCGCCATTGCGCTGCTGACGAGACATCAAGAGCTTAATGCCCCTTTCCAAGGGTTCCTTGTGCGGGTAGCCCGCCTCCATAAGCCCAAGAAGAGACCAAGCAGTCTGACAGACCTGGGACTTCTCGTGCTGAACATACTGATGGGTTGCGCTGCTCAGATAGGACTCGCCCCAGCCACCATCGGCCTGCTGCTTCTCGATCAGGAAGTCACAGCCCCGACGAGAGTCGGCGCTCGTTTCGTATGTCTCGCCGACGCTGGCCAGACTTTCGAGCGCGAACAAGGCTGCGTAGGTGAAGCAGATTCCCCAGGAGCCATACCAGCTACCGTCGTCGCGCTGTACGTGCTTGATGTGGCCGACAGCTTTCTGCTTCGCGGCGCGGATTTCGTCGGCGCGATATTTGGGGTAGAACTTGCTGAAGAGTGACAGAGCTGTAACAGATGCCGTTGTGCACTCGGGGTGGTCGTAGCTGATCATGATTCCGCCGAAGACCTCTGCGGCATTGAGCCACTCGACCTTGGGTGAGGCACGGGTAATTTCGTACTCGGAGAAGCCGCCGCTTGGGTTTTGCATGAGCAAAAGACAATCGACAGCGTCCTTCAAACGTTGTTCGGAGATCAACTTAGGGAAGCCGTGCATCTCCTGTAGCTGAAGTGTTGATCGGAGACCCTCGGCGGTGCAATCACTGACTGTGTAGCCTTGGTCCTTGGTGCTGAATGGCCAAGCGCCCTTACGGTGTTGGCGGTAGCATTTTTCTTGGTCTGGCACGTTCTCTCGCAATTGATGGTCGTCGAGGAACTCGAGAGCTTTTGTCAGCATCGGACGCCATTTGGGCTCGTCGGCGAAACCAGCGACGACGATTGCCTGGGTGATGAATGCCGTGTCCCAAACTTGCACACCATTGGTGCCATTTGCAAGCATGCCCTCACCCTTTACCCACATATAGTCATTCAACCGCTCCCTGTGTTGGCGGACAGAGTAACTGTCAGGGCCGTCGTGGACAAAGCAAGCTACCATGTTCATTGGGTTGTTGACGGGTCCCAGCCCCGCATATTTGGTATTTTCGTCTTCCATGCGAATCAATTCCCAGGTCCATTCCTCAGCTCGCTTGACAATACTAGGGAGGCGAAGGTAAGGGTTCCAGACCCGAACCAACAGTTCATTGGCTGTATTCAACAGCCATGTCTTGGGGTAGTAATTGTCTACCTCGTGAATCGAATTGCGATGCGCAACAAAATCAACAGAGCTGTACGGCTGGGTGTATAGCTCTTCGCGAATCTGTCGTGTCAAGTCGTCTAGAGGGTGGGACCATTGCTTAGACCACAGCCAAGACATTGGGAGGAACACCTGACGCATGTGAATCCACCACCGCCAAGGCGCAAAGGGAACCCAGTCGGGAAGAAGCCTAAGTATTTGGTCAATAAAAGAGAGATTGTACCTGTTGCAATGCGTGAACCAACCAAATCTCAGGGGGAACTGGGTTGACACCCTCCCACTCCATCACCCCCAGAATGCTGAGCCAGAACTTAGCCCAATGAGGACCGTAGATGGCACCTCCGAACTTATGGAGAAGACCCCGAGCTTTGATCATGCGCGGGTCCTCTTCGCTGACACCGATCAAGCGCAGTGCCACATAGTTCATACAAGTACCGAAGACTGAACTGTGGCCTTCGATGTGCAGACCCCATCCACCGTCCTCTGGGTGCTGACGCGCAAACAGATAACGCTTGATCTCCGTTGCATACTCAGGGGGGATAGGGGTATTGGTCACATAGTAAGTGATCAAAATACCCGGCAGCAAGAACATAGGGCCACCATATTCGCAGGCCCAGTTTCCGGGCTCCAGTTGCAGATGCGAGAAGAATGAAAGTCCATTCTCGGCGGCTTCCAATGGCGTCTTAGCTTCTGGCAGCTCTGGAAGACCCTATAATGCGCCGTTAGAATTGGATGAAAATTTTGGAATTTTTGTTAATTGAGTGAGGGCTAGATACTGTTGGTATTCCCAAGTGATATTTATCAGCTATGGTCTGCGGCCACTCTTGGTTTTCGACATCAGATTCGAGATACCGCCATGTTTGGCGGCCTTCCTCATCGACCAATCGCCAGCGCGAGTAGTCGGTTTTAAGATCTCCATTGTCGTCTGGGGTGAGATGACCCTCGGCTGGGGTTCTCCATGGCCCAATATGAGGAGTAGAAGACATGATATGAGGAATTGGGTCTTTTTCGCCAATCCAGTAAAAGACGATAAACAGCTTGGAGAGTCCAGCCGCGGATGGAAACCGGGGTAGCTTAGTCATCAGTATCACGACTGCGGTGTAGAATAAAGAATGTTTTGCATCATGTGATATCAGGCAGACAAATTGATCGAAAGGAGAAGACAGAAGAGGAAGAAGAGAATATTAGGAATGTTTTGATCAAAGAGATATGGGACCTAGCAGGCGTGGTGGTGATGTGGTGATGTGATGATCTGCTCTAGCGTTGCTCTATACACGCTAAGAACTACAAACCTCAAAGAAAAGAGAAAAGAAATAGTTAATTAAACAAAACGAAAATGTTCAGAGTATAGAAGCCCTTGGCAACAAATTCTAGATATAACGAGAAAAGGGAGAGAAAGGAAATATTCGAAACATAGTATGACATATAGGAACCAAATCCTAACCACTATAGATCATCGAGTCATAACAAGTTAAAGGCTTTTATTTACCAGCATTTAATCGAAACTATAACTTATAAGAGCTACTGTTCTTCCAATGCAAGATCTATACAAATGATGCTATCGGAAAGTGTCATGTAAGCTCACGGTGCCCAGGTGGTCTACGGGTAGATATGGTGTTGCATCTACTCACAGCTCTCGATTGTCCTTCAACCCCAGCACCGCCTCCTCCCCTTGCCCAAATCCACCCCAATAGCAATGGCTGAGCCATCAACCATCCAAAATTTGGAAATAGACGATGGTCGAGATCCTTCAGTCCAAGAATTCATCGACAACACCCTCGCCGCCCTCATCCACGGACTCTCACAGTCCCCGACAGAGGCAAACATCTCCATCACCCTCAAGCGCAGAGCCAGCCCAATTGCTTGCATCATCAATCCCATCACTGGAGCTCTGGAAGCGAGTCCCAGGGCTGAGACACACAGGAAATACTCTTGGCCAGGGAAGACGGCACACGAGGCCTGGAAATTTAGTAAGATCTTTCCTCCTACACTAGTAAAAATAGCACCTGGGCATTCTTCCTAGATGACAAACTGACCGAGTCTGCTTGTTCTGATAGCCGTCATCCTTCGAATCCTAGCTATATTGGATCAAGCTATTCGAACGGGCCAGCTGATCTCCAAAAGGTGAGCTGGCAATGTCTAGGAACTAGTCTGGAAGGTATGCTGAACATACCCATACAACCACCAGAGACATATACTATATCGACCCGGAATTCTTCCGCGTACAGTATATCGTTGACCACATTGTGGATGACCTGGCGTACACCATCGGAGTGAACAGAACGGCATTGAATGTGGTTTGTCCTACCGAATCATCTGGCATCATAGCACTGCGAGGTCGGGGAGCTGACATAGTAAGCGGCTTTCTAGGAAGCAGCAGCAAAAGGATTAGTGACGGGAGACTTTCGATTGATCCGTGGCTCCCATATTTTGATCGATGCGCAGTCTGTCACCGAGGACACTTTGATTCCCCGCATAGAGGACGGAGATGAGATTGACATTTCAAGGGTCCGCTGGGTACTGGTCATCGAGAAAGAGGTACGAAGCATGGAGAGACAAGTCATGCAGAATCAGTACGCTGAGTCCCTGTCCACAGGCAGTCTTCCACCGGCTCGCGCGAGTAAGTTACCACACCAGAGCACTAGCCGGAGAAGGAATCATGGTCACGGTAAGCTGCGTCGTATACTGTCCTCCAAACGAGCGCCTGAGCTCAACGCTACTCGAACAGGGCAAAGGATACCCCGATTTCATGACACGAACGTTCCTGCGAGCAATGTCCGACTTCGCATCCAACCAGAGTAGATATCCGCCCCGTTTCTATGCCCTGACCGACGGTGATCCCCATGGAATGGCCATCATGTCGACGTACAAGTACGGCTCGGCTGCACACTTACACCAAAATGCGAGGCTCAGTATACCGAGGCTACAGTGGCTGGGTCTTCGAGTGACAGACATCATAGCTGTTCCGGAGGTACTTGGTGACACGGCTCTTCTTTCGTTGACGACACGAGACCGCAGGAAGATCATGGCTATGCTTCGGAACAGTCCTGTATGGGCGAGTGATGGACCAGAGCCAGAGTGGCGTGCTGAATTGCAGCGGATGCTGGTTTTGAATCTGAAGGCGGAGATTGAGATCTTGTATGGGTGCCAGGGGGGATTGGAGGGGTGGATTAATCGGCGGATGTTTCGGCAGGAGTGAGATGCTATAGGATCTGTATATCTAGGAAGGTATAGATGTATAGACCACATGAAATAAAGACAGGAAGGAACGATATACCATAGTACTTGCCATGGACCTCCATTACTTTATATGAGAATACTAGAGCAGATGCAAGATTTAGCGAATCTATTGAAGAGAAGAAAACGGTGTATCGAAAGAACTGCATGTATTTCATCCGCTATCATAATGCGAGGATAAGAATGCACTGTACAGACCGAGAAGCCATCGCATATCCAGACCATGCAAAAGAAAAAGAAACCCTTGGAACGCCATTCATCAAATCTTGACTCCCGGGCAGCACAAGCAGACCAGGTTGATAGCCATCCACCTGTGCTGCAGCGAGAGAACCGAGGCATTCATCCGCAGCCTTACTCGGCTCACAGACCCAGACCCTTCTTCACCTCATCCCTAACCTTCTGCTCGTACTCAGATCTCCGCTCTCGCCACATCTTAGCTGCCTCCACATTGGCTGGACTCTCATCATTCGGCTCGGCAAGCATACTCATAACAGAGATGAGGATCTTCTCCACGCTCTGGATGGGTGACCAGCGCTCCGAGGCGTGCTCGTAGTGGTTTGGGTCGTCGCCGGGGGGATGAAGGATGGAAATGCAGACGGTTCCATTGGGGTAGACTATAATCCAAATTCGTCAGTAAGATGTTTGCCATTGTGTATTTTGCAACGCAGGTAAGTAGCCTGGCGCAAGTCACTCCTGAGTTATCCCGGTCACGTACCGTTCGGGTGCCACACGCCACCTCCGATGAACTTCATTGTCGGCGGGCTCAAGGGGTAGTCTCTTGGGAACTTCAGCTCCGCTGCGAAGACGCCGCCCTCGAAGGGGGTTTCCTCCGGGCCCTGGATCAGGGCTTCCCAATAGAACATGTCATCTTCGGAGACGGGACCTGCGGTGATACCCTCTGGGGGGTTGGTGGATAGGTTCTTGTATTCGTGGAAAAGGCGCTTTTGGGCGACGGAGGACGCCATTTTTGCAGTTTAATTGATTCAAATGCGAAATGCAATTCTGGGAAATACTTAGGTGGCAAGGTTGTCTGCGGGGACTTGGGTGGGATAAAGGGTGGGGATGGAATAATTCCGGGGCGGTGGACAAAGCGTGGCGATACTGTTGAGGAACCTGGATCTAGGGCAGAGATAGAAAAAGTGCGATAGTTCTGGTTTAATAGTAAATATTACATCTAAATTGTGAATGTTATAGTACAGAAACTAGCCCTCACCTGCATCACCAGTCGAAATAATCACCCTCATCACCGCCGTCACCAATGTCACCTCCTTCGTCACCCCAAGAGCCACCTTCACCCCAAGGGTCTTGAGGTCTATCCTGGAAGCCTTGTGAGTCCGGATCTACCGGCTCCGGTGCTGAGGCATTTGGATCGGCTGTGTTGCCTCTATGCATTGCTTCATACCCGGCCATTGCACCTGCAGTGGTAGCACCTGAAACCATACCATTTGGCACACCACCAGCAGTTCCAACTCGCTCAAGAGTCCCTCCAGCGACTCTACCAATGGCACCGGCTTCACCGGCGGCAGCGCCTTCTGCAGCTGCACCGCCAGCGGGAGCCTGGCCGCCCATACCGAACCCATACGGCGAAAGGCCAAATACACCATGGCCATGTTGGCGGCTGAAGTAATCGAAATCGATGCTTACGGCTGTAGCCAACATGACAGCACGTTGGTCGAGGGTCATGCCTAAGGGTTTGTTGCTGTGTGACGTCTCGGTGCCGAGAGCTGCGGAATCCATTCGTATTGCGTAGACACCGGTGTCTGTGAAGATTTCGCGAGCAAAGCCTGCGAAATTGCGATTAACGGATCCGACTAACTGATCATCTGCTGATTTCAGGGAGAAATCCCATGATAGAAAGGGCTCATTGACGTAGGCAAATTGATTGAATTGGCCATGGTTTTGGTCGGATGTTCGCACTAGTTGCATCTGCTGTGCTTGTGATAAACCAGAGTCAGATAGCGAGATATCACGGGTTCCCATATCTGTTTCCGGGTTTGGCGATTGGTGATGAGTGAAGAGATTGTATTTTCGCCGCAGAGGTGCCCACTGCTGCTGGGCTTCGCCGATAACTCGCATTTGACCAAGACCGAGTGGGGATACCCTTGCACTCGATCTGGCGCCAGGCTCAATGAGAGAACCGGGGGTTGTGCTTTGAAGAGATGTGGACGCCGAGTGAGCATTTGGGGTTTGATCAAGAGGATCATATACATGGATCTGAGAGTTAATCCAAGAAAACGGGCGATTGAACTGCGATGGTCAGCCAGACGAAAATCACACCAATAGATGACGATTCCATGTGAGCTTACTCGAAGAACTTCGTTTTCTTGTCGGTCAAATACATGTGTCACAAAACTTCGGTGGGTATGGAACCATTGCCGTGCCATTGTACTTGCCAATCCCTTATCCTGTTCTGCCATATATCCAATGTGGTTTCCCTGCGCATCCATGATGATATACTTATTCGCTTGTTCAAATCCACTGAAAGAGTCAGTAAAATTGTTATCTCAAGTAGGCACCCGCGCAGCACTCACATCAGAACATTCATCATCTCTAGCTCTCGTTGTACGACTATTCCTGAATTCGCCAGTATTGAAGTTGCGGGGTGGTTTTCTTTAAGCACACCTCTGGGATCTTCAGACACGTGAACGGGAGAAAGTAGAGTGTTTTGCGAGGGGTCATAATTTTGATTTGTGTCATCTTGGGGCTCAGGGGCACCAGGCTCAGGCTGCTTCAGAGGTTCGGCTTTCCTCAAAGTCTGGATGAGATTTGGTCTTTTTATGCTATTGCGAGGACCACGCGGAGATGCATGGCTTTTGAAGCTTGAAAGAGCTCGGGTTCGAGCTGGTGTCCACTGTTTTTGCAGGGATCGGAGTCGTAAGCCCCACATGGTAGCTCAGAAAGACTAGATTGACCTGGAGAAGGATTGAGGCAAAAGGTTGAAGGAACGCGAGGTTGGTAAGTAATCCACACACTCCGCCGAGACGCCGAGAAACTGATGACGGAAGGTCACTGCGGAGATAATCGGAGATAGCAACGACACTTCCCTGGCTATCGCAAAGGTCAAAGGTTATACATAGAAAAGTCCCTTCAGGGTATGCTTTTTTTACTGCCTTCATATATAAAAAGAAACATAGAAAGATATAAAATGTTCTATTTCCAAGTTATTCGGCCACATTTCAGCTTAATTTGTTGCTCAATTTTCCAGTACTGATGAACTAGTACTGAAAAGCGCTTTTATAGACGTGGAGAATCGCATCTCAAGTCACTTTGCATACATATACATAGCAGACTAGGTCGGCGTGTCTTAGCTAGAATTACTAGGTTCTGTATGAATATATAGGCAATGTGTTTCCATATACGGAGTAAGCTTTCTAATTTTGGAGCATATATGGGCATGTCCAAAAAGGATTCATAGTAATCCTATCGGATTAATCCGTCCAGCGGCACTGCGCTTCATGACTTGACCTCACAGCCCACCAGCAGCTTTATACATTTCATATGATAGAACAATATCGTATACCCAGTCTTCACAAAAGACCCTTGCGAGCCAGTTCGATTTTCCGCGCACCTTCGCCTGCCTTGAATCCTCCCTTCGACACACAAACAGCACTTCCTTCTCCAAGTTCGACCTTCTCTTCGACATCAGGGTGAGCGCACGGGCAGTGGTGTGGGACGTGTACACAAGCAAGAGTTCCGGGGCAGAGGTAGCGGTCGCATTGTGCTGTAACAAGAGATCAGGTAGTCAGTTATGTGGTCACGAGGGCAATGTGATTACAAAAGAATGTTTTTAATAATCAGATATTTAGAATCTTACCTCCACTCCACATTTGCTGGTACCGATCACTGTCACTGGGAACATTCTGTGACCGCTGCTGTTGGCGCTGCTGCTCGCCGCCTCCGAACATTTGGTCGAAGAAGTTGAATTGGGCCTGGGCAACAGATACGAGAAGTAGAAGAGCCCAAAGGGCTTGGCGCCAGCTCTGCAACATAATTTGAATAATTGCACCGACAGTATTTGCAGAATGATCGAGTGTATGGAAAGTAAATCGAGTTCGAGTGGTGTATAGATGAAGCCAGCTTACGGGTACACACGTGACGCCAAGCCTGATCTCCGAACGAAAAACTTCCCCTTTGGAGCTTCACGATCTCCACCTCCAAACAATCCAATTACAACCTACCATGTTCAAGCCGCGAGTGCTAACGCCCCTGCGGGCACTGGAGCGAGCCTTCACCCCGACAATCCGGTCGACACCCGCGCTCTCGCAATCGCAATCCCTCCTGCGCACTCTCTCCGCAACATCCACATTCCCGAAAACCACACCAACACCCTCCCTCTCCCGCGCACTCCTCCCATTCACACAAGTGCGTCACGCCTCGCACGCCTCGCAAGGAACGGCCAATCAACACTCACGTGATCCGGCCGGTAAGCGTCTCGGAGCGAAGCGCTCGGGCGGCGAGTACGTGGTAACGGGATGCATCATTTTCCGGCAGCGAGGCTCGCTATGGTTCCCCGGTGAAAACTGCGGAATGGGACGAGACCACACGATCTACGCAACACAGTCCGGTTACGTCCGCTACTACCTCGACCCGCTGAAGCACTCGAAGCGCCGGTATATCGGAGTTGTTTTCGACAAGGAGGAGCAGCTTCCGTACCCGCGCAATGCACCCAGTCGGCGCAAGTTGAATATGACTCCTGTGCCGATGGCGGAACGCGTCGAAGCTCAGTCTGATCTCGTTGCTTCTGTTGATGAGAGCGGTGTCCGTGTAACAGATGTCGAGGCTGTTAAGGCTGAGTCTGGCCCCCAGCTGCGCCCCGGTTACATGTACCGTGAGGCTAATTGGGAAATCGGTCGGGCTGCTGAGAAGGCTGGTATCGTTGCTATGCCCCATGATCGTGGTAACCGTTGGTTGGCGTGGAGGAAGCGTCAGCAGAGAGCCGAGCGGGCTGCTCAGCTGAAGAGTTTGAAGGGCAAGAAGAAGACGGCCAAGAAATGATAACATTGGCCGTGTGCATGATATCTTGTTCCAATAAGTTCTGGGTTTCTGTAGCGATATGAGGATTTGTATCTGGTTTTCACTGTATTATAGAAAGAGCATTTACCCATTAACTTTTCCACGTGTATTATTCCTTTTTTATTCCTTTCTTATTCTTTTCTTTAGGGACATATTGGCACGAAATTGCCATATTCAAGACCATATTTTACGACATCCTGAAGTATAAAGTGTGCCTCCCATACTTGGCGTCAGCTCAGGCCATCCAAACCAAACAACAAGACTATTTATTGTCTAAATGTCAATTTACAGAGAAATATCTTAGGCCATTGGATCCTTCTCCGTGTATGCCTCCAGATTCAAATCAATGTACTTGGGAATCCCGGATAATATCCGCTGCGATCTTCTCGGCAAGCATATCTATGACCCAGTTAGCACTTGGTAAATCAGAGCAGTAACCAAGAGATACATACAAACCGTTGACTGAGGATGACCAGGAGGAAGGAAAGGAAAGGCGCTAGCATCAACTACTCGCAGTCCGTCCACTCCATAAACCCGGGCCTGGGAGTCAACCACAGCCATATCATCATCGGATGTTCCCATCTTGCAAGTACAACTCGGATGCCACAGGGTCATCACATGGTTCTTGATAAACTCGAGGATCTGATGATCAGACTGCACCTGCGGCCCAGGGTTGTACTCCTCGCCAATGACCACGGGCTCCATAGCTTCACTCTGGAAAGCCTGGCGTATTCGCTTGAACATGGCAATGACAACTTCTTGGTCAGCTTGATCATCGAGCCAATTGGGATTTATCACTGGCAAGTCTGAGGTATCTGCCGACTGCAAAGTGATATTTCCTCGGGACATAGGTGTAATCAGAACACCGAGTATTGAGGCGTACTGGTATCCATCTTTTGGCTGGATTGCTAGGAGGTTTGACGCGTTGCCCATATAGCCTGCGCCAGAGATGTACTATACACCTGCGTGTCAGTAAAATTTCTCTCTATCTAGGAGTGTATCTCTCTCACCTCTGCTTCAGGCCAGTCGGATGGAAATTTGTCCAGTTTACTCTGTGTTTCCTCGGAAAAAGCCGAGCGCAAGAATCGCGGAATTTTCTCAAATGCCAAAAAATCCGCAATTGGATTTGTGATGAATCCTTTTTTGGAGACTAATCCTTCGATAATTTGGCCAGCCGCGTATAGCAGGTCAGTAGCAAGTCTAGTGAATGTTGTCACCCGCACTCGGTACGAAGGAGCAAAGAACGGATGATCCCACATGTTCTGACCTACTCCTGGTCGATCGGCTATAACATTGATTTCATGCTCTTGCAATTGATCGATGGGTCCAATGCCAGACACCATGAGAAGCTGAGGGGACTGAAAGGCACCGGCAGAGATGATAACCTCTTCCGATGCCGAAATGGTGACAGTATCGCCCAGCAAACCTTTCACTTGAACTCCTGTTGCTTTATTGTTTTCATCAAAGACCACCTTCTTAGCGAGGGTATTTGTATAGGTGGTTAGTGAGCTAGGCGTGATCTTGGATAGGAAAGATTGCTCAGAGCTGCTTCGGAGCTCGTTGGATGGATCGATGGTCGATGCGCAATACTGGGATCCCATTATATCACCCAGGTTAAAGTCCTGTACTTGATTGATGCCGATAGCTTCCATGCCAAGGCTCATCCATGACGAGAAAGGTTGAGCAAAGTTAGCATACGATACCTGCAATGGACCACTATCAGAGTCATAGGCATCAACACCATAGTCCGCAGAGGCATTCTGAGCCCTATAGTCGGTGTTTGGCGGCGTGAATTGAACACTCTTCTTGTAGAATGGGAGCACTTTGTCGAATCCGTAGCTGCTATCATTGACTGCACTTGCCCATGTATCCATAGACTCGAGTGTCGGACTGCATTATCCAAGTTAGTCAAGCCGCAAGCATTTACTTTCCGCGGGTCTTTACCGTTGATAGACCATAAAATTCAACGCCGAGCTGCAGAGAAATTAGTTTGATCTAATGTGACAGATTTTGAAAGGGGTACCTACGATCCCCCAAGACATTTTCCTCGGGCAAAATGAATCGCCCGCCTATTGGTACCCGGCTGATCTCTTGTCACAAATCCCCAATCCTCCGGTGATCTAAAAGTAGGATCTGATCCCACCGACAATGCATCAGATGCAGGAAATTCAGCCACAGACTCAAGCTCATAGTGTCCCCCGGCTTCGATCAAGGCAACTTTAAAGTCATTCTGTGCTAGTCGCGTTGCGATCACGCTACCAGCGGTACCACCACCAACGACTACATAATCGAACGTTTGCTCGGCGAGGGGAACTGCTCGTTGTTCCAAAGGCACAGATGCCACGCCACTCGCCTGAAGTGCGAGGAGTACTAGAGTGGTCTGGAACAGCATCGGGAGTAATAGCGCAACTGCTGGGTACTTGAGGCAAGATGCAACCGTATGTTACAGCGAAATAGAGCCGATATGTACAACTCCCAACCGGACTATTGCAATTGTTGCACTAAAGTAGGCTTATCTCCGAAGATCTTCCAGCCTTGAGATATATATTACATTTGGGACCCATTATATTGAGATACCCAATCCAATGCACGGCCCAACCCCCGTTGGCTGGGTACCTGGCCAGGTATGTAACCTTAAAAAGTGCAGCTAGCATCAAAATAAGCATAACCGCGGCCCGGCAGCCCATCCATGGATACTCATTTCACTCAGCTTAATTCCATTGTTACAATATATGTGGAGATGTGTTAGAAAAGGGTAAAATAGTGCCTCCGAGAATGTTATATTCTCACCTCAACTACCTGCTTTCAAAGCGTGATACTAAGCTGCACCATGCATAAATCAACCCTGGACGATATGTTAGGATAATTTCGTTGTAGGCTAAGCCAACCAATATACCAAGATACTGATGGACATTAGGATTCATGATTCCAAAACAAAGATTGCATTAGGAGTGATTGATCATCGGCCAAGTAACACGATATATCTCACTAAACATTCTATCATACAATTTCTCAATTGCTTTAGTTGGCAGTCTCACTCATCCGAACTCAATGCAACATAACTAGCATCTTTCTAGCCATACGAGATTTGTGAAACTAGAAGTGATGTATAGAATTACTTAGAGCCTTCGTGTTTGTTTCTGCTCCAATCGCGAAGTATAATAACGTCATGAAACGTCCGTGCGCAAGTTAAACTCAGCCCCTGGTTATACGAGTTGGTGAGAAAATCCATCACTTGAATTTGCGTAGACTCTTGGGAGTGGCTTAACTTCTCCCATTCGCATTTATCAACCCTGCGCTAGATATCGGAGGCCATACCTACTCTACTAGACGTAGACATCTCGTTACAAAGAGCATCACGAAGCAGGAGAAAATATATATGCCATGAAGAACCCGTTGCACAACCCGCTGCCTGCCTCACTATCCAGTATTATCCCTCATGCCACTGCTACACACATGGCTGACTCCGGGCTGACCATGTTCCACAGGCGAGTGCAAAAAGGCCGCTGCGATTCTCGAATCCTTCATCAACCCGAAACTCAAAATTGATGGAGAAATCCCACGCAAGATGTTTGCGGGGGCCAAGGTAAGAGACATCCTACTGGAATGACCCAAATGATCATGACTTACTCCATGCCAGGGGATCGCCGTATTCACAGCGCTCAGACTTGGGTTCCTGGGTTCTATCCGCTTTGGCTCGGGGCTGATTGTCGCCCGTCTCCCAGATGGCAGCTGGTCGGCCCCATCAGCCATGGCCATGGGCGGGCTCGGCGCCGGTGGTCAATTTGGCGCAGAATTGACGGATTTCGTATTCGTTCTGACCACTGATGCCGCAGTGAAGACATTCATGCAGTCGGGTAATTTGACTCTTGGTGGGAATATATCCATGGCTGTCGGGCCCGTTGGTCGAAGTGCTGAGGCTGGGGGAGTAGTGGGCACAAAGGGCGCAACTGGGGTATTCGCCTACTCCAAGACTCGTGGATTGTACGGCGGTCTTACAGTCGAGGGTGGTGTTCTTGCAGAGCGTGCGGATGCAAACAAAAAGCTATATGGGCGGAAAATTCGAGCAAAGGAGCTGCTGAGCGGATCGATTCCACCACCGCCTGAAGCTGGAGTCCTCATTGAGGTTTTGAATGGGGATCTCTTCCGTATCGAAGCACTTGTGGAGCCAACCGTGGAGGGCCCCGAGCAGCCGCGTGAACAAAATCCCGAGACTTCTACGCATGCCCCTGGCGATCAAACACAGGGAATTGTGGCGGTTGCTGCTAATCCTCTAGCAGCTGCCGAGATAAGCACAGAGCAGACGCCTGGAACTGCGGAATCACCCACCGGAGATTCCCACAGTATATCCCATGAGCAAGGTGCCCAGGAGACAACGCCAACCGCTGGAAGTAAACCAACTACTGGGTCAGGTACCGAGGAAGCAGCTGGAGGTGCCGAATCATCTAACAAGATTACCCACGATATACATACATCAAACGTGCAAGAGCCTATGTCTAGTGCTGAGAATGTTTTGTCTGTCGAGCAGAGTACACAATCAGTACTTCAAGGCAATGAACCGCCAGATACGCAGAATATCTCTCGTGAGCCTGGTGTCCCGGGCCCTATACCCGCTACCGAGCGGCCGTCTGACGGCATAGAGACTACTTCTAGTATGATTCGCTGAGTACTCAAAGCTCTGTTGGTTGAAAACTGCATTGATTTTCTTTGTGGAATAGATAAATATCCAAAATGAGATGCTTCAACTATTGCAGATAGACCAGGGTAACCCCCTAACAATCAAAGTGTTCTTCCACCATCACCTTGCTATTCCGGTTCGGAATCTTCTCTCCGGGCAGTTTGCCTGATCATTGCTCCTTAGGTTGGTCGACAGTTAGGGAAGTCTGGCTCTTGCTCGGCTCGGTATCGGCGAAGTGATTCTTCAAAAGTTCGAACGCAAGACGAGGGTTTTCCGCGGTGGCGATGAGTGACTGCAATTCTTTGTCGACTCTGGCACCAATAAGTGCAAGAATATCGTGGTTAATTGGAGATCTCTCGGTATTTCGGAAGGCGGAAAGAGGGCCATCAACACGGTTTGCCCAGTATCTCGGATTTGTTGAATTGAGGGCCCGTTTGAGGGATTGAGACCATAGCAGGAAGTCGCCTTCACTGCTGAGCATAGGTATCATGGGAAGCAGTTTGGAGAAGGGGAGAGTCGACATGACTGGGTATGTCAAGGGCGAAGTGTGTGTGTGTGTGTTAAAAGACCCACTGGCTGGGAGAGAGTAGAAACAGGAGTGTCAAAAGTGAAGAGGCAATAAAAGACGAGTGATATCAGATAGATAGAAAATGACAGAAGAAAAGAGAATATGAGAGTGAGAGTTTGCTTATTTCTTAAGATAAACCTACAAGATCTGTGACCCATTTCTTCTTGCTGTTAGGTATTTATCTTTGCATTTCTCCAGAACTAAGACAGGTAGATATCTTATATTGAGATCTTACTAGCTTTGATCCACGCCTAGATATTGTTCTAGTTCACTCGTTCCATACTAGAGACTAAGTGCTGGGAGGAAACAGGGAAGTCATATGACTACCAACACATCCGCTATCTATTCTCTTCTAACATTCGTAGAGATATCTCATCATCTTCCATTTGCACAACTTCGAGCCGATTGGGTGCCTGCGCAGTACCTAGTACGCGTCTTTCTAGAGCTTGTACTCCAGGCTCAGAAGGGTCTCCGCCATGTAGAAAAATGGTGTTCATTGTGTCCGCAATACGGGCGGCTTCGTTAAGCATCTGGTGTTTAGCCTCCGTGTGCTGCGCAGCTCGCTCACATAGTTGTACTAACGTATCGTGGTCCTTGTTGTAGGGTCTATGGTGCTTTCTACCGTCGCCAGTTTCTTTGAATATCAGTCAGTTTTGCGTTTCTCTAGAGCTGATGTATGTAGGTACCTGGTATCTCATATTGAGAACTTCCTTGTTTCAAACCACCCTCCAGCTAATTTGTGCCCCTCAAAGTCTCTCTGGAGATAAATCCTGGAATCGGAACGCCGTCATGCATTTCCTTATCGTGTCTCTCGGCATGTCGACTCGTGGCGAATGTCCTATCACACTTGAAAGCCGTTGCGCTTGGGCAAGGAAATCCTTCTGCCTTTCTCAGGGAGCTATAAGGACCCTCATCGCTATGAAACCTCGTTGCGTGCACTGCGGCCCCGTTTTTGGTGGTACGCTCCCCGCCTCTTAGGAGATTTCTATCCTTCATGGGATCTTCCAACCCTCGCCACTACTCATTTGCCCCAAAAAAACCCCGGAGAGCTGGTCGTCTTCGCGTTGCGCCTTATCGAGTAGGGTAATCCTCTCCGTGATTTCCCTAAGAGCCCATTGTTAGAGCCATTATGATCTCCACTATGAGGCATTTCTTCTTGCTGTCAGTCATCTTTATGCTTCAGGGGGTAAATAAGGATCTCATATCGAGGACATACTGACGTCCACGGGTTGACTTGTCAATAATGTAAGCAGAGGATTTATTAGAGAGAGGAAGGAGAAAAAAAGAAGTTGCGCTTGAAAGGAAGTTGTGGGGAAGACAACTTTGAAATGGTAAGAAAGAGAAGTAATAATTGGAAGAAAGAGGGAAGAAGAAGATGGAAGTAGTACCTCCAGATGCCCAAGGCTGTATAATTGGGTTGCTAGTTGGAAGCAAGAGAGAGGCGAGGGAAGGTGAGAGGTCCATCATGTACTCTAAACCTCAAGCCTATTCATGCAACTCAAGGCTTGAAGCCCAGGTCTAGTGGTCGGGGTGGAAAGGGAAAAAAGGGAATTGCCTTGATGTTGCAAGAGGGCCATATAGGTGAGAGGTGAGCAGGAGAAATATGATGATATATAACTGCACTGCAGTATGGTATATCCCAAACTTCTTCATACACACGGCTTATATCGCATAGGTATATACTTCCACTAGTAGTGATATATGAAGAGAAGAAGAAATCCCACCGATTCTTCATGCTAAAACATGTAGATATACTAGATCCTAGGTGAAAGCCAGACAAAGAACCATCTAGGCAATCTTGAGAGAGGCAAACAATCCGCATAGTTCCAATATTCCATTGCACTACATAAGCTCTGATACCCATCCATCGGTATAAAATTTTGAGATAGGGGTGGATATAGATTTAGTGTTACACTCGGCGAACACTCATTCACAAAATCAGAAGTAATTAAAGTCAATATTTCTCTCTAGAGGCATGGCATTTAGATTCATCCCCAGGGGCAAGTTCAAGCTAACTCGCAGCATCTTACGCGAGTAGTAATCTCATGACAGGAAAATGGGAGTCTGAATAGATCCATTAAAATAAATATGATAAATGACATTGGTATCAAGAACTAGCACAAGAGATCACTCCTCAAACAATCGACCTAAAATCAAACTTTGACAAACAAATTCATTACCGACAACCCTCGCAGTACATCTCAGCTCATTGGGGGGCGTAGGAGTGGAAGATGCGATCGACTTCCTACGCTTCTTCCCATGGAACAAGTGAATTCTCTGCGTCTTCGGTTTGGGCGTCAACATTGACTTCGCAGCAGCTTGATCTGCATCATCAACATAGATCCAGTCCCACTCAGTCGACAAACCAGCATCGGACTGTGAGTCTATCAATGCCCTGGCCGTGCCGAGATCAGGGACACGCTCAACCCGGGATGCCCCTAGGGCGTAAGTCAGGAAAATGTAAGCTTTCCTCTTTTCCTCTACCTTTCCACGACCCATGACAAGGAGCACTGACTGCCCTGCGAGCAATTTTGTTCGCGCGGAGATGGTGTTGGCAAGACGGGCTGTGGATGGAGGGTTGGGAGCCATGACTCTGGATTTTGTGGCGCCGTTGAGGTACATTGAGTCGCCGGCTGGGAGGAGGTAGATATCCCAGTCGAGAACCCGACCTTGGGAGACACAATCCTCTACCCACCGCCCGGCCAGACATGGGAGGTTCAATGCCAGTGCTTGCATGTATTTTTCTCGCCGAGAATGGGTATCGGCAATTAAACAGGCAAAGCCAACGTCATCAGCAAGAGCTGTAAGACGGAGACCCTTGTTACTGAGGTCTGCATCCTTGGCTCCACCTTTGGTGGGAGTATCAACAGGAACAATTGATGAAGGCTCGAACAATTCAGTAAATCCGTCATGTAATACAGTGCCGCCATTCTCGATTATCAGCCTAGTCACACGATTTTTAGATGCTTCATTCTCCTTGTAAGAGACGGCAAACACCATCCCAGCAAAGATCCCGCTGCCTTGGTGAATGCTGCGGGACAAGCGTGAACTGGGAGAGACAGGCGCTGATGATATTTCGGATGGGGTATGCACCATGCTCTCTTGTGGTACAGGCGCCGGGCGATATGTGAACATCCGATCTTTGAGTTGATTCCATAGGATAGTATCAAGATATACACGAGCAATAGGAACTTTGATCACATTCTCGCTGTTGCCCATCCCTCCATTTGGCAGACTTTTGCGTTGCTTGGGACCGACTATGACAGTGGTATGACCGTAAATGTCGGTTATAGGATAAAGACCATCGTCGGCAGCTTTAGCCAGCTCTTCCCTAGTGAGCTTGTCATCAAATCCGCGGACGATATGAGTGACTCTTGGAACATTATCCATCTCGATTTTGACAGAGTCTCCGACACGAAGCTCGAATCTCTTGACGGCACCTTTCGGCACCTCGACAGGAAGACTGTCCTCAAATTTCACAGAGTATTTAACCTGCGATACGCCCAGTGGTGTTCCAAAGCATGTCGCTGGGTAGTATGCCCGTTTCTGGCCCATCCAGACAGAAAGGACTTGACTTGGAGCAACCACGGTGTTCTCCGATATAGTGTGAGATGGTCGAGGCGTGGTAGGCGAGTCATCGATACTGTTCGCCTCTGACTCAATTATATCATCCGAAGCAATTGTTGATAAAACCTCGGTGAGTTCCGATGATGGAGGTGGTGGTCGACTATGAACGACAACCTTTGGTGGGGGTGCTGATCTAGCAGTAAGTCCGGAGCTCTTTTCTGGAACATGCTTCTTCTGCGTAGACATCGAGGTAGCCGGCTTGCCAATTCTTGATCTCCTGCGGAAGGGCTGCTCAGGCGAGCCCTCGATTTCCCAAACATTCTCGGGGGCTCGTCGCGGGGGCTTTGATTGCCTTCGAACGACTTTTTCGGGGAGTTGCACTAAAGACACATCATCCGAATCCGCGGGAATGGGAGCCAGTCTTTCTTGTGTTGCTCGAATAGGTGCAACGGATTTTGGGGGCTGTAGGCGAGGGGTGAGAGGTATGATAGGGTCGGAGGCAATGTAGCTTGAGCCATCATTTCCGCGCCGCTTCTTTTTCGGTCGAGTCGGCGATCCATCAATCAAGGCCCTGAACTCTTGATCCTCTGTGGTAAAGATCCCGATTCCCATATCAAATCCTCCTGTCCCAACCTGCGGCGAAAGATCTGCCGCAATTTCAGTCAAAGCCCTGCGTTGGCCTCCACCCGGACTGGACAGCAATTTTTTAAGAGGTGAAGAGAGTGCCCTTGCCCCAGCTGGGCGGGTGTGATTCTTTCGAATACTGGGGATTTCTTTGAACATGGGTGGAAGATCGTCGTCTTCGTTGTTCAGTCCATCGCCATTGGACCCAGCCTCGGAATTGCATTGGGAGTGACTGGGGCTTGTTTCTGGGATACTCGTCAATCGAGCCATATCCCCGAGATGCTTCAGACGTTGATTCATAGGTGTCTCGGCTACACGGGATGGCATCGATGATGAGTTGCCCGCGGTTCCCGCTTCCACTCTGGAAAGCGACGAGTTTACATGTTGCTGCTCCGAGGGGTTGCTGGAGTGTGGTGGTATATTCTCGTTAAGTGATGAATTCTGAACGGGTTGAATGGCAGGTTCATTTGATACAGAGCCATTTCTCTGGGTATTGCTGTTCGAGTGTCTTGATTGTGGTCGCGAGCAGGGGGAGGAGGATTGAAGACGGTCTCGTCCGGGAGAATTCACATGAGAACGGGAAGGCGACCGATGAACACTGTCCCTAGTATTATCGGCTTGTATGCGTTTTGGTGATGATTGAGGTGATGGTTGAGAGTCTTTTACCATGGCCTGGGAAGAACGCATGACACCGTTTGGCTGTCCATCATTTTGTGAGCCGAAGGCGTCTCCATGGGCTATCCCATCCTCTAGTTCTCCGTCTACTCTCACACGAGATGGAGAGGGAATCGGCTCAAGCCCAAGTACCTGAGATAGTCGGTCGTGGGCACTGGCGGCAGCGGCGGCAGTAGCAGCATCCAGAAGAGGTCCATCGTAGTTCTCTTTATCTTCTTCGGCCGAAGATTGAGGAAGGTCTTGCGATCGTGGCACTTGCATATCTTCTTCTTGTTCGGTTTCTTCCTCGCTGGCAACAGCTTCTATCATTTCCTGGTCTTCTTGTCGTTCACCTGGCTGCTTGGGAGAAGTCTGCGGTCTGGCGGAGAGATTGGATGTAGATCTGGCAGGAGCACTCAGACCGGCGAACTGAGCGGCTGCTTCCTCGTCGATTTCTCGCTGTCGTCGCGCACGTTCTATAAAGCTTGACTCTTTATAGAATTCCTTGTCACTCTGATCCGACTGGATATTGTCGGCCGACCGAGTCAACCTCTCCCCCAAAGTCCCATCACGCTTTGTCTGTGATTCCTTCATCGATATATAGTTCATGTTCGGTTCGGAGGATTCTCTCATGAACTGAGCCGGGAATCCCGTCAAAGGTGACGAAATACCATTGACGACACGAGCAGGTTGAATCGGGATATTGGGCGATGGACGATCTGATACAAGCTCCGTCTGTAGGCCGTGGACAATGGGAGACGATGGGGCCTGAGTAGCCCCGAAAACCTGGCTCAAGCCAAGAAGACCGCCACTCGACTCAATACCACTGGCTAAGGGATTCCGTGAGATGCTTGGGGTCTCTGTTGTTCCATCGTTTGCCTCATGCTTTTTCACCACCGTCCCGGGTGTTTCTGCGAGAAACCGTTGCGATTCGGGGAAGAGATCGGGTGCATATGCCATTGGAGAAGACTCGTTCGGGTCGAAGGCGCTCTCATCGTCATTATCATCGTCATCTTGGGAGAGGTTCGTTGTATGGTGTGCGGCGTCAAATTCTGAAAGCAGGTCGATATGGCCGCTGTCGCCCTCACGCAATGTCCTCAATGTCGCTCCATCGGCTCCTGTTTGTGAATAACCTTGATGCATAGATTCCCCATTTTGTCTGATAATGCTGTCGTATACTGACTGCGAGACGACCTGTGTATCCCCAGGAGCAGCCTCTGCGGAGCTCATATTGCCGAATTGCGATCCTGGTACGATGCCTGCTTCATTCCCAATCTTATTGGACATCATTGTGCGTGGTTCATGCTGCCGAGATCGATACAGAGGGTGTCGGTGTTGGTGCACAAGGCTTGCGGGGTTTGATGGTGTTTTCGGAGGTATGTGTTGGCCGGTGCACACTCCATCACCATTGGAGGCACCGTTAACTTCGTGGTATGTGTAACAAAGAGGGTGATTCGGCTCGTTAATAATTTTTGCAGATCTCGAATGGCACGGCTGAGATGGATCGTGCTCCTGGGGATGTCTGGGTTAGTCCAATGAGGGCGAGGGACGCTGCAGGGTCGTCACATACTAGCCCCAACGCGTCGCGTTGCAACTTTGCAAGGTCGATGCTATCATCCTGGGTTTCCATTTTTCGACGACATATAGTCGCTGAAGTCTCAGACGTCTCTATAGCGATATTTATATTTGTAAAATACGATTTAACGTAGTCTGATACTTCAAATGCCTTGTGTCGAGACATAAATGCAAATGAAGGCCTCGGAACGCGAAACGCGTGTGTCACGTGCACTGAAGTAATATTACTTCTTACGGCCTAGCGCCATGAGCGTACATTGAAAGACTCAACAGCGTTCGACAGCATGAGTGTGGCATTGTAGACATTTAAATTATTTACAAATCTACTCCGTATAAAACAGTTTATTAATTGACTTGGAAAGAAGCTGGGTGATGAGACATTGATTTCATAGATCATTATGCAAGAATAATACATGTGTACAGTTATGCAAGACAATGCAACATAATTACAGAGAGGGTATCTGAAGCCCTTAACATTTCCCGCCTTGAGGGGACCCAAGAAGAACCCAAGACAATCAATCACGAGTGCGGTTTGGAATCCATCTCTTGATGAGGAACTCGCGCACCTTGTATTGGCCAAAGAGCGCGCCAATATCATCAAGTGAAGCAGCTGGCGGAGGCACTTCAACATAGCAGACAACCAAGCTCTTCAACACCTGGGCCTGTACACGGCTGACGCAGTGCATCCACCACCAGCTTCTCGCCTGCTTCTCTGCTGTGTAGTTCTTCCGTTCTTCCGTCTCGGACCAATAAGGGTGGGTGTATGAAGGAACGATGATGACGGCGAACTCGGCGTGGGAGAATACCGGTCCGCGGTTGTAGAGTAGATAGTCGGTTCCGAATTTCACACCGGAGCGGATAACCCACCCGAGGGACCGGAAGTGGTGGTAGACGGCGTAGGAGGTCATAAAGGGATCATCTGGTTGGAGGGATGCGGAGCAGTCACGGGCAGGTTGGAAGGAGTGGTGGCAGAACTTTTGGAGGAGGGCAGAGATGGTGGTTGGGGATGTTGATTGGACCACTCCGGATTTCAAGGGTGAGTCGTAGATTTGCAATGCTCCAAGCGAGTAGGCAAGGAAGAATGCCTCTTCGTTGGAAAGTTGAAGATGCTCCTCATTTGGGAAGTCATCTGAGTCGAGGCTGTCGACAACAGCATCGGGCGATTGTAGAGACGAGGGTGAGGTTGATATGAATTCTTTTTTTTGCACGACTGATGAAAAACGCACGGATTTGCTGTTAGGCGGGGTCTCAGGTTGGGTTTGTTCAGCGAGAGCCGCATTTTGTGCAGCCAATTCGCGTGCCTGCTTTGCCTCCAGCGCCCGAGCTTCTCTTGCCTTCTTCAAGGAGAACTTCTCCGTTGTAGTCGCTGTGACATTAGTCGTATCGTCTGTGGATGTTGACTGAGGAGCTTCGTCAAGAGACTCAGAAACACCAGATTCCCTAGCAGCCGCCTCGGCTTTGAGGGTTTCCTCGATGGCTAGCTTCTCCATCCGGGCACGCTCTAACTTCAGTTCACGACGTTCAGTTCGTCGCAGTCTTGTAATCTCCTCACTGGTCTTCTCATTATGTAACCCTCTTCGTTTTTTCTCTCGCGCCAGCCAGCTGGGCTCACTTCGACTTAAACTACCCTTGCCGAAGAATCCCATCTGCCATAAGGCATTAATGGATCTCTCGTCCGTAACATGGATCGATGAGGTGGCTTTGTCAAAGTATGCCGAATAGACTTCTTGACGGGGCGGGGAGATAAGGAACGTGAGGTACGAGAGAACAACGCTTATAAGAGAAAGAGGGTTATGAGGAATTACAGGAGGAACGTGATGTACATTGACCGGAAGAGGAAACTGGTGAATCTGTCTGAAGTTTGGCCTAGGAGGACGAGGAGCACGAGGCGGACGTGCATTTGATACAGGCCCTGATTTGGTGGCCACAGGCATGTCCATGCTGGTTACTGGAGTGGCCATCCTGAAAACCGCTACTGGATGAAGAAAATATTCAAAAAACCCTAAACACATCATTCGAGGTTAGCGAACTGTGCCGAAACATGCGAGTGAATCAATCGTCATGATAATATCTTCTCAGATACCGTTGTAGTCAATTCAGCGGATCATCGACAGGCAACTAGAAATCAAAAGTGTCGCCTGCCTGAGCTAAATAAATGGTGTCATCACCGAAGGTGAAGTGTGGGCTGAAGGGGAGAGTGTAGAAGAGCTGAGGATCATCTTACCTAGAAGTCTCTGTGTGTATGAACAACCTGGAATCAAGTGTCAATTAGTAAATATCCACCATGGCTCTGCACATTAACAGAGCTCGATAGTCATTTAAGAGAGATTATTCTCTTCTTTGCTCAGGTGCGAGAGAAAAAGGAAATTTTGCGGTCGAAAGCTCCGTTTAAAAAGCACCGTGTGACTAAGCAACATGGTCCGAGCTCTTCCTCGTCGAGAAAAAAATTCCTCCACTTATCGCCGACGCAAGTACTAACACAGGACAATTCATCAATACCGCCAAGTAAGTTTCTAATTCGTGTTCTAAGTGGTCTTTGTTGCTCATGTGCTAATATTGCTCTCTCCAGAATGCATCTTATGGTATGTTCCAATTGCGATATCGAAGCGAGGGAATCTTCAGCTCCGTTCGGAGATCGGTCGCTAATTTTTTGACGAACAGTACACCCTCGATACCGCTGGCAAGCGTGTTTACACCTTGAAGAAGGTATGGAAATCTTTGCGCTGGGGAGACCGCCGCTATTCAGTGAACCTGCGGCTCCCCGGATCACATCTTCAACCTTGCCAATAATTCTAACTTTTCGAAATTATAGGTCCTGAACGGCGAGGTCACCAAGTCTGCCCACCCCGCTCGCTTCTCCCCCGATGACAAGTACTCTCGGTAAGTAGCGATACCCTTCTGCAAAGGGCACAATGGATGGACTGGAAACTGACCTATTTCTCAGTCACCGTGTCACCCTGAAGAAGCGTTACAACCTTCTCCTCACCCAGCAGACCGGTACGTCGCATATATCCTCCCAAAATTTCCCTCTCCCCGAAGTACTGGAAACTGACATTTTATCGTTCAGAGACCCCCGTTAAGGCTTAAAGGGATCGAGGCTGTGAAAAATGAATTACCGGGTGGCTTAGCCCATGTTTTGGCGAATGGTGTTTTTCTTGTGGTCAACGGATGGCTGAGATGTCCATACTTGTTTTTCTATCCTTGGATAATCTATTCGGGGCTTCACCTAGACATTCTAGAGAATACGATACCTGATCTAGGCAATCAACAAGGATTTTGTCAAATGTTCATAAAGAGCCCTATGGATTGGCTATATTCTATGTTCAACTATAAATCACAAGACAAGACATGGTCATTCCTCATAAAAATGCCGACAACCACCATGACAGCGGCATTGACCAAGTGAACTTTTTTTCTTTCCATGCCCCAAAACTCCAGCCCATGTAATCAAGATGCAAAGTCATCCACGCAGCACATTTAGCGCTTCTTCGAGTTGACATTGCGGCCAGCACCGACCTTGGTACGACCGCCAGCCCTGTTACGCTCGCCAGTCAAGATACCAGGGAGGTAGTCTTCGTCCATGAGATCGCGCTCACGACGCTGCCTCCGCTCTTCCTCCTCGTTGGCGCGGACATACTCCTTCTGATCTTCGGCGAGAACGAGCTCGGTACCCCATCCTCGCTGACCACCGCCGCCCTTCCACTTGCCGTTCGCGCTGCCTGCGATCGGCTTGGGAACGCTGTATACATTGCCGCGCTTGTTCCACTGCATGTTCTTCTTCAGGTGCATTGTGAACGCGCCGTTGGCGGTGGTAGTGCATGAGACACGGGTGAGAGTATCCTTGCCACAGCGAGGGCAGAACTGCTTGTTCATCTCCTTTGTAGTCAAGAAGCAAGCGTGACAGCGCTTGATGAAGGTTCTAAGATGCTGGATCTTCTGGAGGGTGGTGGTAGACAGAAGGTTGAGGTTCATTTGCAGGAGAACGTTTTGGCACTATACAGAATAAGCAATTGGACGATAGACACATTTCATGTGGGGGTGTACTTACTGCGAAATCAGTGGTCATAGTCGCAACCTGCATTGTCTTGGGCGCAGCGGTAAGAGTCGCTGTCCCCGACTCATCCTCAGCAAGACGCTTTTTATAGTTAGAGGGCGTGATCCATTCTCCGTCGTCAGAATCAGCAGCATCATCCGCATCCAGATCTTCGTCCTTCTCTTCTTCGTCAGCAACGGCAACGGCAACCTCGGCGACTTCGTCGGCCTCGTTGGCTGCGGCAGTTTCTTCCTCCTTCGGAGACTCTTCCTGGACGTCTGCGACTGTGGTCTCCTTCACGCCCTCCGTAATGGCTTCCACATCCGCATCCTCGGGCTTGGTCTCCTCGGACTTGGCCTCCTCGGATTCCTCCTTAACAGGAGGCTTTCCATTGATTCTCTTCTGTCCAGGGACACTTCTTAACCGCCAATCTCCTTCGTTCTTTTCGCACTCAATTTCGTAGGCAAGCGCAAGGACCTCAATATCAGTTCTACTGAGGACAGAACGGTCACCGGTCTTGCGAGCGAATTCGCTGATAATATTGAAGCTCTTGGGTGTGGGGGATCGCTGCTTCAAGAAAGGCAGATAGAGTGTCTCGACACGTGCGCGAGCATCGGGATCGCGGATCTCGCCCACCACGGAGGGGGTGGTGATAATTTCGTCGCACTGGGCAAGGAGGGTTGAAAGCGGCGGGGTATTCTTGAGAATCGGGCCAGCGTCCAGCACGATTGTGTGGACGGGCTTGGTGGATGCGGCAGTAGTGTCCGCCATTTTGTCCTGTGTATTAGGACTATTCCCACTGATCGACAATGAGAAAAGACGAGATCGTTGGCGACTTGAAAGAATTGGCCGAGTTGTGGAAATGAAATTTCTCTGTGAACAGTGGCCTGTGCGTCCTTATCGGTCTATCTTATCGCCTATCCAAATCTACCAAGGTACTATATTCTAACTGGCATTTTCGTTTTGTACATGCAATTGGACATCAGAAAGCTTTAATTGTGCGTTTATTCTTCTGCTTCTTGGTATTCAAATAGTTATCTTAAATACTATATACTAAATTAAAGAAAGGTTAGTCCAAATGGAGAAGACAACGCCGATATTGTCAACATATTTACCCCTTTACAATCTTCATTCAACAAGAAAATTTCATGATCACAGTGCAGGTCAATCAGCAGAAACAGATTCTTCCGAGTCTCAGCACAGGAAACCTTCCTTCCTTTCTTCAGGGAGGACCTAATACTCAGTTACCGCCATGTTGAGAGCAGCACATGTTGGAAACCAGGCCAATAGGTTTCCGGTGCCTCCCCGGGCTGAGTAGAGAATCTCTTCAAAAATAGTAAGCACAGAGTGTGTTTGGAAAACCAAACGAATTTGTTCGTTTTTTTGCAGCAGGATTAGAAGTTTCATGAAAGGCATACCCACAATAGACAACCTATATCCGATGGTTCGACGCAAACAGCTCCCAACCAATGTAAGTTCGAAGATCTTTACCATATATCTCGCATACATATTGTATTTCACTATTTCGAGATAGATATGATCTTCTCTCAAACAGGGAGACTGCATGTTTCAACCTGCAGTCTCAACTAAAATCCCAAAGGTCCTTGTGAAGAAAAGAAATTGGAAAGAGGACAATGGCAAAGAGAGCTGCTGCAGACTGTAAGGAACCAGGATTTCATATCTCGCGTTTTAACCAGCAGTGGCTAGATTTATAACACAGAGCTGACATCTTGGTCCAAATAGATATGTAGCTTGCACAGCCCACAATAACTTCAGAGGGTTTTCCGCCTATGGCATGGAAGAAGTTGTCCAAGAAGTTATCTAGACGGCGATTCGGCAGATTCATGAGAAGCTGCTCTGAGCAAAATTCTTGGATGAACAATATCTCGCATGGGATGCCTGTATGTTGTAGACTCGAACCCACGAGAGAGAGAGAGAGAGAGAGAGAGCGGTCAATACACGTGGAATCCCATCCAATCGAGCTGTCCCGATCGTGATTTGAATCCGGCTAGCTGCAGTAAGATGGGCAACCAGAGATAAAGGGGTAGTTATGGGATGCACACTACCCCATGACATCGTTGACTGGAACAAGTAGAAACGTCTTGGCATATTAAATTGCCCAAAATTGCGACAAAATAACCGTTTTTTGGCTTTCATTGGATCCTACCTATTAGGGCAAGAAGGTTTCCGGTCTCCAGATCAGACTCAATTGAGGTAGGTACCTAAGGATTAAGGTACAGTCGGATCTTAACACAAACTTGATTCTATATTCTAGATCAATGCAAGATTCAACTCCCAAGCTGCCATGACAACTCAGCAGGCAAGGCAACCTGCATGCAAGTCTAGAGACCAGCGCCCTGCATATTGACAAGAAGTATTGCATAAATGAGTGTTTCACTGCATGATTCAAAATGTGGCAGCTAGAAATGCGAAGCCATGTTTCTTTGATGCTGCGACGGATGATCAGCCGTCGATATTCGTGTATCAAACGAATAGCCCTAATGGTTGTATGTGACATGTCAACCTAGACAGCGCCACCTTGGCAGGGGTCTTTTTTGGCCACACGCCGTTGGGAAAAGTCCAAATAACGTAACTTGTTAATTGCTTTTTCTTGAATTCTTCCAAAAATTTGACGCATTGCCACGAGCTGAATTGCGTGGTTAGCAGTTTTGGATGTTGTGAGACGCGACTAATTGAGGCCACATAATTACACTGAGACTAATGTGCTTTGTATAAGAAACATTGACAAAATCCAATTACTATGTTTAGCAAATGGAACACATCCCCATATTTGCGACAAACGAAGCTTTTCGGGAGCGGATATCCGGGCATGATCATCCCTTACAAGGTGTGTGCCATTATCGAATGATGTGGCTGGATGTTCCAACAAATAGGAGATTTTATCGTTCTATTCAATGTTCAATTGGACACTCTGTTGTTTTAGCTGTGGGTTAATCTGTCGCATACAGAGGAGTTCAGTGGCAATAAATAGAGCGCCCCTTACACCTCGAGTACGGTAAATGAGCTTAATTTGGCCCTAACATGCAAAATGAGACAGTGTTTACGATAGGCTGTTCGTTTCTCAGTCAACTAATAAGACAGACTAAACCTTGTTCCAATCATTCCTCAAATCTCCAAGGTAACAAGATGAGGGGCAGAACCAGGAGGGGAACAAGTCGAAGAAGCCGATCAACGCATGTATAGACATGTGTCAGTGTCTCGATAGCTTGGGGTTCCAGGTTTTTGCCGACCATCCCCGTCATTACCATTTAATTTACATTGCATCTTCATTGCCTGACAGTCTCACTACACTAGACTATGTCATGGAAAGGGATATGATAATTGGCTTCCAAACTAAAGTGGCACGCATAACCACGATTTGGAAGCCAGTAACTAATAGGGTTGACACATTCAAGCTCACATTTATCTCTATGGCCGAGCAGCTTTCCGTACGTGAATCAACTACAGTGAAAGATTCCATGGGCGGATTAATACATAGGGTTAGTTGAGTCCAGGACAACATAATCTCAGGAACCACTTGTCATTATCACTTGCTATAAATTATGATTTAGTATCACCGTCGGAGATGACCGGACATCAAATGAGATGACCTCCGAGCTGTCTGCAAGTAAACAACATATGTTGTATGCAAGTCTTGCATCATGACATATTCCAACTGATTTGAAATATCTTCAGCTATTGCATATAGCATCCCGGCAACTTGGAACAGAGTGAGGAACAGAGTGATAATCCGTGGAAGTATAGTTTGCCGTGCGTCAATCGACTAAACAAGGCAAGAATAGGCTACTCCTTATATGTAGTGCAACTAAGCAGTCTAGATGGTCGGTAAGTCGAGCCGATCGCCCCATATGCGATCGACAGGAATAACTTGAGATTATTGAACCATTCAGGGCAGTGAGACGGAAGGGGTAAAGGTTTCTGGGGTCTCAAAATAAGGTGTGGGAAATTAATATATCAAAGACCCTGTAAACTATAATTCGTCCCCATGTAAATTGCAACCACAGCCACCAAGTTCAAAGGCGAAAAAAACAAATGAAAAGAAGACAAAAGCAAAAAATAACAAAGAATCATCGTATAGAGGTGTAGTTAGTACGGAGTACAGAGGTACATATCGAGTCCATCGGGGCCAACACTGGACCCGATTCGTTGTATGGGGCCCCTTGCGCTGCACACTGCCGCAAACACGCTTTTTAGACGGGGATCCTGTCTCGCGTCAAAAGCATTAACCCGCTTATCCGTGGAGTGAGGAGAAAGAAAATGCCTGACCTTTTAGGAACTCGGTACTGTCTGTCTCTCAAAAAGGGATAGTGGATTCGTTCCTCGCCCGTTTGGTTTCTGGGGCTGCATGGATTGTTTATGGCAACGCTGCACATTAGATTTATGCGCTTAGGATTATATTGCGGCGATATCCTCTCGGATTTTTCGCTTCTTAGTGGAGAGTTTGTTCTCTTATCACTCTTTTGTGCCCTATACCGGTCGTTATTTAGATCAAGATCGACTATTGATCGGATCGTTAGACTGTTCCCCGGGCAATCTTCTCTTTGAGAAGTAGCCATCCCTTCGTTTTTTCTAAAGCCACAAGAGCGTGAGACGATGAGTCTATTGTACCTTCGAGATGCGATCTTCAGGCGAGATAGTGACGGCATATTTATGTCCCCCCGAGGCGCAGTGGGCTTGATTATAAGCGTTGTGTTCACGGCCTTGGCAACCTGCTTCGTGGCGATGAGGATGTATACTCGTATAAAACTTATGAATCGAGTGGAAGCAAACGACTGGATGGTCATTATTGCACTGGTAAGTCAAATGATTGATATCGAAGGATGCCAGATACTAATGCAGACGCATAGTTAAATTCATATGTCTTCATGGCCCTCGACATTATCGAAGCCGTCAGTGGCATGGGAGTGCATATAAAAGATATCCCACCCAGTATTCTCGAGAGACAGATGAAGGTAGGTTTACCATAAGCCGGGGGTCGTCACCTATCAACCACATCTAACAAAGGATCCAAATAGGCCTTCTGGCTCACCATTCCTTTCTACAACGCCGCCGTCCTGTGCGCCAAAGCTTCAATTCTGATGCAGTACTTCCGAGTCTTCCCAACACACCGCATGCGCGTTGTCTGCTGGGTCATGATCACCTTCCTCGCCATCTATGGCACTTGGGCAGTGATCAGTGCGTTTCTCAACTGCATTCCCGTCGCCAAATTCTGGGACGATACAATCCCAGGCTACTGTTTGAACAAGACCAAACTGTGGTTCTCCAATGCTAGTATGCATATCTCAACCGATATTGCTATCCTAGTCATTCCCATCCCGGCTTTAATGGCAGTCGACTTGCCCCGAAAACAAAAGCTCGCTTTAATGGTTATGTTCGCTTTAGGTGGCTTGTGAGTTATCCTATTTCAAACATATCAACTCGTCCCAGAACTAACATAAACAATCACTAGTGTCTGCATCACCAGTATCGTCCGTTTAGTCAGCCTTAAAACAATCTCCGATTCAACCGATCCCACCTGTATGTATCATATCGGATTCCACAACCCCATCACAACCCAAAACCAAGCTAATCCAGCACACCAGACGACAATGTTGGCGCCGCCTCCTGGTCCGCCATTGAATGCAACACAGGCATAATCTGCGCCTGTCTACCAACCCTAAAACCCCTCATCGCCCGCATCTTCCCAGGCATGGTATCAACCTTCAACGCCAGCCGTCCCACTCGCGGCGACACAACCCAGCGCAACTCCGACTGGAACGGTGATGCATCGACCCTCGGCGCACCCGGCGAAGAACACGAGTACGGCGCCGGTGACCCAGAGCGCGTTCTTGCTCTTGTTCCTAATACCAGCTTCAGGTCTAGTCTTAAGCGCTGGACGAGAGAGGAAGAGAAGAAGTTGGCTCAGATTCATTCGGTTCCTGGGCCTCGTCCTAAGAGGATGACGCATCCTCGTCCTTTGCCTACGGATACGGCGGTGCCGTTCTGAGGGTTTGGTGTTGTATAGACACGCATTTGGTTTTTGAATGGCTTATGTAGTCATGTTGGTGGCTTGGAGTATAAAGTGATATACCCGTCGGAGCTTTTTCTTTTTGTTTCTCGTCTGAGAGTTGCACCACGCTCTTTGGGCCTGGCGGTTGTCGGGCCATGATAACCCCGTGGGGTACACGCTCTCTCTCTCTGTTTTCTTTTTCATAAGTCATTTTAAAGATATAATAATGTGGAATGTAGGCTTGGAAATTCTTGGATATATAGATAGTCGAGGTACAGCAATCGAATTAAACAGATAACTTAATACCGAAAGTTGGAAGAGCAATAGTCACAGAATGAAGCCATTTCGTTGTAGTCCAATACACGCCCCAAGTATAGAATAACGAAACAACCCGCCTATAACAGGCATGCACAAAAGGGAAAGAGGTCTATGTCGTCTAAAGCAAAACGCAAAATTACCGATCTAAAAATCGGCAAACTCCTTATCGACTTCTTCGTAGTAATCGAAGAATCCCTTGAACAACTTGACACCCAGGCCGGGGTCCAAGCTTCCGGTAGTCGCCCGGATGCTGTGCATGCTCAGCTGCGGGATACCGCAGTCAATGGCCCTCATGCCGATCTGGGCACTGGTCATGGGCCCGATAGTGCCACCGCTGCGAGAGTCATTGCGAATCTGGAAGACCTGCAGGGTGGACCCACAGCGCTCTGCAACTCGCCTAATGAAGCCCTCACTGACGCTGTCGGTAGTCATGTGTCCGTTTGAGTCGGCAGACACTGTCACGCCAACGTTGAGGCGGGGGGCGTGATTCTCCAGGTAGACATTAAGGAAGTTCGGGTTTACTGCATGGATGACATCTGATGAAACCAAAAAGCTGTTGGCCACTGTCTGGGAAAGGAGATTGGGGCCGTAGTTGTCCTTTGCGAAGGCCTCGGTAATCCGCTCAATGACGCTGCTCATGAAGTTTGACCGAGCACCTTGGCGGAGCAAACTGCCAATCTCTTCGTCATCAAACATACCAACCATCTTCACGGTTCCGGGCGATGTGCTGTCCGAGGAAGCAATGAGCGCTTCCTGTGCGGCATAGCAGCAGAGCTTGTCGTCAATGCGACCGGCGAAGATCATGTCCTTCTCCAGACCTCCTAGTTGAGCGGGCTGGGTATCAAATAGCTCCAATTCCCAGTTGACAATAGTGCTGTAGTCTGTGACGCCAAGCTCCTTGGAGATGATCTTCACAAGTTTCTCAGGCTGGGTCGAGGTAAATGTGCCAAACTTGATGTTGCTAGACTCCACCTTGGAGTGTTCAAACAAATCAGAGTTATCAATTCCGATGACAGGGACCATCTGAGTTTCCTGGTTGAACGGGCCATTTGCAGGGGTACCGAAATGGGGAGCGAGGGTAGGTATACGAGCAATAGGCCAGTCAAGTTTGACCAGCTTAGTCTCCACCTTGCCAGTTTCCGGGTCGCGGACGAGCACACGACCACCGATACCAAGGTCACGATCCCACCAAGTAGTGCCGAGTCCACCGGCGTACGGGGCAACGCCAAGCTGCTGGAAGCCTGCTTTGTTCGGCACTTTGGACACGGGCTTCAGCTTGGCAGTCAGGGCATCAACGTGGCCAGCAACGATAGCTACACCGTTGCCGCTCTCGTATTTGGAGCCAATGTTGAAAGCAATCAAAGAGCTGCCGTTGCGGGAAATGTAAAACTTGCCGCCTCGTTTCAGCTCCGATGTCCACACCGCTCGTTCGGAGAGTTGCTTGTAACCATGCTCTTCGAGCTGCTTGGAGAAGGATTTGACTGCGTGGAAAATTGTGGGGTTGGATGTCATGAACTCGCAGTATGGCTTGGAGTAATCCTCGGGTTTGATGGGTTCATTGGCGATCGGTGCCTGAGCTCGGACTGGCTGTGCTGCAGGTACAGGCATGAACGCGCTGGGCAGCTGGGCGGAAATTTGTGAGGCCCATGGCATATCGAGGCCTTGGGTCGTATTGTATTTTCTGGTCATATTGTAAATGGAGTGTTAGGTTGTATGAGTGTAGGGAAGAGGAAAGAGTTGGAGGACAGAATGACTCGTGAGGGGAAAAGGCGGAGTCCCGACGGGGGGGCTGGTACCTGATCCGTAGATGTGCCCCTTGCTTATCGCCAAGTCCGGTGATAACGGATTCAGCTCCACCTGTTCAATTGACTCACGTGTGACAACTACATGTCCTGTTCCTATAGGTCAAATAGTAGTTATGCATGTAGGTCTGCAGGATGCTATTATGCTATTGCAATTGTCGCACCTGGGCAATATATTTGGCTTAGTAAATGCTTAGTTCGGGGCCTACGAATTGCACACGTCGAAACCAAGCTCTATGACGCCATTTTCTACCAGATACCTCTACAAAACCTCATTTGAATAGGAATATAATTAAGATGAGCTTACGGTTATGGTATTCCCTTGTTGTTTATACTCAAGCCATGTAAAGGTCAAGTAACCTTGAAATGTTCATAAGATATACAATTTGTCTGCAACTTGACCGCGATATATATCCTATGAATACAGTACATTATCAAATTTTATGAGTCTATATGATGCAACGATATATGACACAGTGAGGAATTGACTACAACGCCTTTGTTTCTACTTGGTTGAAACTATTGAGAGTTTGGAAAGGAAAGAAAAACTTTCAAGTTCTATAATCCTTCTGGAAGCCCACATTTTTACCGCGGCCACGCAGATCAAACGAGCTATGTGGGAGCTCAATGACAACGTGGGGTTAGAGAAATTTGAATAAACAGCGGGCTTAATTTACCTCCATGAATGCTGGAGATATCATGCTGATCATACCGGATAGCTCTTCTTGACGCATACCCGGCATCATGATGATGTCAGTTGACAGAAACCCCCATAACTGAAGTTTTAGCATTTGCAATATGTTACAAAGGAACACTCCAGGAATAAATGCTAAACCCGAGTCTGATCAATTAGTACAAACTGCACTGGAAGTTCCTATTACCTCTATGGACACAGTGAACGCATAAATTCGCTATATCCCAATCATACATCTCTGCAAATAGATTCAACATGACGATGACCCAGGCAGCAAACCTGGTAGAAAAGATTCTTGGACATGGTGATAATGCGACAATCACTACTGACGTGTCCAGCTACGACAATGAACATGGAGTGGAGACCGGCGAGATGATCCAGGCTACTACCTGGCAAGGGAAGAACTGCGTCAAAGTTGGTAAGCGAGAGAGGCAATTGCCAGGTTAAACTTTTGTGCATTGCTGACCACTGTCGTTAGTGCAAATGCCGAAGCCACGCGTGATCGACCCTGGAGATGTGATTGTCAGGGTGACAGGAAGCACGATTTGTGGTAGCGATCTTCACTTGTATCATGGTATGAAGAGTGCTCCACCACCATCCGAGCGAGCGAATAAACTGACACAACTGTGTCGGGTTAAGGGGTCATTCCTCAGTTGCAGAAGGGTGACGTGCTCGGCCATGAATGCTGTGGGGTTGTGGACAGCATAGGACCGGAGTCAAAGAAGGTCAAAGTCGGAGAACGGGTTGTTGTTTCGTTTCCGATTGCCTGTGGGAATTGCAGGAATTGTCGGAGAGAATACTATTCTCAATGTGACAAGACCAATGAGAACACCCTGACCAATGTTTTGTATGGGAAACGAACTGCAGGTAAGTTGAGCAGAGTAGCTGACATGCACTTCACCTAGCCCTGGAGGCTCCGAGATTCGTACTAAACCGAGAACAGGCATGTTTGGATATTCCCATTTCACAGGTGGGTTTGCAGGTGGCCAGGCCGAGTATATTCGAGTTCCATATGGTGATGTCAATCTGCTTTCCATCCCAGCCGAAGTACCAGATGAGAAGGCACTTTATGTCTCGGATGTTATAGCAACATCATGGCACTGCGTGGTCGACACTGGTGTGAAGGAAGGAGACGTTGTTGCGATCTGGGGAGCCGGACCGATCGGGCAGATGTGTGCACAGTTCAGCTTTTTCCATGGAGCTAGTCGAGTCATCCTTATCGATGGAGGTGACGGCGCATGGCGATTGGATTTTGTGAAGACGAAAGCACCAAAGGTTGAGACGATCAACTTCACTGATCTGCCCAAAGGCGAGTCAGTGACATCACAACTGCAAAAGATAGTAGAGGGTGGTCCCGACGTTGCTTTAGAGTGTGCAGCGGGTGAATACGCCAAAGGATGGGCGCATTACTTCGAGCAAATGCTTGGGATGGAGACGGATACTTCAGAGTTGTTGAATGAGATGATTACTGCTGTTCGCCCATTTGGCCACGTTGGGGTGACGGGTATCTATGCCGGATTTGTGAGTTCACCGGTTTTCGGAAGAGTAAAGTATCTTATCTAACAATCATTCCCAGACCAATCACTTTAACATTGGGGCTCTGATGCAGACAGGTGTTCACCTTATGGGTAATGGGCAGGCCCCTGTCCACAAGTACTGGAAGCACCTCATGCATCTCATTCAGACAAACGATATCAATCCGCTGGATATGGTGACCCACCGCGTCCGATTGGAAGACATGGAGAAATTGTATGAGATGTTCAATAAGCGAGAGATGGGAATGCAGAAGGTCTTCGTGCAGACCAAGCACTCTGCTCCTCCATCAGACGGAGCCCCTCAACTGACGGAGTTGTGAGGCAATGCTTCATGCTGGTCAACTTCTTGAAGAGAATGACTCTTTAGAATTAGAACTATGCTAATTACCCCTCGGTCATATATCACCAGGCCCGCCTCTTGAAAGCCTTCAGTGCCGAGAAGTAATCCTCAATGGAAGGAAATGCATTATTTTCTCAACATTTCATCGGCTTTCAATGGAACTAGAAAATATGGGCATCTTGTGAATCGAATACAAGAGAATTGGAGACAATCTAGGAACGTAGAGTTCATGTCCCTTGCAGATTGGGAGCTCTGCATTGATCGGCTTAAGCTGGAATCCATTCCGCTCATGTTTTAGATTATACATTGTAATTCATTCCAGCAGATCAAGGATGAACTGGAGGTCCCTGATGTTTGCTAGAATCTCACGACGAGACTGCGTCATCATGCCAATTTATACTATGCGTTTCATCATAATCGCACTGAAAAGACATAACTGAGAATAGTGGATTGACTTTTCAGATCGGCAAGAATGGGACTCCAAACGCTAGGGAAGCGAGCGTGTCCAATGGCGGCGACTTCTTTCCACACATTCCACTTTTTCCACCGTCAATCTCTGCATACGCACGTCACAGACAGCTCTGTGACTAACTGGCGGTAGTGATCTCCAAATCGGGCCATATACACGAAAGTTCCGCTGTTCGGCCCTCGCTCGGAATGAGGTTGGGGAGCATCATTCACTGATTGATAAGATTCTGCGCTGTGGGGGCACTTCCAAGGTTGGCCAAGACCACCAACCACTTCCACAGAAGGCCGACCCAATCATCCAGAGAGGAAAATTACGGCAGTGAAAGAGAGACAATTTTGCCGGTCTCTGGTCCAGCTCTTGGGTTGCGGTCAGCTCTAGAGGCAAGCGGCGTTAGTGCAATCAGATAAGATCAGAGAGACCGAGAACGGCCGTACGGGATCCAATTCCCATGTCGATCCATACTCTCACCGCTGGTGAATGACTGCTGGGAAGGTTCTTTTGCGCATTGCCACATTCTCATTGGCCCAATCGCCGTTTCTGCTAGGTAATGGCTACAGGGCTGGTAGACCGGAAGTAGGGGGAGTTTTGCCCACCCATGGTCAATGGATTGACGAGACACTCCACTCAAGCAAATTTTACTTCCACAGGAGAGTTCTGATCCGTGTCGCCTGTCATTGAGTCATTGACGATCAGGCGGGTGAACGGTGAACTGCATGGGAAGTTTAGCACGTTACGGAGTACGGAGTATGTAGTTGGGAATTGGGACTGGATTATTTGCTATTGCAACTATCCTGTGCGAATTCAAGTAATTGATACTCGCGCTGTGTCTAAGGAACAATAAACGCAGTTAGCGAAGAAAATTAGACTAAATAATATATTACACCTGGGCAGGAAAAAATGCTGCGTCAGCCCACCAACGCTTTCTCGGAACCATCTCCACTCGGATTCGGATCAGATAAAAATTTCAAAGGGGATCCTCTCGGGATTAGGTTTAAAAAGATAGTAAATGAACCAATGGTAAATCAGCAGAAAAAGAAAAAGAAGAGCAAACCCTGGAAGAAGGGCAAAATACATACAGCCGAAAGGTCAACGTCCGAAACCGGCATCATGTGAGCACATAATCTAATCTGATCATCGGCCACTTTTTCTCGGCTTTTCCCCCTCCCTTCGCATCTCTCTCTTCTTTGTAACCTTTCTATACTCTATACGTGTCCATTCCCCCGTCTGATTAATTCCATAAAGAAGAAAGTTTGGAAGAAAAGTCGTTCTTCCTCTCCAACTGGTCTTTCTCGCTTATCGGCTCATATGAGCGCACTTCCGCTCTTCCGACCGAGAAACGGCTCGTGCGTGTGCCCCGACCACCCCCGGCTCTAGTTGTTTTTAACTGACCCCAACTCAGTATTTGAACATCAATTTGGTGTCAAAATGGCCAGTGGTGTGTCTATGGCACCTGCTCCAGCTGGAGTTCCTGCACTGGCCCTGGCACCGGCACCTACGCTGGCCGCCAGGCCCTCTGTAGCCCCTTCTCCAGGACCGGGTACACCCGGCTCTATCACCTCGAGAGAATGGGTAATCCCACCACGTCCCAAGCCTGGCCGTAAGCCAGCTACGGACACCCCGCCAACCAAACGCAAAGCCCAGAACCGAGCAGCTCAACGAGCATTTCGTGAGCGCCGGGCCGCCCGGGTTAGTGAACTGGAAGAGCAAATGAAGGAAATCGAAGATAATCACGATATCCAAGTCGCTTCACTTCAACAGCAAATCGGAAACCTCTCGGGCGAGATTGATCAGTGCCGCGAGGAGATGGGCTGGTGGCGCGACCGATGCCACGCCTTGGAGAAGGAAGTATCGATTGAGCGCAGCGCAAAGGAAGCCCTTGTCAAGGAATTCCGTTCATCTCTTGCTGGCCCTAATGTTAGCAAGCCTGCGCCCATTCCCGACTCTGTTCCCTTGCCACCTCGCAAGACCAGAAGCTCCCGAATGGAGGATGTTCAGCCTACTAGTACCGAACGTAACAAGGAAGATGGAGAGATGCATGTACCTTTGGGCTGCAACAACTGCTCTAACTCCCACTGCCAGTGCATCGAAGATGCATTCGGCATGCCAATTGATACCCATGAGTCATCTCGTTCTAGACACGCACCTCATGGCGTGGGCAGCCCCGAACGAGATCATAGGGATCCCCACATCAAGCCCGATCCGGAAGAGATGGAAATCGACTTCACCGCTCAGTTCTCTAGCGTTCCAACCCAGTCTCACGAGAACGATGTCTCTTCGCCCCCCGTTGATCCCTGCGGATTCTGCCAGGACGGCACCCCCTGTATCTGCGCCGAGATGGCCGCACAGGAGCAGCAACGTGTACGCAACATCAACACATTCGAGACTAACCGTCTCGCCCCAATCCAATCCATCTCTCAATTCACCCCGCCCCCATCCGAAGGAGACGTCCGCTCAGAAGTGACCCTCCCGCCCATCAGCCAAGCGACCAACCCCTGTGCCAATGGGCCAGGCACCTGCGCCCAGTGTCAAGCCGACCCCCGAAGCACTCTTTTTTGCAAGACGTTGGCAGCCTCCCGGTCAGCGAGCGGAACTCCATCGGGAGGAGGCTGCTGCGGAGGCGGAGGAAAGGACGGCGGATGTTGCATGTCAAGAAATGCCCCCGCCACCGCGTCCGCCACGCGTAACAACGCCTCCATGTCTTCGAAACCTCCCGCACCCAAGCCCGCTCCGCCCTCCGAGCTAACGCTCAGCTGTGCCGATGCCTTCACCACCCTGTCCCGCCACCCGAACTTCAATCGCGCCAGCGATGAGATCTCAACCTGGCTGCCAAAGCTCCACACCCTCCCCGATCCTCGCGAGATCGCTCCCCCAGACAGCCGCGGTGCATTGGAAGTCGAGGCTGCAAGTGTCATGGGTGTGCTGCGATACTTCGACCGTCGCTTTGCTGAAAAATAAACAATCCTCTATTGTGGATCTCTTGCGTCCGGGTCCTCTTCCTCCTTTGCTTGCATTTTTCCCGCACTTTTGATACCCAAACACCCTTCTCCCGGGCGCTCCATGTACCATCATACGGACTTGTTTCATACTATTCTGTCTTTCTCTCCCTGCCTCCCATGGGGAATGGATCTCGGCTTCATTTATATTTCTATGACTCGATTTATTCTCTATCATCCACCCAAAAGCATGACATGTTGATTCTCATTCGATTTCACTGGGTTCCTCTGGTGCAGGGTCTCCTGGCCGCTATGAACATGGTCAGTGGTTGATCTGGTGGACCCTTTGTTTTCGATCTCAATTTTCGCCTATCATTAGACGGATGGTTTTTAGCGGCGTTTCTCTTTAAGGATTATGTGTACAACGTGGTTTTATTACGAATGAAACGATAATACCGCACTGCAATTTGCCTTTATCAAAAACGTAATTCGAGTTGTAGAACAAGAAGGTGATATGATTCCTTTTTCAGGATGGTATATGTGATAGTGATAGGCTCATTACCAAATTTATTCTCGTGTACAGGTGTTGCACATAAATATGAAGCAGCAACAAAACGCCAAACACCAGCCCAGATGCTAAGTTGATGAGCCAGCGGTTTGATAGGGAAAGGAGAAAGAAAAAAGCAAGAACGCAACAAGAAGATCATCAGAGACCGAGCTTAACGTCCTCTTCCACGTCCACCACCACCGCCGCCACCTCCCATTCCGCCCATCAACCCACCCATTTGGCTCATTAGGCTCTGCATATCGGGCATGCCGCCACCACCACCTCCCATCATCTGCATCATCTTGGCCATGTCAGGCATACCGGGCATACCACCACCGCCAGCACCACCCATGGAGGCCATGCGCTTCTGCATGGCAGCCATCTGCTGATTCTTGTTTCCGCCCTTCATCATGTTCTGAGCTTGCTGCATCTGCTTCTTCTGGCCGCCAACACGCTTGGCCATGCCGGCCATCATGCGGTGCTGGGAGAGCACGTCCTCGACCTCACGGACAGTGGTTCCACTGCCGTGCGCGATGCGGACCATACGGCTAGGTTGCTCGACAAAGTTCTTGCCGTCGCCATCCAGCTCGGCTACAGTCATACTGTCGAAGATGTAGACCATGCGGCGCAGCTTCAGTGAGCCGTCCTCGTCATCCAGACCCTGGGTCATGTTCGACAGACCGGGGATCATGCCGGACAACTTGGACAGCGGGCCCATCTTCATGATCGATGTGATGTTCTCCCGGAAGTCGCGCAGAGTGTAGATACCTTCCGCAATGTGCTTGTATGTTTCCTTGGCACCTGCAGAATCCTTTGTCATGGCCTGGACGTGCTCGACCAGTCCAGCGACATCACCCATGCCCAGTAGCTTCTGAACAAACGCGCGGGGCTCGAATCGTTCCAGATCCATCATGTGCTCACCGGTACCGAGGAAGATAATGGGAGTGTGCGTCGCAGCGACGGCAGAAATGGCACCACCACCTGCGGCATGGCCGTCAGTCTTGGTAATAATAATAGCTCCAAAGTCTGCCGTTGCCTTGAACGCTGCGGATTGAGCCTCGGCAGATTGACCAATTGTGCTGTCGAGCACGAGAATGGTCTGGTCTGGCGTCACGGCAGTCTGAATTTGTGTCATTTCCGTGAAGAGCTCCTCTTCCTGTCGGTGACGACCACTGGTATCGACAATGATGATATCAAAACGCTCCTTCTTAAACTTGGCCACACCCTCTGCGGCCACGACAGCGGGGTCCGTCTGCGTCAGACTACCATAGTATGGGATCTTGGCCTTAGTGGCGTTCTGCTTCAGCTGGTCAAAAGCACCAGCACGGAAGGTATCCGCGCAGACCAGCGCTGTCTTGAATCCTCGCGTCTGGTAGTGCCGAGCTAGCTTCGTACACGTTGTTGTCTTACCCGCACCCTGCAAACCGACGAACATGATCACATTGGAGCGACCCTTCTTTGGCCGGAAGGAGTCTGCATGCGGGTCCACCAATTTTACGAGCTCGTCGAAGACGGTCTTCTGGATCAGTCGCTTCTTGTTCACTGCGGCTGGAAGTGAGGCGAAGTTCACGCTGGCCTTGATCGATTTGCGTAGTGTTCCTACGAGACGGACGTTGACATCGGCGGAGAGGAGAGCGGCGCAAATTTCCTTAAGCATGTCATCGAAAGCCTATTGTTGTGTTAGCAGATTGACTTGTGGGCCACATTGGACAGCACATGGCATACCTTCTCATCGAGGTTATTGGACCTCGTCAGGTCATTGACGGCGGAGTTGATTCGCCGCCCAAGGTCTTGAAGAACCATGGTGAATATGTGTGTAGATGTAAACGATTGATAAGAAAAACCAGAATAAGACCGTAGTCGTCTATGATTCCGCGATGGAGGAGGGGTGAGAGTGAAGCCCGTCGAGAGACCAGAGAGGCGATGTGGAGGGGCCAATCGGAGAGCCGACGCTTTCTCACCGCCCCCAAAAAAAAGTTGTGATACGGGCACTTTTGGATCAGCGTCTTGACTTTCTTCTTTACTTGCATTATTACATTATTTTTTTGTAACAATGCCTCCTACTTTTTCCAAGAAGCGCAAGGTCCTTGATGGCCTAAAGGGCAATACTGGCCGCAAGAAGAAGTTCGTCAAGCAGCGCTTCTATCACAGCAGCTCGGAGGACGAAGAAGAAGATGGGAATTTCAACCCCGTCAGTCTTGAAGACTCGGACGCCGAAGAGGGAGGTATCACAGTGACCAAGCCCTCAGCCCTCGATATCCGCATGAAGAAGGCAAAGACAAAAGAAGAATCACCTGCACCGGAACCGAAAAAATCAGATGCTAGCGCTAGCGACTCAGACTCCAGTGTCGGCGAGGAGATTGAGCTGGAGGATGAAGACCTCGAGAACGACGACGATGAAAGCGATGTTTCTGGATCCGATGAAGATGATCTCTCCGACTCATCCCCAGCCGGCAAAGCTACAGGCGCCAATCGCGGCCGAGCCGTCCCCAAGCGCAACGACCCTACCGCATTCTCAACCTCCATCTCTAAAATTCTGTCCACAAAACTTCCTACCTCCGCACGGGCTGATCCCGTTCTCTCGCGAAGCTCGTATGCTGCGAAGCTGGTCAACGAGGCTGCAGATGAGAAGCTCGACAACGCCGCGCGGGCTAAGATGCGCGCCGAAAAGAAAGAGGAATTGGATCGCGGCCGTATCCGTGATGTGATGGGTATCCAGCGAGGAATTGCTGGTCCCGTCGCCGAGGAGGAGAAGCGTGTGCGCAAGATGGCGCAGCGTGGTGTCGTGAAGCTGTTCAATGCTGTGCGTGCGGCTCAAGTCCGAGGAGAGGAGGCGGCCAAGGATGAGCGCAAGAAGGGCACAATTGGTATGGGAGAGCGGGAGAAGGCTGCCAACGAAGTCAGCAAGCAAGGGTTCCTGGAATTGATCAATGGAAAGAAGGGAAAGCCTTTGAACATCGAAGAGGCGTGAGCTGGATCTACGATTACCCATGGCATGTTTCTGGCGTTGGGAGAATTTTTTTTGTTATATATTCTTTTCTACATTGTAATAAAATTGCTTATGTGGAGAGTCTTGTTTGATCAAAATAGTACAGGAGATTTTCATTTTGCGATACCGTGCAAGTTTACTAGATGCATCCGATGAATATTACAGTACAAAGTCCTATTTGGTGTCCAAATACGACCATAAGCCCCCCGCTGTGTCCAGCCATCTCGATTCAGATAAGATGTGAGGGTATTCAAGATCCAAACAGTCCCACCCGGGGTTTCTGTTAGTCTCTTTATTTCGACTCAAAGTCGCTTGCTTGGAGATTCCGTGTCATGGATGGCAATCGCACGACCATTCCATCAAGATCCTTGGTCATGATCACCTGGCAGCCCAACCGAGAGGTCTCGGTAAGCCCAAAAGCCAGATCCAACATGTCGTTCTCGTCATCCGATGGCTCTTCCATTTTATCAAAGGTGTCCGGGTCTTCCACAATCACATGGCACGTTGAGCAGGCACAAGATCCTCCGCATGCACCTATTCCCAGCATAATGTCAGACATTTGATATTAAATAACTATGATATCGGCTCAACTCACCCTCCATTTCAAGGTCATTGGCCTGCGCGATGTCGAGTAGGTTATCGCCCTCGGCAACCTGGAGGTCTATTTTGGCGCCATCCTTGTCGATGAAAGTCAAGTTAATCCTACAGAATCAAGTCAGCATGCAGCACAGATCGCGCAAGAGCGCAAGAAGAGTGTAACCTGGTGGGCTTACTCTTCTCCGGCCTTTGGCGGCGTGATATGACCATGCGCAGCTTGAGCAGTGACCGAGAAAGCACGTCGGGCCGTATTATATCCTTGCCAAGGTGATTGAAGGCTTCTCTGCGCGTTGATTTGCGAGCGAGTGTATGTTGTGATTCCGGTGTTCTTCCATGACCTTGAATAACTTAGGCATCTCCGCGATTGAGTCAAACAGATATCCCCGGTCTTGGGTACACGGCGCAATTGTTGACCAACCTCTCGCCAGAAAGCCATGTTGTAGAAAAGGTAATAAATAAATTAAAAGGGGAATTGAAAGTCAAAAGAGAGAAAAAAAGAGGATCCCGGGGAAGATGGGAAGAGTGAGCGATGATCGTCCAATGGCCGCGGAGCGAAAAAAAAGACTGACAAAGCTTGGGCGTTCGGACATTCCACTCCTCCCGTTCTTCTTTCCCCGAACCATCTTTAACTCCGACCAACATCACAATATGGCGTCTCGTGAAGGGATCAATCCCTTGCGGCCTTACTATATCCCTCCATCTGGCTTATCGCCCGCTTCAAATGCACCCCCGGAGGTAGCATCGCCGTCATCGGCCCAGGTGTTTGGCAGCACAGCTCGTGATCTCATGCCGGACTTGGACTATGCCGATTATCTGGAGGCCTCGCCCTCTGTGTCTGACTGGGTCCGCGATACCTTGAATCGGGCCCTTATACGCTACTCCAAGGTTCTTACTGCACAGCCGTTCGATGTCGCCAAAACCATCTTGCAGGTGTATGTCGTACCAGACGCCACAGAGGAGCAGTGGGATCGGAACTCCTCGCCGGGTGCTGAAGGAAGCTCTTATGACTCGGTAAGAAGGCTGTTCCCTATAGCTGATATATCGCTGTGTTGAATTCCACGACAAATGACTGATGGATGCGTATAGGACTCAGAATCATCCGATGATGAAACCAGTTACTTCACCTCAGCGGCCCCTCCAACCCCGACACCGAGTACACCTCGATCTCGCAAATCACGCCACCACATCACCGACCGCAGTGGCTATATTCGACCAGAGTCTGCCGCACTGCCCAAACATGCCTTGACTCTCAAGAACTCGGACTCCCTGACCGAAGTACTATCTCAGCTCTGGTCCTCCAGCGGCCCAACCTCCCTCTGGAAGTCCTCTAACACTACATTCATTTACTCGCTTCTCTTGCCGACCTTGAATACTTTCATCCGCAGTCTTCTGACGGCAATCGTTGGCCTGCCAGAAGAAGACATTTCCATGTCGATGACCGCGGACATCCTGACGGCATCATCCCCTCTGGCAACCCTGGTCCTGTCATTCATTTCATCCTCGCTATCCGCCCTGATCCTAGCTCCTATCGACACCGCTCGTACATTCCTAATGCTCACACCAGCAACCCATGGGCCGGGATCCCTCGTCCGAGCTATCCGCCAGCTCCCCACACCCAACTCCACGATCCCCTCGCATCTCGTCCCAATCACCGTGCTTCACTCAAGTCTCCCCAACCTCATTATGACCTCGACACCACTCTTCCTCAAATCCTATCTGTCCATTGATCCTCTCCTGAACCCAAATACATGGAACCTTTGTGCCTTCCTTGGCTCAGGACTTGAACTCGCCGTGCGATTCCCCCTCGAGACCGTGCTCCGCCGCGCCCAGATCGCCACATACACATCCCTGAGCCTGCGCCAGAAGTCCTCAGGCGGTAGCATTAGTTCGGCATCTATTGATGCGTCTGATGTGGAAACAATCGTCCCTACCCCGCGCACATACCGCGGTATCATTGGCACAATGTGGCATGTCGTTTATGAGGAGGGGGTCAGCTCGACACCGTCCGACACAGAGCGTGCCAAGCAGCTCCTCGGTCAGCGCGCCTCACAGAAGAAGCGACAGCAAGGCCAGGGTATTCAGGGCCTGTACCACGGCTGGCGTATTGGCATGTGGGGTATCGCCGGTATCTGGGGAGCCAGTTTGTTGGGCGGAATCGCTGGTGGTAGCGAAGACGAGGTGACAACAATAGGTGGCCATGGTCGTTCCAGCGGCGGACGCTTCTAAGAGCCCCGGCCAGCAGGGAGACCTTCGTCTTTGTCTTCCTTTTGGAGGTCACCAAATCGCCACTCAACTGATCCAATTAATCAGTCGTGAAACCTCAAATCAAGTCTTCCATACGAATTGCTTTGATCTTTCATCCCATCACTGTTGCTCTACTGGTCGAGACAATTCGATACCTTGAATCTTCCAAATTGGCAACGTCGGAAGCATCTCTCTCATTGCGTCGCGTGCGTCATTTATCTTCAGTCCCCTCCCACTCTCTCCTCTCCTTCTCCCTTCTGTCTACATCTTATACCCCAGTGAATGGATCCAGGGGGAAACGGCGATCGGCGTCATGTTTTTGATTAGCAACCCCCACAGCGCAAACCGTGTATAAATCCTCCCTTTCCTACCACATAGCTATGTAACGAGATACAAACCACAGTCCGATCTCGCTCCAAGCTTTCTGGACATTTAATTTATTTGATACTTGATTTTAGAAACCGAAATTTTCGAGATTGTACGATTCAAGGTTGCGCTACTCACTGCTGTATTATTATTTGAGATTCATAGCTGGATGCCACCTGTTTGGAAATATCTAATAATATGGTCATTCAACCTGCCTTGGACAGATTTGAATGGGCAAGCGAGGCGATCCATCTGAGAAACGATCAAACCAACTAATCAAGTCTCTCAATCTTCTGCAATCGATCCGCAAGTTGAAAGTAGAGCTCGTTGCCCGTCTCAACAGTCCATTTCGCCAACTCTGGCAACCGTCCCACAACCGTCCCAAGCACCACACTCCAACTAAGATCCGGAATCTCATCCTGAACCACACGACCCGGCAGCAGAGACGGGCCATGGATACTCACATCTCGGTCCAATGGAACACTCAGACGATATTTCCAAACAACCTCCCCATCCACATACAACGAGTACGTAAGAACAGAGCTACGAGCCCGGACAGGCGCAGCAGCAGTCGAACCAACATCTTCAATGTCATCCGTGATATCAATAAGCCCGAACTTACTATTCCCATTCGGCGCATACTTCACCATAACATCCTTAGAGTCTGTCTGGTGGTACGTACGGATGGGGAGGTAAAACATGCTCAACGGACCAACACTGAACTCGTGTAGTCCTAGCCCGGCCGTATTAGGCAAAAGCTGATCGCGGCCCAGGTTGAGTTCCGGGTCCGGGAATCTTGTAGCACCGAATTCATGTCTGTCGCCGCTAAGCATGACGATGCGGATGCCTAGCTCGCGCTCCGCGCGCCACATTGCTTCGAAGACGGTGCGTCGCTCGTCTAGGAACCCGCCCCAGGTATCTGTGGTTCCGACGTGCCAGTTCTTGGTGAAGGGAACACTGGAGGAAATGATCTTCCAGTGCGTGCCTGCTGGCTCTGGGGTTGAGATGTACGTGAGGAGGGATTGGAGCTGGGGACGACCGAGGATTGTTGAGTTCTTATGCGAGGGCTCGGTGCGGTATGTGCGTGTGTCTAGCATGAAGAAGGAGGCTGGACCGTGGGTGAAGGCGAAGTAGGTTACGTTGTCTGGGTGGGCGAAAGGTGCTACTGGGATGGGTGGGTTTGCTCGCACGTGGTAGTGGATGAAGGGGTCTGCAGCTGCTGGATACGGGGCTGTTTTGTTGCCCTGCGACCAGTCGTTTTCGATCTCGTGGTCGTCAAGCGTGTGTAGCCAGGGGAGATCGATAGCGCGGTTTTCTTCTGGTCCGTGAGTCCAGGAGGGGGACGAGTAGATGCGTCTGTACTCGCTACGGTAGTGGGACATTGTTGAGCCGAAGCGCCAGGGGACATCTATGTAGATAAAGTCGCCTAAGAAGAGCATGAATGATGGGCGGAGTAGCTTGGGCAGTTTGGCGAGAGCGTCGGTCATTTGCTCGAGGCCTGGGATCCGCAGTGGGTGTGATAGTAGGTTGTAAGGGAAGTTTGGCTTCAGGCAACTTGATGTTACAAATGATAGTCGGCTTGCTTCAGGGGTCTCGGGCGATGGGGCAGTGATGAATGTGCCAGACTTGTTGTTGGACAGCGAGTAGCGATAGGATGTCGCCGGCTTTAGGTCGGTTATGGTCACAGTTGTTGTAAAGTCGGTAGAGTTATCCAGCTTGTAAACAATGCCCTCTTCGTACCAGTCTTGGCGCATTTCAGAGACCTCCTGGAACATGACCGTCACCGGTAGGCGAGCCGTGTCTGGCTCGCGAAAGACCAAGTTGGCAGTGGTCGGGGAGACATACCCAACGCGCGAGAATGCAACATTTCTGGTAGGATAAAGTAGAATGCCACGGGTCAAGAAGTCAAGTGTTAGGACTGCCAGGACCACATTGATTAATATCGTGATCGTAGTCCACAGGGGCCACTTTGCCGAGGGCAGCCCTGTCAACAGTGTTTTAAGCACAGAATCGCCGGTTTTCGCACGGCTAGACCCTGACTTTTGCCCTGTGAACCATTTAGTTAGAATCTATATTATGATTATTTGGAAATGGAGCCTGACTGTTCAATCCTCGGGATTTAGGTGTCTGGCTTCGAGGCGAGGTGTCCTGGAGCAAGGATAATATCGACGACAGATACACCACTAGGGAGGTAACCACAAGAGGCACAAAGTGATGACCAGGGATCTGCAAATATGTAAGTTTTCTGAAACGCGAGATTGACTGTCTATGGGAGTGTTATACCCATCGCAGAAACATGAAGGTTGTCAGTCGGATGATCGCCGAGCTCGTGGTTACAGCAATGTGCCGTAGGGACGCCATTATGCAAAGCAATATGACCAACTGTGAAGAGTAAAAATCACTGCATGCTAAATTGAAACAATAGAGATGGTGGAGAGTGAAAGATGGTCTTTCCAAGTGTTGATTGATGCGATGACGTATTTAAGGAAAGATCGACAATAACATTAGTTCAATGTTGATATTGGAAATCAACATACCCTATAGTTTGCATGAAATTAGATCAAACCGTAAATTATACAATTTATGTCTATTACCTGAGTATAGGTTAGATTTACTTACTTTAACTACAATGGTAGCACCTACAATTCAAGTACTCAAAGCTGAGGCTCTAGTGACGCTCTCACGTGCCTTGGATTTATGCAGGCCAAAGCACATTGACAATGCCATTCACTACATTTGATCTTGAAAACAGCTGAAGTTCAAGTATATATCCATGGTTTGTCTGAATTGCTAGATATTCAGTTTGCTTCATCGACGTCCCTGATTTAGCATATCTTGGAACAAATTATTGAGACTGCTCGCCATCGGCCCTGCCGACATTAACTGGCGAGCTACCACGACAACATCTTTCATTCCCGTGATCAACGACATTTGAGCGGCCCACTGCCACGGTTTAGCTGTGCCTCCAGGCAAAGCATTGTAATACTCCCAACCCATAACACCGCCAAAGTTGGGAAACTGCTCAACCAACGTTGCCAAAACAGGTCCAATCTTCTCCTCGGACACATAACCCTGTGATCCATTACCCGGATTTGTCAACAGGCCATAGACAATGCGTCGTGGAGACCACCCTTGTGAAACCATAGCAGCATACATCCGTGGATCCTCAGCAGGACCCCAGCCATTGTAGAACTGGGCATTGTACCAGCCGATCTTAGAAGCCCGAGCCTGCTCGAGTTCGCGGTAGTCAAAGCCTGATAGATTCCCAATACCAAGTAGTGCAGCTGCCACAGGAGCCAGAGTAATGATAAACGCGTCGCCCAGGTCAGCCTTGAGTCGGTCGATGAGCCGGATGATGCCTTGCAAAGACATTTTCTCCTCTACATCGAGATCGATTCCATCAAGGCCATGGCGGCGGATGATGGTCAGGAAAGGATAATAAAATTGTTCGAAATCCGCCCGGCTGCCGTCAAGCCGCGTGAAGGAGCCCGGGGCAGCCCCGCCTAGCATGCCCATCACTTTCACGCCTTGCCGCTGCACGACGGGCACTTCGGCCCACAGGGGGTCGAATTTGGCGTTGTCTGGAGGGTCGTCATTGAGAGTGATATCTCCTGGTGCACCGTTCAGGTGAAAAGCCGCGAGAATAACATGTGTTATCCCGGTGTTGTTTTCGAGGAGCGGGAGCATGGAGACATACTGGCCCCCGCTTGGGATGAGCGTTTGGTGGTACAAGATCACCCGCGGGCGCTCGCCGAGTCCACCTCGGATAGGTGGCATTTTGAAAAGCGTAATATATTGAATATTCCGATAAACGTGATTGGTAGCAAGTCTATGCGCTTCGCTTAGTGAGAGCTGGATGACGCTTAAGCTTTGGCAGTTGGCAGCTGTGGGGGTTCGGGATGCTTCAAGCTCCTAGCGTCCGAGAAAAATGACCACAAAGAAGTAATTGAAACTCCAGAGTTATGCAATGACGAATATTCAAATGGAAAAATAATAGAATCACCCGGAGAATATCGCTGCAGCACAATGTAGTAGATCGGACTGAACACCTGCGCACGAGAAACCCAAATCCTCACTGACTAAGCTGAATGGTAGGTCCATGTTTGGATAAGGCTACCAGGTCTTTACAAGGAACAATAGTTATTGCTTAGGGATAAAGTAAGATTGAATGCATATGTAGTTTGAATTGGATAGGTCTTTCTGAGGGCATCATCTTCCCATCCTCATCCCACACGAGCCTAGATCACCGCCTCAATACTGGAACCATGGGCGCTGATCCCTATATCCATGGCGTTGGACTCGGCTCGTTGGGGAAGACCTGAAGATGACATCAATTTTGAGAATCGGATTGGTGCTCCAGCAAATGGAAACGAGCAACCAGGAACAAATTGTTTGTCAAGGTGGACTTCTTCCAGACATACGCGAATGACAGATCTATACCATGAGAACACAGAAAGCTGACTAGCGGAGTTTGAAAGGAATGTCATGTACACCATCGCCTCTGACGAGCTGACGGAGGCAAAAACAGCGGTTTCTGGGGACTACATAAGTTGCGGGCCATGTCCATCAGACCAGCCTTGTGGCGAAGCAACATCTTCTTGAGCAGCGTATACTTCTGGTATCAACTTCCACAATTGATCACACCATGGCTTTGATCAGCGGTACTCGGATCATGTCAGGTCCGCTTCTTAGACTGCTTCCATCCGCACAGTCTGTGAATGTTGGATTATGGCATCGCTGTAGTGTCGCCACAGTGCCACCGCCGAATCGTCCACACCACCCCAACCCTGGAAATTTTGCAAATCGTCCACGCGAAGAGCTTTCAGAATTAGGGCACAAAGGTGGAAAAAAGGGTGGGAAAGCCACGGGCGTGGGTGGATTCCATAATATGGATCCCGAGAAACAGGTGAGTATGCTACAGCACCAACTATTGAAGAGGCCTTGTTAATTGTATGAATTTGAGTAAATAGCATGCTATCGCTGCGAAAGGCGGTCGTGCTCGTGCTCGGAAAAAAGCACCAGGCAACGGAGAAACCGAGTTAGAAGCCGAACGGCGCGGCCGATCGCACGAGCCTTCGGTGGTTCCACCTGGATTTGAAGAATGGAAGACAATGGCTTGATTTTCGATCAGACTGTTGATTTTAGAAACGATTTCACGCAAATAGCAAATAATAAATGTGAAATAAGAGAGAAGAGAGAAGAGATAAGAGAGAAGTAAGAAGTAAGAAGCATATCAGACACAAATACCCCGCTAGACCTAAAGAGGTAGTGGATAAACATTGATGCCTCAGGCGCCCAAATACAACCCGTCGCGAGATTCCTCAATCTTTCTTTTTCCCCCCGCAATTTGGTTATTGTTATTTCTCTATTAACTCGGTTGATATTTTTCATTTGGTAGCTGTCGAGTGCAACCCCAGGGATTGTATTTGAACTCTGCTTTGGCTGAAGCCTTATCGTGTCGTCCTCGTCTTTGCGCATCCGCACGCGTGCGCAATCATGGCGAACACAGGCTATACCTCGCCATTTCCAACCTCACATGACACCATCGGGCAGTCAACACTAGTGACACCTCTCTTCATGCCATCCTCTCCTCCCCAACATCCTTCCAGCCCATTGGGATCTCCGACTACCGCCCAAACTCCTGCAACTGCCCAGACTCCCGCAACTGAGCGCGTCGCAGCGCAACCTAGCAACCAAGGTCGTGGCCACACTATTGACGATGAATACCATTCCGATAATGAAATGCAACGTATCTCTCGACCTCCTTCTCCTGGAAGCCCAACAGGCTCGGATCTCGATGCGCGACTTGCCGATTACACCTTGGATTTCAGCAACTTCCCGAGCGGCCATTTTGCTTTGGATGGGAACGAGGAAACTCTACCCCCTTTCCATCAAGATGTAGATAAATTATCCGATGTTGGAGGCCCGGACGACTTTACCGCGAATATGGAGAAATACCTGATGGGCGATCTGGAAGATGGAGCGAACCATGAGGATGAAACTGAAGAAGACTACGGATCAGTACGACGGTCTTCCCGGAAGTCGAAGCAACCCGTGATTGATGAAGAAGCCGACTCTGGCGAATACAGTGAATTCGGACCGCCAGTAGATATGTCGACCCCTTCACATCTATTGCGCCGAACTAGCGCTATCCCCAAAGATTCGACTCACCTGGAAGGCATTGAAGAATACCCTGATGACGACGAGGACCAGGATTCCGCATCCCCTTCCGTCCGAAAATTGTCGGACGCCTCCAGTCATGCACCAGAGGAGCAAAATGAGGATCTTCACCAGCAAATAGCACAACTGCAACAAACATTGAAGGAACGCGATGACCAATTGCAGAAAAATCGCAATCGTGTGCTCGAAGCTGTTTCTGCTGGTGAGCAGATCCGTCATCTCCAGACAGAATTGCAGCGGAAGAATGCTCTTCTGGATGAGGTGAATGCCAAAGGTAGCGACGAGGCAATGCTGCGCGAGCAAGTTCGGTCGCTTCAAAAGAAAAATGAAGAGCAGGAACAGTTATTGCGCCAGGCAAGCATGAACACAACAGATCTCGGTCCTCTTTTGAACCAGATTCGTGAGATGCAACAGCAGCTCCAAGGCAGAGATGCACAGACTCCTATGGACAAGGAGCGGTTGGAGACAATTGCTCACCTGCGCCAGCAGCTCAATATTTCCCAAGAGCAGGTGCGAAAGCGCGATGAAACTCTAGATGAGACATCCACGAAGCTTAAGGAAGTCACACGGGTCAAGGATGCACAAATACAGGAGAAAAACTCGGAGATTGATCAACTCCAAGCACAGATCGACGACTACGGGCTGGAGAATGAGAAGCTCGAGTCGGAATTAGAGCGTGCGCACAATGATTATCAGGTCCTCGAGGAACGCTTCATCGACCTGGAAATTAGAAATCGTCCTCTAGAAGAGAAGAACACTACACTGGAGGCAAATCTCACCCGTGTTCAATCCCATATGGAAGCCCAGGAGAGTGCTCTGAAAGCTGCAGCTGCAGATCTGCCTATTAGTGGCCATAGCACCTACAGCGAGATCCTCGATCTGATCAAAGATTTGGGTCCAGGAGACCCTGCATCCCCACTCCACTCACCATTGAAGGACAAGTTCGTGGACAGCCAAGGTGTGCAGCAACCGCAACAACCAGACATGCCAACCATTGCAAGCCTTCAGCAAGAACTCCAGGAGTTATCCGCCACACAGAAAGCTGCAGATACCGAAGCAGCACGTCTACGTGATCAGGCAACTGAAGCTCAAACTCTTATAAAAACCATCGAAACGGAGAACTCGCGACTCTCCAACCGGGTGGACGATCTCACAACAGCCCTAAACAAGTCCCAGCACGACCTAATCCAATCACAAGAAGGGTATGCCGAGTCCCTCGAGACTATTGCTCGCTTGCAAGAAGAAAAGATCGCCGAACCTCCAAGCCCACCCCCTTCACCCCCAACAGCGCGTGGAGCCCTCAACCCAGAGCCAAGAGGACCAGACACAGCAGCCCTGGAAGCGAACCACCAAAGCCAACTCCGCAGCCTGCAAACCGCTCACTCGACGGCAGTCTCAACTTTGCGCGCCTCCCACGCCGAGTCAATGCGCAAAATCCGCAACCTCCTTACAGCCGCCGAGCAACGCGAGACTGATCTACGCTCGGAACTTGCAAATCTCCGGGCCTCATCCACCACTTCCGAAAACTACCTACGCAAGAGTTTCAAAATAGAACTTAGACGCTTGGAAGACGTTATCGCCGCAAAGGATGAAACTGCAGCCGAAATCGACCAGCGCATCGCTTTGTCAGTAGACAAGCGTGAACGCGAATGGGAGCGGCGCATTGACCTGCTCCTCAAGGAACGTGATCGTATGGCCAAGGCTTTGATGATGAGCTGGGGCGAGAAGGAACTTGGTCGTGGACCAGGGTCTTTGGCTGAGGGTAATGGCAAAGAGAGCCGTCGTCGTGATCGGGACCGTGATGTAGATGCCAAGAGTGGGCAGGCTTATCGCTACAAGTATGCTCAGAAGCAGAAGTCTAAGAGCAGCGAGGCTAGGGCTTAGATGGATTGATTTGTTTAATCTTGTGTTTCTCCGAGGTTGATGTACAATATCGTGCTGTGGATTGCATTGTGTTTCTTTTGACTCGTCTTTTAGCGACCTGTTGTACCTTCCTGGAATGGAATTTGTGATCTGAAATTGCATGTCTTCGTGTTCTGTTCTGTTCTCGTCTTGAGGCATTGAACCTTGCATCTTGTTGTTTTAAAGTGCTACTAAATGAGCCTTTGTATCGATCTTTTTACCTTCTCCATTGAATTATTGTTTAACTAGTGACTTGTCTTTCTATCGTAGAACAAATTTATCTTGGTATCTAAGAGTGAATTCAAAAGTTAACTGAAACAACACTGACAGTAGGAATAAGTAACCAAATCACCCTGGTACACCTGGGCACACTATCCACTCATACAAACCATATAATGTTATAAAAAATAAACGAAATAGAACGAAAATAATGTCCGACCGGCAGACAAACAGCTATTAATGATACTCTTTCCAAACTTCTATCCATCCAACCACTCTCAATAAAAGCCCAAACTCGTCCGATTCGCACCACGGTATCTCGTCTGGTCGATGGAATTCGACGGTAACTCCAAGTAAACAGCCGAGACAGGTCTGGGGTCATTCCCGGCATGCTGAACCGTAGACTCCGGGATACAGCTGAGCGGACCACTCGCGCTGGCAGGGGTACCACTGCGCGGGCGACGGGTGCTGGGGTAGATTACTTCGACGTCGTTGCGACGGGGAATCGGCGCTGGCATTGATCTTGCTGAGCCGTAGCGGCGCTGATTTGCCCAGCGGGAAGATTGGTGCCTGTATTGGCTGTTCCCGCGGTGGGTGTTTGGGTGGAGGTTATGCTGGCTCTGGGAGTGCCGCGGGACGCGGTTTGGCTCGAAGTGGTAGGAAGAGCTGCGGACCGGGTAATGGATGATATTCTGTCTGGGTTGCGGGTTCCTGCGCATTGAGTCCGGGTGCATTCTTGGACCGGGGCCTTGGCGGCGGGACTGGGAGTATGCTCGTGGTCGTGGTTGGGGAGGCGGGCGTGGGATGAAGTTTGGGTGGTGCGGGTGGTGGATTGAGCGGGCTCCGGGCATGGTGTAGGCTGTCTGGGAGCGGCGCACTTTTGGTGGGGAGGATGGGGCTGTTGGGACTACTTCTGGGGCGTCGGCAGAGTTCATTGTCATTGTTCGGGTGTGGCCTTCTGGGTGTGCTGGTTTGGGCTTGGGTTCGGTGTTGGCAGGGCTTTGGGGGAGGGACACTGAAGAGGCGTTCGGGGTGTTGCCGTTTGCGACAATTTGAAAGGTTGTGGATTGAGGGATCCCCTTGGGCATGCTGTTTGGTGTCACGACTTGCTTTTCGACATCTGATGCGGTGTTGGGATCTGCGAGGGCCTGGATTTGAGGATCCGATGATAATGGAAGTGACAATGGGAAAGACTTTGGAAGAAGACGTCTAAGAGAAGAGAGCGATGACTTCCCTCTCTTATGGCTGGTGTATTCCTGGGGGATGGCAGGGACTTTTGGAGCCGACGTATTGGTGAGAAGAGCGTGTAATTCGTTTGCTGTCTGTGGACTCATGACGGTAGATGTACTCGAGATGGGATATAACTCGCTAGCCAGGCTTTGTGATCCAGGTGAGATACGGTGTGCAGTATCCCCTGGCGAAATCGTCGTTCCTGACATAATCTCTCCATATGTCGAACCGGGATCAGTGTTGACTCGGAGTTGAGGTCGCAGACGGACGGGGGCAGGATGCCGGATGCTGGGATGACAGTTGACTTTGTTGGCAATTGGGTCCACAGACCAGAACTCGCCGGCTCCATTTCCATCATGTTGGCGGCAAAGATAGAGAATTTCGTTTTTAAGTGTTTCTCCGCTATCCCAGCTATTACCTGAGGTGATACTGCCATTTCTGTGGACTGTCTGGCGCTTGTAGATACCGAGAAGCGATACATCATATGGCCGATCGCAAAGCTCCCTCGCACAGTACATAGTACACACAGTGACCCTATGGAATAATTGTCAGTGCAAGTAAAGACGCCAAACGAGAATGCAGCATACATCGAAACAACCGCCACTATCACAGACGCTCGGTGGAAGGCACAGCTGATACCAACTCTCCAGAAAGTTGCATCTGTCCCTTCCGGGAGACAGTACACCTGTTGTGCAGCGACCACTAGACCGGCTACACTTGTAGCTAGCCAAATCATAAGATCCAACCGCAGCACATATGTGCATATGTTATGCAAGATGGTTTTCTGGGTTCCGAATCCACCAATGTTGTTGTATTGCCAAGCGACCAGGCTTTGGAGGCCGACAAGTGGTAGTGAGAGGAAAGACTGAATAAAAGTCAACGATGCGTATAACAACCAAAGGTTCAAGTCAGACATACTGCAACAAGAGCAAGTACAACACTCGGAGTCATCTTTGAGTCAACCTGGCCATTGCCATAAAGGTAGAGCACAAGCACACATTCCAAAATAGACTCGAGGAGTAGCAAGTATAGCGCAACAAATATCACAAGTTTCGTCCATGTGCCCTCCGTTCGTGGGATAGCTGAAAATCCAGACGCCATGGTCGAGTTGGCTCAAGAACCAAGAGACGAAAGACTCTGTTTATGGCCCTCTTCAGGTTGCCTGGGACTCGGAAACCCGGTAGGGAAGAATGCGAGTTTGTTGGAGGTACAGGACAAGCGTATTCAATGCGCCGGGTCCAAATCGAACCCAGTTGTAGTCACACTGAAAATTCATCAATTGGCGCAAAGAATAACACACATAAGGCTGGTACCAAGAGGAGTGTTAAAGGACTAAAGAGGAATTTAATGAAGGGTTCTTAGCCCTGGAGCGCGTCGACGCGAATATAGCGTGGAAGGGTGGAATGTAACAGCCGAGGGGGATACGTCGAAAGAATCCAAGGCCTTGAGGATGACCCTCTCTGTAGAGGATAGTCCATCTTAGCTTGATAAGTTGGAATGCTGAGGACTTGCTAGTGCTAGGGTCCTAGTGCCAGGGATGATGTATGGAGGGTTTGGCTGTTGTTAGCCTTATCCCTGTGGATTTGTCTGTAGAGACGTCAGTTCGTTTCAGTCCTTGATAATGGAAGAATTAAAGAAGATTTGGTCTTCTAAGAATTCAGCCTAATTGTTTCTCCGTGCTTCGAAGGGTTGTCCTTGGAAGTGAAGATAGGAGGATGGAGGCGATCGTGCCCTAGATCCCTCGATGACGTTCACGGGTAGTCAACAACCACTCCGACCATCAACAATTACAATAGATCTTTTGAATACGGCAATCAAGCTTATACAATTCTAAGTTAATTACCTCTTTTCCTCTTTTTTTTCAATTTCCTGCTAATATTCTATCGCTTCACGTAGTTCCAACCAATTCTATGTACAACACGTGATCGGAGGGGTCGACCTTCCAGGGTTGTCTTGTCAGTAAGGACAAGAAACTACCTACCTAGGTAGCTATGAACCTAGATTGGCAATCATTCTCATTCTGACGCATTTGACAGGCACCTGAATGAAGTGTTTATGATGGTTTCACGCTGTGGAATGCGCTTCTAGTCTGACTGAGCTGCTCAAATTGCCCGTAACCCCAAGGCACAAAGTCTTTTTCGTAAATAAGTGACAAGTTCACTGAAATGATCCTATTTCTAGTCTGTTTTTATTTTTTTTAAAAAAAAGAGATGGCATTGTTATGGACAGTTCGGGGCGGAACGCTTTATTCGCTTGGAAGTTGGTCAACCGGTCGGTATATATAATGGAGATACCCTGCCAAATATGATGTACCCTAAAAGGTCAGGGCTAATATAGTTAGATCATTTGGGTCATTTAGGTCACAGACATCTAAACCATCATCTGCGGCTTTAATTTAAATCGTTTAGATCATATCCTTGAAAATACTATGGCGATGTAGTACGAATTTTGTCGTTCGATAAGAACACGGTGAACCATACCATAAGCAACCGTGAAATGCCAAATGGGGATAATTGCCATACTGGCGACCCTTTACCAAACCAAGGGCTGTAGTATAGATCAAGGTCAAGCATTGAGGTATGAAATTATATCTTCACTAATTACCCCTAGACTATGCTATTTTTTCCCCCTGATATAGATGCATATTATGCTCTGTTTCAATCAGTAACTTCATCCTCTCTTTCTCTCTTCAATTCTGAAAATTAGAAGGATACAGCAAAAGAGTGGATATGTGTGTAGATAACGTGGAATGTAGAGAGTCCTGACTGCCCAGGTGAGGTTCCCACCTGTGGGCCTGCAGGGGGGTGAGTAATCACCACCCTCCCTTGACACGCTTCCTTAAATACTTCTCTTCCCCTTTTGTTTCAAAAGATCGAGTCTTGCATGGTCAAATATCATCATTAGATGTTTGTTGAAAAATTTCCGATGAGTGGACGCAGTGTTTTTCTAGCTCTGGCGTGGTGTTGCTGGTTTACTTTCAATTGCGATGAAAGACATTCATATGTTTATTTCATGTCCGCATGATCTGCACGTATCTCATGTCTAGCTAACAACCTATCTTTGTAGTAATAAATCTTTGTTAACTAGAGAATACGCTGTTTCATAGCGGTAAGGGCACGATATATTGGAGCCTCAGGCCACCATATATGTCTATGGTGTTAATATGTGACAAGTCTTCTCTCTTACTAAAAGGTAGGTTTCTAGTAACACCATATCATCATTCTTGAATTTTGTCTATAGATTTGAAGGAAGCAAACGAATATTCACAGCACAGCAATGCACTCAATCTCAACATCAGTGTTGAGAGGGAGCGTCTTGACCGCAACGCACCTGCGGAGTATATACGTCAGCAACGAATCAAATCACCTGTGTAGACTCATACAGCTGTATGTGCGAGCGCAAAAGCCACACCGCACACTGCAAAAAAAAAGCAGGGAGAAAGCATGACTCCAAATGACCCCAACGATAAGAAATCAAGGAGCGGGGTAAGAACTCACGTCCGGCAAGGCTTTACATCACCCCAGTACTGCATGTAGACAGAGTTCATCTCGGCAAAGTCATCCATATTGGATAGGAAAACATTGACTTTGACAACCTTATTGATGTCGGTGCCGGCTTCCTCGAGGACGTGGGTCAGGTTCTTAATGCATTGGTGCTGTTGGAGAATGGAGATGTCAGCAGGTTGAATTGGCAATTGATGCTTACTGGTTTCTTACGGTGTGGGCCTTAACATCACCATCAATCAATTTGCCAGTGGCAGCGTCCATGGCGACAGCACCGGAGCAGTAGACGACGCCATTGGCGACAATGGCCTGGGAATAGATCCCGGGGAGGGGCTTGGGGGCCTTGTCGGTAAGGACGGCGGTCTTGGAGGACATTGCGAGAGTTTGTGAGAGGTGGATAGAGGAGCTAGGGGTGAGTCAATTGAGATAAAGTGGTAAAAATAAGTAAGAAGATGGCCCCTTGCGCGAGGGAGGCGCTCTTTATCAATCGGAAGACAGCATCCGGAGCTACAGCTAACCGATGTTAGCCGATATTAAAACGTAACAAGCGGCTCAATCTTGGACGATAACACAGAGCCGAGAGACACGAAGTGGCCCATGAGGGGCTTTACGGGCGGTGGGTAGGAGTAAATAATGGAGACGACAGGAGGGGTCATTGGGACCACTGCAACAGTCCTATCATTACCCAAAGCGGGACAAAGTGGGCTTCCAAGGTTACCATCTTATCAGCGGTGTTCCCCGCATTGCTTCCAGGGTTGGAAGGAAGGTTCTCCCCACTTTCCGCGTGGGGGTGGACTTTTATTTGAAAGGCCCTAGACCCTGACACGCCGAAAGCTTAGGACATTTCTATTTTTCTTTTATCAACAACTTGAAGATGACTGTCGGCATTACTCAACCACCGTATCCGCTCCACGAGTCCGTTAAAGACCTGTTGGACCCGGAGTATGTCGCATTCTATAACGAGCATGTCATCAATAGCCAGCAGGTCCACCTCCGGCCAGTGGAAGCATCACGGACAAGTGGTGTCTTGATTCCTGGTGCAGGTCCTATGCTGAAGGTGGGCAAGACCCAAGACATTACTGTTCAGCGGCGAGTTACCGAGGGCCCAGCAGTGCCCATCCGCTGCTTTACTCCCATCGGCCAAGCACCTCCTGGCGGATGGCCAGTGATGCTGTATTTCCACGGTGGTGGCTGGGTGCTGGGTAACATTGACACGGAGAACGTGGTGTGCTCAAATCTTTGTGTGCGAGGCAACTGCGTCGTGATTACAGTCGACTACCGGTAAGTCAAACCCATTGCCTAATCACGCCATGCATACATAATATTGAGAAGTTCGAACTTAATTTTTCCTAATTTCTCCTAGTCTTGCACCCGAAGACCGCTGGCCAGCCGCAGTTCACGACTGCTGGGAAGCTCTCCTATGGCTGATTGCCGACGGCCCCGCCGCACTCTCAGTGGACGTATCCAAACTCGCAACCGGTGGCTCCTCCGCCGGCGGGAATCTTGCTGCGATTATGACGCACAAGGCACTGACTCTGTCACCGCCTGTTCACTTCCGAGCCCAGCTCCTCTCTGTCCCCGTGACAGACAACACTGCCACAGTAGAGAACAACGAGTCATATCGTCGGTACGAACGGACCCCCGCATTACCCGCACTTAAGATGTACTGGTACCGCGACCACTACGTCCCCAACGATGTGGATCGCACCAACCCAGAATCGAGCCCGCTGTTTTGGCAGGGCGATTACTCGCAATTGCCACCTGCACTGGTTATGGTTGGCGAGTTGGATGTGCTGCGTACGGAAGGCGAACAATATGCGGAGAAGTTGCAGAAGGCTGGCGTGGCTGTTGACTTGCAGGTTATGAAGGGAATGCCGCATCCATTTTTGGCTATGGATGGTGCATTGTCCGAGGGCAAGAGGTGTATCACTCTAATGTGTGATGCTCTCCAAAAGGCCTTTTGGGCTGAGTGAATGTTCTCATTTTAATGTAAATGTCGGGAGTGCCTTCTTCAACTGATCGTTCTACGTGAAAATGTCAGGTGTAGAAGACTGTACTAGGGGATGGAGGAAGGAATTACCCCGAGAACAATGTCAAAGCAAACATTAAGAGTCGCTGGCAGCTAGCAGTAGGGTATATGGCTAAATAAAAAATTCTCACTTTTATATCTTGTTGAATCTCGCGGCAATTAGGGTTAGAGAAGGAAGAACTTGGAAGAGTTGAAGACTAGGTGTCGTTACTCCAAGCAATTCCTTTTTGGGGCATACAGCATCAGACATACAAGAAGATGAACGCGCAGCACATGGCAATCTCGCAGTGCTTCAATAACTGCGCCACTAGGAGAGCCTTCTCAACTTGGAGCCACTAGCCAATACTAAAAGTCACGGCGAGCAGAATTCATCCGATCAACTTCCTTATCACCCGCAATGAACTCTATGGATCATGGACGCCTCCCTGTTGCAAAGCCAAACAGTAGAACATAAGGTATTTAGATTTTAATCTCATTCATCCGACTCAAAAATTGCAATCTCTCTATTTGTTGCAGATCAAGCAAAGACATCTCTATGTGATGTGTCTAAAGGAATATGATACCTAAGAGCGAGTGATATACATACGGTGGTGTTGGAGCGAGCTATAGATTTCTCGACCAGGCCATAGCCAATATCGCAGCTGGCACCAGTGATAAGATAGCTGGTGTTGGACATAGTAGCAATGGTGGTTGTTGGTTGATGCGACATTGAGACGAGATGAGGGCTAGCCTAAATATGGCAGGCGCCCGCTGTGATTTCTAACTGCGATTTCTAATTGCATTATCGAGCTTACAAATGGGATTTGAATATATGGACATACGTACGAAAAGTGACTAGGATATAAGAAAGAAGTTGTGTTGGACGATTGCCGATTTGGGAAGATGTGGATACCAGGTATGAAAGCCAGAATATTATGTAATCAAGAGGTGTAGCCACGGGGGTGCTTAACACTTTTCGTAGTCGTATCATTGTCAACACATCCAAAAATAACACACAATGAAGAATCACCTAAACTCCACTATTGTGGATGCCCGGAACTCTCCCATGGAAGGGTATTTCTGATATTCCATGGGAACTATCATCTACCCCCCGGTCAAGGAGAACAGGGCGTTCGCTCCATCACTTGAACCCACATATTTGAAATCGCGAAGAGTCCAAGGTAGTTCCGCGCATCCCACGGACGCGTCGGACTAATGAGTGCCAAGTCGAAGTTGCGTAAGAGCTTTGTACAGTCGGTCAGTTAGGGTGCAATCGAGAAGAATGAAGAATGAAAGCAGGCCTGCAGAGCTGTTTCTACTCACCTCGAATACCGTCTTTCCGATCTCGATTTGAGCCACTGCCTTCCCTAAACACTGGAATTTGCCGTGACCGAATGTGAGGTCGTTCGTCCGAACCATAACGGCCAACTTGGCGGGGTCCGACTCGAGCCACCGCTCGGGTCGGAAAGCTTCTGCATCCTTGCCATAGATCTGCTCACTCATGTGCATAGCGCATGCCGAGTACCCGATGCAGATTCCACCAGGTAGGAATACGCTCTCGCCGTCGACGACAACAGTGTCGCCACCTCTGGGGACGTCGCGGGCGAAGATGTTCGCAACAGGTGGCCAGACTCGCAGACCTTCGCGGATTACGGCCTGGAGGTACGGAAGATTCCTAGCCTTAGCGGCAGTAATAAGGCCTTCGTTCAAGCTCGGAGCATGACCGAGACGCACGGCATCGTCAACCTCGCGCTGTAACTTGGAGTAGACACGGGGATTCGTTATGATGTGCAGGAGGGTTCCACGGATGGCGCTAGCGGTGGTTTCGGAGCCCGCAAGGAGTTGTTCTAGTGCCTCAGTACGCAGCTCGTCACCTGCTAAGCCGTGGCGCATGAAGGAGGCTAACATATCGGATCGTTCGTCGGTGGGGTTTGCAGCACGTTCATCGACAAGGCGGAAGCATGCGGCCATCATCTTACCGAAGCCATTGTTATCCTTTGCCGAAGGTGCAATGAACTTGCCGATGAAAGGCATCTGGGCGATCCAGGTGAAGCCCATGCCAAGGACAGTATTGCCGATAGCAAGTCCCTCCTCGGTCGATTGGAGGTAGTCATCCACGTCCCGGTCACTCTGCAACATACCGAATGCCTTTCCGAGGCCGACGCTGCTAATGACGTCCAGTGTAAGATACTGAACTTTCTTCGCTAGGTCCATGGGCACAACATGGTGATCGGAGGAGATATATTTGGACCGGATGAGGTTCAGGAAATCTTGGAGCCGTTCATCAACAGACCCTTCGAGCTGGGTATTCTCCCTCCCAGAATACTTCATAACACTCTTCGGTTAGCAGCCTATGCCAGTATGAATGGGTTGGGAGAGAGTTGGAGAGAAACACGAGATAGGTATCATACCCCTGGAGCCATCTGCTTCCTCCGTTTTTCGTGTTTCTCATTATCTGTCTGGCTGAAGACATTGTCCCTCCGGTACTCGATTCTTGTGGCTCTGTAGTACCAATCGGAGCGCTTGTACCCAGGCTTGTTGTTTACATGCATCCAAACTTCGGGAGAAGATGTGATCAGGACTCGAGGCGCGACGCGGGCGATCGGACCTGCTCCGGGTGGGGGCTGTTAGCTATACTAGATATGGCACCCCAAAAGGGATGTCTAGAGAAAGCCTCGCACCATGTTTCTTGCTGACTTCTGCATACCACTCGTGGCAATTGCCTCCAAGGATCGCTATGCTATGTGGCCAGTTCGAGATGCCGGTCCACGAAGGACCCGGGAAGTGTATCAGCTTAACATAAGCCATGATAATCCTGAAGGCATAGAGACCCAAGAGACCACAGAGCAGCGTCACAGCGTGATCAGATAAGATGGCTACCCCCATAATGGAAGAAACAACCAGAGAGAGTTGGCACAAGCGCGTTTTCTGGAGTGGTTGCAGACTCTGCTATACACTACTGAACTATTGGAAATGGAAATACGTCATACTTTTTGATCTCACGAAGGAGGGGTTCGGTTGACATTTATACAGTGTCCCACACCGCCTTGGAATACCTTCCATATAAGAGCTGTTGGAGTACTTTTGTACTTCTGTTCTACTGCTTGAGTGTCTTGGTTGCTCGGATGTGTAGCAAGAGAGATTAATCTTTGGGCAATATGTATGTAGAGAGAAAACTGTCTATATTGCTATGTATGCGATAGAGTGGACGGAAAGGAAAGGGAGCACAGGTGAAACAGAGTAGCAAACTGTATATCTGTTAATTCTATTAAACATGGTGCAGACTGAAGAATGGAAAAAGGAAACAATGAAGCGAAAGAAGAAAGAGAAAGAAAGAGAAAGAAAGAGAAAGAAAGAGAAAGAAAGAGAAAGAAAGAGAAAGAAAGAGCGGATCAAGACGATCCTGTCTAACGGGGCAGAAGAGCAGCCCGAAATATCAAGGTGTAGAGTAAAGACACTTAGGGCCAAATACTAGAGGGTGTCATGGATAACCCCCTTAGGCACTGGCTTTGGTCCTCTTCCCCTTTGGCACGCGGGCAAGCCAGTAGATAAACAGCGCACCGGCAATGTTGGCAAGAATGTACACCCACATCAGACCAAAATTGCGCCAGGCGTCAGCAAAATCACTGGAAATTCGGATGAGGAACGAATTCGTTTTGCTGACCGAGCAGAACGCGCACTCTGCGGTAGACGTGGGATCTTGTAGATACCCAGTCCCGGCCATTTTGATGTAAGGGCCCATGTAGTCTCCGCAAGTTTGGTTGGCAGGGGGGCTGAACTTCAAATATTCGACTGCCTCGCAGACTGCATCAGCACCCGAAACACCCGTTGAGAGCATTGCCGAGACCAAGTAGGTAAACGGCGACACGCGGTACATGAAGATCCAAAAGCCAGGCAAGGCCTCCTTGGTTGAGAGAACACCACAGAAGATCAAGCAGAGGGAGAACAACAAAGTCGCGATATTTCCACCAGTCTCAGCCAGCTCAATTCCTGCAATCACCAAGTGTGCGAAGGTCGAGGTGAATAACAAGAATGTCCAGATCAACAGGAACATCAAGGCGCCTCGCTCGCTCACTGCGTCGGTGGGCTCTGCATTTTTGTACAGCCCAATTGGATAATACCAGCACAAAAAGATGAACACAGACATCAGTGTATTCCAGGGCAATTCCACCAGAATATTCGAGATCATAAACGCCTTCCAACTGTATGTCTTGGATGGACGCTCTCGCACCTCGTAAAGAGAGCGTTGGGTAACAAAGTTTGGCATGATCTGCTGTACCAGATTTCCGAAAATTGTCATCAACATGAAAACACTGAACATCTGGTTCTGGAGGCCTTGAATAGAATTCTGAGCGTGGAAAAATGAGAATCCAATGTAGAGTGCGGTGAAGATGCAAAGGGCAGCTTTAGACCAGATATATGTCGGGGTGCGGTAATACTGCGCAAAGACACGAATAAGACACTCCCATAGTTGGATGTAGAAAGGCGCGGCAAATTCACGGAATGCGTTAGGCGAAGTATCAACCTCTGCCTTTGAAGACAGGGTCGACTTCAGCTCAGAGAGGTGCTCCTTGACCTGCCTAAATTCGGGACTCTCGCGCCATACCTTTGGCCACTCAATCTCGCTGTGTGTACCGGGGGCTGCACCAATAACGTCCAACATCCATTCAGCGGGATTTTCTCCGGGGGTCAGGTGGTGGGCGCCGTTGCGTTCGAAATAGTTCGATAGAGTAGATGAGTTTTCGCCAATATCACCAAAGTAGATTGTTCTACCTCCCTTAGCCAAGAAGAGAAGGCGGTCGAATCTCTGGAACAGCATCGCGGAAGGTTGGTGGATGGTGCAGAGAATGGCTTGTCCGTGCTTAGTGAGTGTGTCGATGAGGTCGAGAATGGACCAAGAAGTCTGAGAGTCCAGGCCACTGGTAGGCTCATCAAGGAAGAGTAGGAGTTGAGGCTTCGCAGCAAGTTCCACGCCGATCGTCAATCTCTTACGCTGTTCAACGTTCAATCCCTCGCCGGGAACACCAACAACGGCATCAGCGTACGCCTCCATACCCAGAAGCTTAATAACCTCGTCGGCATATTCTATCTTCTCTTGCCGACTGACAGTTGCGGGTTGACGGAGCAGAGCACTAAACACGAGGGCTTCCCGAACTGTCGATGTAGACAAGTGCAAGTCCTGCTGTTGGACATATCCAGTCTTTCGCTGGAAGGACTGATCTGTGGGGGTTCCGTCAACGAGCATTTCACCGGTGACAACACCCATAGTGACTCTCGTTGCGAGCACGTCAAGCAAGGTCGTTTTTCCAGCTCCAGAGACACCCATCAATGCGGTACATGTACCAGGTTTGACCCAGCCGTTAACATTGTCCAAAATCCGTCTGGGTTCTCCTTTGATTTTGATGTCATAGCACACATCCTCCCATTGGAAAATCGCAGTTTGTCGCTGAATGGCGGAGGCTTGGGGAGGAGACTCGTCTGTCTTGGCGACGGCAGAGGGCTGGGAAGATTTCTCCAAATCACCCTCTCCGGAGGTATGTGTTGGCTGATGACCACGGCGGAATAGAAGCACCTCGCCCTTGGACTTTTTCTCGGAAATATACTCAGTGCCAAGAAGATAGGTGAACATAAAGAATAACATGAAGGCAATGAGAATTCCAAAGTTCCTCCACAAATGTCCCTTAAGATATGCAAAACTCTGTTCGAGGTACAGTGAACCAGACACGTTGGTAGAGCCTGACTGAGCACCGACAGTCGAGCAGATACGATGCTCCATTGAAACACTGTCGTATGGACCGCCAGCTGGAACAATAGCAGCACATGGGAAATGACGATCATGGAATTCATTGACCATAAAGCTTTCAAACGCATAGGCAACGGGGTTGATGTAGTTCATCCAGCGAGACCACCCGAGCATATTGCGAGTGGGAATAACGAACCCAGTATAGATCACCATACCCAAGATCAAAATGGCGGCCGGAACCAAGGCCTGTGAGAGAGATCGGGAAGACGCCGCAATGGTTCTGAAGATCATTGACATTGTGAACGTGGTGATGACAGAGAATAGCCAAAAGGTAAAGAACGCCCCACCCTCGCGACGTAGGTCAGTCATGAAGTACAACGGTATGTTAAAGGTAAATGAGTTGAGGATTTTGTATGGCGAATCGCACAGCATGGATGCAATTGCCTCTGCGAATGGGTGATAGAAGGCGTAACGGGCTTGCTTTTCCACAATTGGTCGTTGGGCGTAGAGGGTCAAGATTTCCAGTGCACTGGAAAAGGCATTCAGGAGGACGGCAAAGAACAGAAGAGCACCCCGGGAGTAGAAGCTAGAGGTATCCTTAGGAAGGTTCACAAAGACTGAACCAATGATCAAAGCCATAATGAAGTTTCCAATCAAAGCGCTAGCTGTCAAACTGTAATCTCCACGAAGGCGCTGGAAGCCACGGGTAACACAGAGGGAAATCTGTTTCCATACCGAGATAGTATATGGCGATTTAACCCTCTGGTTCTTGGCCTGAATAGCCCTACGCGCATCCACAAATGCATCGTAGGAGCTACCTTTGATAGGGTAGTTGTTCTCGTACTCTTCGATTTGGGCAACCAGCTTAGCACGGGCGGCGCTTCTCTTCCAGACTGCCGCGAAGTCATCAGGGGTGATAGGAGCACGGCCTTCAAACCCTCTCCGAACCACACGTTCCGAAGGGCTGGTGATCGACGTTAAGAAATCTGCGGTGGTTTGACGCTCTGGGCACTCGTAGCCTATATCTTCAAAGTATTTTCTGGCCTCGGTGGTTGGCCCGAAGAAGATTTGCCTTCCTTCGTAAAGCACAGTCACCTTATCAAACACATCATAAGCACTCTGTGACGCTTGGTAGATAGCAACACAAGCTGTTGTTCCGGAGTATTTGCTCATGAGAGCCAGATTTTTGCAAAATTCCAGTGCGTTGGCGCTATCCAGGCCTCTCGTGCTGTTGTCCCAGCACTGCAAAGGACTCTGACTAAGAGTGGCTTCGGCAATACTAACACGTTTCCTCTCGCCTCCACTCACTCCGCGAATGAAGTCATTTCCAACTTGAGTGTTGACCGTATGGGAAAGGCCAAGCATAGCCATGACCACATCTCTCATATGTTGGGCGTATTGCTCGTGCGAGACTCCCTCGAGTCGGTTTCGGGGGGCTCTAGCCATCGCCGCGAACATAAGGGTATCGCCGACGGAGAGTTGGGGGAAGTGAACATCAGTCTCTGCTGCGTAGATTGCCTCGCCCTTGAAGGCATTTTGCATGTCCTTTGCAGAGATACCTAGATTTAGTGATATGTGTTAGAACCTCTCCACCAAATTCAAGTTATATGTCATGGTGCAGCAAGAGACTTACCCTGATAGTTGAGAACCGAATCCTCCGACATCTCAATGCCATTCATTTCACCAGCAATAGTTTTGAGTAAAGTCGAACAACCACTGCCGGGCTTTCCCAAGACGATCAATGTTTCTCCACTTTTGACAAGACCATCGAAGTCACGAAGAATCTGAATTTTCTGGAGTTTCATGCCGGTCAATCGGCGGACCATAGTGCCAATCTCCAGCATGGAGTTTAGAACGTCTTTCTGGTAATCTGTGGGAGAACCAAATCCATGGACGTTCAAATTCTTGAACGAAATACCAGCTGTGCGATCCGGGTACTTGTCGGGGTTGCGAGACCGGATAGCCAGCAACATCTTCATCCAGTCCCGCACTTTGAAGTTGGGGCTACCGGGATTGAGTGAAGATTCGGCGTCTACATTAGTGAACGGATTGTCCAATGTACCGCTGACTGAGAATCGAGTAGATTGTCGGGTGAGTTGTCGTGCTAGCTGGCCAACCAGTGCCTCCCTACTTTCTTCATCCTCCTGCAAAGTGTCTTCATCGTCGTTTTTCTCTGGATCGTGGATCGTGTCGAGTTCATGCTCGCTTTGGAGCTGCGGGGTATTATGGCTGACCACCGACTGGGAGCGAGCAGGATTTGAGTTGAGTGTCCCCAAGAACGACATCTTGGTTTCAATATCAACCTTTCAAATCCTGGAAGCTCGCGTAAGAGGAAATAGGATGAAATAAAAGAAACTTAAAAAAAAATTAGATTTGAAAGGAGGCTGAGAAATCTGTCAACCAAAATTATATCTCCCAGTGGATAACAGTTAAAACCTGGGAGCTCGGCATATATAAGTTTATCTCTAAATCCCAAAATAAGATATATTCACAAGCGAGAAACAAAAATGCAATTGGCATCCCGGCAGATCCGGCCAAGGGGTAATCATATTTTTTTTATGAATAGGTGTGAATAGCTGTGATATAAGAACCTCCGGAATGCCGACATGGATTTGCTAGATAATTAACTCCGATATCCAGGAATGTGTCTGGTTATTAAGGTTTGCTCTCCTACTTCCGAAACCCGAAACGGGGCTTACCCACCAAGTATAATACCCCACCTGGGCAGTTAGTTTTTTCAAACGAAAACAACTCGAAGTCTAGATGGAAAGTCGACAAGTTGAAACTGACCCGTCGGGACTACAAAATGACTATGGGATTAGGGCCCAGGTCTTGGCGTGCCGTATCAATACGTCCCAATACACGGTATTTACCAATTTAAAGAACATCCGGCATCCGCTCCACTCTACGATCATGCCAAGACTACATCGAAACAGCCCTAGAGATTCACCGAGATGGATAATGTCCATTGGTCAGCCTCTATCCAAGACACGTTGTCTGATCTGACATGGAGCTGAAAGATCATATACGTGGATCTCACCTATACTTGACCGGAATACATGCATAATACATAGTAGTACTATGCACTAGTAAGTAGGGACCTGCTATCGGGCTATCGGAGCCAAGTGATCCCGAATTTACTAGGTCGCTCCCGTCCCGAAGGTACACTTTTCTGGGGAAACCCTTATTCTACCTCGGCACCATTTGCACTATTTGCACCATTTGCCACTATCTTGTGCAGTCATCCCACCTTTTGACTGGTCACTTTTTTTTTTTTCTTTCTCCATTCTGGTGTTTCGGATAGAGCATCTCCCTTCAGGCATACCAACTGTGGATGCTTTTTTGTTTTCTTGAATCCACAGGGGTTTCAACGCTCGCCTGACTCTAATCTCGAAAACAACTCTTACACCTAATTTTTACGACTTATGAACATCCAAAATGAATGGGGTGCTCAATAACCAAGCCCACAGCGGCTCTACATTGCACAAACATTTATCCCAACTGTCAACACCGGCAAACAGACATGTAAAGAAAAGACAGCGGAAAAGAAAGGTTGAAGTCCACAGACGCAAATCAAGTCATGTACTAATAATATCATTAGGCATGCGACACTTGTCGACACAGAAAAATAAAATGCGAGGTTACCACCAAATCCAAATGTTCGTTCTGCAGCAAGGCCAACATTCCTTGCTCTCTGGTTGATTATAGGCGGCAAAGGCAGTTGAAGAAGTACGACACCACAGCCGATATCCTAATTTGTCAGTAATGAATAACACTCGAACAGCCTGAGCATGATCGATCGCCTGGAGACGAATATCCAGCGCATGGAAGCTCATTTTGAAAAGATAGGATTTGACCTGGGTGATGTGAACGGGTCATCCTCTATCGATGATCTTGAGCAGTCAGATGAATCACCATCGTCGACTCCAGCTGAAAATACAGATTTTATACAAGACACGGGTATTTGGAATTCAGAACCAATACACCTGGACGCTGAACAATGCCCCTCTGCTGCTACGCAGAATGTATATCATGCGTTGGTCGACCCAGCCTCAGATGAAACCGACCCAGTAATACCAACGGATCTCCCCTGCTTCTACGTTCCAAGGTGTTTTACGGATACACCGAACCCTGGTGGGAACCACGCCCGATATCATGGCTGATAAAAGCTAATTGATACATACATATAGGCTTCTCAGCCCTATCCTCAGAAGGAACGGAATGGATAACTCATAAAATGGAAGGAGCGTCCGTTGACAATTTACAATCCTTCCTTTCATTAGGTCGCCACCAAGGATCGGATCGAGGCCCGCTTGATGGTTTATTCCCCGACAAACCTTTCTCTCCATTGCCCCCGAAAGATGAGATAGTGTCGTTGGTCAATGACTATTTGCAGCACTTCAACCCCCTGATCCCCATATTTCAACCGTCATCGCTATTGTCACTTTGTGAGGACAACAACCTACAGGGCATATTGAATTTCCCCGGCCGTTGGGCGAGCCTCAATGTCGTTTTAGCGATAGGGCATATGCTGCGCATAAAGAATAGCTCTCTTGTACAGACTGATCGTCAAAAGAGCTGGATGTTTATGAAGAACGCCTTGGGGATTTTGAATGAACTCTGCTTTGGGTTGCCAGATCTATGGACTGTGCAGGCGCTCATAGGGATGGTAAGACGAACAACTGCCTCGAGGGAAGATCTGACTAACAGTACTTTATCTATAGATCGTCTTTTTGTTGGGGACATTAAGCAGCCAGCCTTGCGGGTATTTAATTTCCTCCGTTATGCGAATATGTCATCAGATTCGACTCGAACGATGTGAGAAATGGTCTGGATTGGGTGCCGAGGAACTAGAACACCGGAGGCGGATCTTTTGGATTGCATACTGCCTTGACAAAGAGTAGGAAATTCGTTGATATTGACATCTCAATTCCATGCTAATCTGTCATAGAATATCTATTCGAGCTGGTATTCCACTATCGCAACGCGACGATGATATGGATGTCTTATTGCCAATGGAAGTTCCACTGGATAACATAGGAACCCTGTCAACGACAGATCAACAAGGGACCTTCAACGCATTCAGATCAATGTGTGAACTGGGCTTAATCAGAAGTCAAATATACAAACACCTCTACTCGGTCGCAGCAGCAGATCGCCCGCTTGCTGAAGTGGCCGCCGCAGTTGCCATGTTGAACCAAAAACTCCAACAGTGGAAGGATAGTATTCCCACCGAGTTCCAGCCCGAATCACAAAGACTTTCCGCTTTTACAAAATCCACGATAGCTGTGACCCTTATTTTCCTGCATCTAGCATACTTCCACTGTCTGATTGCTATCCATCGGGTCACCGCAGCACGGGGGTCAAGGCTAGCTATGGATCTAGTCGAAAGGAACAGCGTTTACACCCCACCTCACCCAGTGGTATTCATGTCAGAATCACTGTGCACAAAGGCTGCAACGGCGTCGATTGACTTGATGAAATATATGCCGAAATCTAATATCACGCTCATAGGGTATGTGATGACTCAGATTGAAACCTTTTGCTTCCCTGTTCTAAGGCTAACATACACTAGGATAATGATCTACTACCCTATTCTCGCATCCAAAACACTCTCCTCGGCCATCGTCCAAAATCCACGAGACACATCGCGCATATATCACATCAGGCTTATCATGAAAGTAGAAACATTTGTATCATCATTGGTCCTTGATACACCCAATGAAGGTATCGATGGACTTTTGAAGGACTGCGCCGAGTATCGCTCTCTGGCGGAGGCTGCAGTTAGGGAGGCTACACAGATATGTCAGGGTTGATCACAGGAGACCACATATGTCTCTTAATTAATAAGGCAGTTCACTGCTTGGATTCGACATTATGTATTGATCCCACAGTCTCTTCCTTTGACCGACAGACACAGTGCGGTCGCGAAAGCGAATACTGTGTCATTTTTACCAACCGTGACTTGTTCTAGTGTGCCTAAGAATGGGATTGCCCTTGACTCACATGTTGGAAAACAAGCCAGTGCATAGCTTACTTAATTTCTAATTTACACACTCTTCTCAATTTATGTTTAGATCCCACGAATGCCAATCTTTAGATGCATAAGATTCTCCAGGGCTGATTCCTCACCCTGATTTCGAATTTCCTCACCGAGAGCGTGTGGCATCGGATGGAATCATAGCCAATGCAGGGTCGACTTCTTCAATGCCAAAAAAACAATATGACCGGGTATCAAAATGGCATTGATTGCGGCGGAAGCATAGTATAAAGTGGTAGAAATGAAGGGATTGGTGAACATGTGGAGTTGAAGACTTATTTCAAGAGAATTTTCCGAAGTTTGGAGAGGGGTTCATGCTATAGAATCATGAGGTGGATCCATGCTGTTGGACAGATTATATAGTGAAACAAGATGCTGACAAGTCGACCTAGGCACGGGAGATCGAAAAGTTTGTCGCGGATCCCCAAAACTTTGATTCCAGATTAAAAAGAAATCCGGAAGATCGCACCTCAAATGTCTGAATATAAGAGCTCATAGCGATTGTGGGTAGGCCAAAAGATCATAAAACCATCACAAAATGACAAGAAACATCGATTCTTGGCAACGTAAGATGATTATTCATATGATATGCAACAAGAACAGACCCGCTACATCGCAAATAGCAAAGGTAGTGCAGTGTAGTGAGCGCTCTATCTCTAATATCCGCAAGAACTTGCGGTTATTCGGTAGTGTGAGATCTCCCCTAGTCTCGGCCGGCCGACAACGAAGTATCGCCCCTATTATGCTTAACGCCCTCTGTGACCCCCTCGCCGAAAAGCCTGGCTATCTTCCTATGGAATGGATTTAGGATATTACCATCGTCATCTAGTATTAAACGCGCTCTTCCGCGTGCTGGCTGGACAAAAAAGAAAGTATAGCAGAAAGCCAAAGAATAGAACCCTTACTTCCGAGATTTCTACCACCACAAGCTATCTAAGTTTCAGTCATATCAGCTTATATTTGCTAATGAATCCAGATGTGAGAAAAGGATTGGATCTAGGCAAACTGGCTAGTCACTACTCGGTGTGCTACGAGTCTAAGTATCGAAATTTTATCACGGCTAACGCTTCTAGATACTGCCTATATATACTCAAGACAGTATCATTCTATCTCGTATTTTAAAAGATTGAACGGATACCACGTTCTTCGAATCATTTATCGAGCAGCTTCTCTAGCACTATAGGAGGTGGTTAGAACCAAAATCCGTGCTTGTTATAGAAAACGTATATTTCTATTATTTAGACCGGATTAAGACCTTACATGCTAACGCGGGAGTCAAATTACTGTACCTACTGCTGTTTTCGCCAGATCTCAATCCTATCGAAGAATTCTTTGCCGAGCTTGAGGCCTATATAAAGAAAGCTTGGTCAGCATACGAAGAGAATCCTTAGCATTAATGAATTAATGAATCTAGGAGTGAGATTAGTCGGACTCTCCACACGCTGTCTTTCAATCAATTTAAAAAGTACAGGGACGCTCGAAATCCATTTCACTATTTCACTCTCTTCTAGTTCTTGAAATCTATTATAAAACTCTAGTCCTTCTTCAATTTAGTCTATTCGACCCTGCCAAAATACTTGTGGCATAAGCCATCTGGATACTTCCTACACATCAAGGCAAAGCAGAAGCTGCTAACAAAAGTAAGGTTAAGTAGATGACCGATTGAATGATATTAACTATTTCCGAGAGCATATATTAACTAAAACTTCATTAAGCACATTACTTCTCTCTTGTAGAGGCCCATACCTTGACACCCCATCAATTCGTTATCACAGGAGTGCTTCGATCCCAAGTGCTCTTCTCAGCAGCATCCACCAGACACGCCGCCACACTAGCCCTCGAGATCCCCCCCAAGCCCGCGAAAACACCGAGTCCTTTCCCATCATCGCCAAAGAACTGAACGGGCTCTTTTTTTGCCAGAGTCAGTCTCGCCGCCCTGAACAAGACGAATTTCACTCCGCTCTTCTTGAGTGTCTCATCGACTTGATTATGGTCCTCGAATGAATATCTGAGGCTAGTCTTGGAAATTGCAAATCTCATAATCACAGTGATATTCGGGAAAGAAGACCCAACACCAAATGAAGACAATGTCGCAATTTTGGAAACGCCGTGCCTTTCCATAGCAGCAATGAGGTTTTCGTGCGCGTTCGTCATGACTCGGGTCCCTTTTACTTGCGGGGATGCAAGCGTAACGATCACGGCAGTTGGGATATCGCCTTGGACTGCGTTGAAAGTGCTTTCAATACTCGAAGGCTCCAGTGGTGTGCCCTTCACGATCGTTAGGCCTTCCTTAGCTGGAAGGGTAGAGGGATCCCGAATCAAGGCCGTAATCTTGTGGCCGCGCTGCAATGCTTCATCGATGACGAGACGACCAGTCTGTCCATTACCACCAATAACAAGGATACGCATATTGAAGATGCTGTTGCGTTGTGGTAGGATGCTGACTTTGTTCCCAACTATAGGGGCGTGGTTTGATTGAGGCCGCGGTAGGATGCTTTTAGTGATTTCAACTTTGAAATCAATAGACGGTCAACTGGATACTCTGGAATAAAATATAACCAAGGGGCTCCTATCAGGTATATATAGCCATGGTACAAACTCTATCGAAGGTGTTAAGGCTGATTCAACGTAAGGACTTGCTACAATAACCTTAGAAGTTCTTAGATACATTGCAAAGCCAGCTACCGGAAGTAAATGACGCGTACGCTGTTGCCTTATCAAATATAACTGTTGCGGCCATTTCTGTAGCCCGAAGTCCGTGTGGTAGATCGGGCATCGCTAAAAGCTACGTCCGTAGAATTACAAATCCAGTTGCTTACAAAGAGGGGGCATGACGTTCACACTCTGGCGCCTAATCACGGGTGCACGCAACCCCCCCTGGCATCCACAACCAGTTCGGTGGATAATTCTTTCCTTCACACAACAACAATCTCCTAAAGCGCAAATTCATAGGCTCATTCGTCATAAAATTTGTTCTTGGCCTTGTTATCATAAAGTTATCGGACTAAAGTCGGCCCGCCTACCTTTGGGCGGGGAGGAGTTGTACGCAAAAGTGTTAACACCTTAAGACCCACCTATCCCACCGCCCGTAGCTCGGCTCTACCGCCTACCATACCTTTACCCAAGTCATGCTATAAGGCGCCAAACTATCTGGAGCTCCCCTTAAAAATCTGCTCCAGAGTTTCCAAGTGTGCTGTCTATTCAGCAGGGTAGTTTTTAGCATGATAGGTAAGCTATAAGTGCTACCTAGAGAATCTTGGACGGATATTTAGTCCGGCAGAATACTATATAAGCATACAGTGTGGGGCCTGGGGTGTTAAAACTTTTGCGTAGAGACTGTAGGTGCCCATGTCATATGTATACAACACTCCACGTTGCAGTTCGCCTAGTTCTCTCTTCCTCAGCTGCAATATGATCCCTTCAGATCGAACTCTCTAGTGACGTTTCTTCATTATTTGCAGCATGTCTTCAACGCCTGCTTTCAGAGTCTCTTCCCAATACTCGCTAGGGGCTACAACCAAATATTCTTAAGTCACTCTCCTTACCGCCTTGCGGTTGAGTGTAACCTTCCATTCGATTATGAAGCAGACATATATCGGAGGCTCCTCATCGCATTCGCCACCTTCTTCCCATTCGGCAAACGGTAGGAAATTGAGTTGATCCGATTGTTGCTGATCTGTGACATAATACGGGACAGAGTCTTGGATTCATACAGAAAGGTACAATATTCGGTACTATTACCGAGTATATAAAAAACTGGTAATTTACGCGACTTCTATATTGGATTAGCATATCATGTGACTAGGGTTAGAAAGAGTATCTCTGTGTATCCGGATATGGAAGGCAATAACGGTCGGCACTGTATCATTGCTCTCGGCGTAGGATTAGTGTTTTTGATCGTCTCCTGCCGAAGAGGGTATGGCCGACCTTGGGTTTGATGATTGTGTCATTTGGAGATTGCTGTGTATGGGTTTCTACCCTGGACTGATCTTCTGCACCCTGCGATACCTGACGCCTTCTCTTGGCGGGCCGATCAATCGAGAGAAGCAATACGGGAAGGTCCATTTTGGATATCGAGATAGATGAGATATTGTGTTGGACAGCCTTTATAGACTGGAGCTATTATTCCTCTGGCCCAAGAATAAATGCAGAGCCGGAAAATCTATTCAACTGCTAACGTTCAATCTCACCTACTGCTCACCATCACCTACTGATAAAGCATTAAAATAAACCACAGTATCAACTATATCATAATGATAGTCTACAACTATATGTTTTGGTGGCCTTAGGCCGCCACTGATGCCTCAGGCATAAACCCCTCTGCTAAGTAAATAGCCACTCTCTCCCTTCTTTCTTCCTGGCCCTACATTGTAGCCCCAAGAGATTATAATACTCGATATGGTTACTGCGTGGACTATTAGAGTTTAGTGTGTCCGAAACGGTCTCTATATCCTAAAAGGGTTAGCGCGGACCCAGGAGTTTATATTGTATGTTGTAGTGGTGGTATTGCTCTCTCTTCGCTCCTAATCATAGAAACCATACAACGCAACAATCCAAAAGGCAGAACCAACCGCCAGAATCATCTCGCACTTTTAGATCACACATCGATGCCTTTTACCTGAACATGAATCTCAACTGGCGACTCGATAGGACGGCCAGCCGCATCGTGCGTCGAATCCCATTCTGCGAGCTCAGCAACAGGTACTTTTCTAAGCCGGTTGCTCTGAACACCACCGTCTAGCTTCAAAGGCTCTTGTCGCAGTCGGTAGCCCTTCCAGTTAGGAATGAGGAAGGCCCAAATATAGTAATAGATGCCGCAGGCAAGAAGACTAGATAATTTTGTCAGTAAGAATAGACTAGTAGCAGAGTAGACGCGCAGGCCAAGTTCAGTTGACTTACATTCCAATTCCTGTCACGGCAGACGTTCCATACCAAAAGCTGACATCACCAGCATATTGTCCTCCTGCGGGCGGATACCAGGGCATGACAAGGAGGTAGAGTTGCACGAGAACATTGAAGAGGATCACGACATGCCAAGCCTTGAATTCGGGTTCGGGGAGGTTGGCTTGTCTTCGGCGCCAGCGAACAATGTAGATACCAAGACCCATTGCAAGATTAAAGGCAGCACCAGGAATGATTGACAAGTCGTTGACTGTTGAGTGTTAGCATTGCAATAATGCCCAACCGACCTCTAAGCCGGGGGTAGAAGAGAACATACCAAAGGTGAAAGCGTCACCAGCAGGAACGGCTAGGATCATCAGCGCGGTCAAAGACCAAACGACGGCATACGGGCCTAAGGTCGTGCCAAAGGGCTTGGTCGAGACCCAGAACTCCGTGAAAGGCAGAACTCCCTGTCGGCCACATTCTCTGATGCGCCGAGATAGACCAATTATCACGGCTATCATGTTACCGAAGGAAGCCAATGCAATGAGGAAGTTGAGACCGCGAACTGCACCACTGGCGCCGAAGACCTTCTCGAAGAACAGACTGGCAGTCGTGAGGTCAGAGCTCTCGATCTCCTCCTTGGGAACTGTAAAACCATATGCAATTAGCGCGGTGATCCGAATATAGCATGGGTTATTGGCAACCAACCAGCAGCGAAGAATGCGATATTTGCGAACATGTATAACACATAAACCACTGTAAGAGCAAGGGTGGCGTAGATTTTGAGTGACCTGACGGGATTCTATCAAAAGAAATGTCAGTTTCAGCCCTGTGCCACATGAATCTCGAGCTGCCATACCTTGACTTCGTTGGCAACGTTGAAGGCGTTATTGTAACCTCCATAAGAGAAAATAATACGGTACAAGGCAGTAGTAAATCCGTATGCAGAAGCTGTGGAACTACCCGACCAAACATCATGGAAATTGGCCTTGGGGTTCTCAACCCTGGTATTGCCCCCTAAAACAACAAAGCCAGTGACTATGACGAAGAGAAGGGTGCAAATCTTCACAACTCCAACAGCATTTGAGAACCAATATGCGTATTTAGTGTTGAACACCAGCGCTGCAGGTTGTCAGCGTCCTTCGTTCAAACAAAATGATGCATTGAGGGCAACTTACTCAGGGTGGCAAGACTGTAGCAGGCTAGAGCAGTGCCTTTGATTTGCCAGTTAGTACCCGTGTGCCCGGAGATGGCGATAAGGTACTTGGCCATGACTGTTATGGTTTGTTAATTAACACCCTGCAAAAAGTAAAATGCGATCGCCAACTCACCTGTAGCATTAGCACTTCCAAACGAAAGAATGACACTCTGGGCCGCAAAGGTGGTTGGGAAGAGCCATTTCGGATTAGGGTAAGCTTGTTCGAGGAAAACGACTTCTGAACCCGATCGACTAGGGAAATATGCCGTAAACTCAAGGTACACAGCTCCGGACGTGAGACATATCTAGAACGAAGCAAGCATGATCAGTCGACATTTCTTTCTTGATCATAAGTAACACTTACCAAGTAACCTAGGGTCCAATAAATGAGACTAACGCCAACGGAGCCTGTACCAGACAGGATAGATGATGCTTTGTCATATTAGCTGGAATTCATGCGTATGCATTGTTATGTGGCACTAACGCGTAGAGTAAATACCAGCGCCGATCATCATTGTGATGTTCAGCAAGGTAATTGTGACGGGACCGACAGAGTATCCCAATGGCGAGTCATGCTCAACTGGAGCGCCAGACGCATCTTGGTATGTTGTTGCCGCATTATTGCCTCCGGTCTCGCTGATATACTTCCCGCTAACAGTTGTGACCTCCCCTGTCTGGCTTTCCACCGCAGTGCTGAGCGCGGCAGGGGTTTTGTTAGAAGATCGCCGCCAAGCCATTGCTGGCAATTGTCAAGCTCTATGAAGATAAAATAGGTCTGACAAGGTTCTCCGCGAAAAAAGAAATTAAAAACACGAGGTGCCGAGTGTCAAGGCCCCCTGTCGTTTGTATATGCTGGAGGAAGTAAACAAAAACGGCGCCGGATCGGCCATCTATATAGCAAGACGCCAACGCTTTTGTCATTTTTTATCTTGTCTCCGGACATCTTGTCCAATACCACGCTTAGAATTACAGTTAGCGTGCGGGCAATATTTTGTTTGTGGAGCATAACGATTTCAACATCGGAGGGGCGAATGTTACAACCAAAGGAGTGGGCCGGATAGAAGGCCGACCATATGAATTTCGGCCTTGGTGTGGAAGGCGTCATGGCGAGAAGAAACCCAAAGATAATTCGTCATCTAGTGTCCTTGTCTATCTATGAAATCCTGGTCAAAGGCACCTAGCCTGTAACTCTTATGCATTAGAAGTGGGGACGGTTTCGGGCAATGATTCAGGCTCCATAATCTCTCCGAAGTTGAAAGGTTCATATCAGTGAATCTGATGGCTAAGTATCGCATAGTGAGTGTATGCAATTGAAGATGCATGTTGGTAGATCTGTACCGGTTGGAGGCTTGTCAGTAAGATTTGCATAGTCAGATGGAAGAACCTCGGATGTTTATGGTGGTACCAGTTGTCCCGATCAAAGTAGATCTGGCACGTAATAGCCAGCCAAATGGCGAAAAGAAGGAGCTTGGCCGGAGCTGGTGTGAGACTTAGATGCACCAAGCTGGGGTGGCTACAAAAATGCCATTTCGCGCAATGATGGTGTGTTATTGGAAATGCGGGGGGTTGTTTTACTACTTATCACGTCATGCCTTGTTTAGATGAGTGTGAACGATGTCTTGAACAGATATTGGATGGCCTCAGGCCGATACCGGGGTTGGCCCCTGTAGTAAGTTAGATCCTCTCCCCTTCCTATCATCCTTTCTCTATCCGTCCACTTTGCTCACCGAGAATCATACACATTTGTTTTCTCTCTCAGTAGGGATCCTCTGTGTAGTGATCCCTTGAACAGATCGCTAGACCCTAAGGCGCCTCGCACGGCCGATTAATGATAGAGTTGAACGAGGTACCTGAAAAGAGTTCCTGAATATAAAAGTCGGAGCGCGAGAATGGCTCTGGAACAGGTTGGGAGGTATCGGATTTGCCAGACGGTGAAGATCCCAGGGGTGGCGGCCGACGGGAACCGGGCCGGGGGAGTTAGCCCCCACACGGGGCATTTAGGGTTTGGTGCCTGAGGCAATAACATTCCCCATTCTTGTCTTCTCCTTGCTTCACATCCCCCTTAACCTTTGCTATCGGGGAAAGGTGATCATGAATTGGGAACATTTGGGGATTCATGTGTGATTTCGAGTCTTTGCAAAGATAATTACAACATATGATATCTCGTGTTAATGGATCTCATTGCTAGAGCCAAGAAAGAACGTTTTTTATCCAAATTATGGCGTGATGAAATTTCAGAGTACATCAAAACGAAAAAAAGACTCCCTCAGCACATTTATCATTACCTTCCAAGTGCCTAATCATTCAACGACTTGATTCGACGATTCGAGTCGACCGTGCACGCCTGATTTCAGTGCCGCCAAGAAACAAGCTGCAGGTATGGATTTGGCCATCAAGCCTGAGCCTACGGCCACGGAGAGTCCCCCGCTTAAAAACGAGAAGGCTATCGAGACCAAATACGCAGATGAAACTCTACGCATTCTTGAGCTTCATGGAGACTCTGTTGGGCCATTGACAGCTGAGAAGGAGAAAAAGCTGAGACGCAAATTGTACTGGCGTATTTTCGGGCTACTCTCTGCTATCAACCTACTGCTCTTTGTGAGCTCATTATCCGAACCTCTTGTTTGCAACCTCTAATCTCTATAGATTGACAAATCCACTCTGGGTTACGCTGCTATTCTCGGGCTGTTCGAAGAGACTGGCATCTCCAAGGCTGAATACAACAATCTCGGAACTTTCTTCTACGTCGGTATGTGACAGGATCGTTGCTCCGATTATACCTTCTCTAATAATCCATCAGGCTACATTGTTGCACAATGGCCGGGACATTATGCTATGCAAAAACTACCATTTGGAAAATTTGTCGCCGCTCTTGTCTTCATGTGGGGTGTCATCCTACTACTTCATTGCGTTGCCACAACGTATGCCGCTCTTGTGGTTCTGCGGCTGGCGCTCGGTGCCGCCGAATCGGTCGTGGTACCTGCAATGGAAGTCACAATCGGAATGTTCTTTAATCGTTACGAACAGTCGTTCCTCCAACCTTGGCTTTGGGTGACGTCTGCAGCCGCACCTATATGTGCCGCTTTTATCTCCTACGGTTTGCTTTGGAGTCACAGCTTCATCCTACCTTGGAAGCTTTTTATGATTATCACTGGCTCTGTCTCGGTACTTCTTTCTGTTTTCGTTTGGTTTCAATATCCGAACAACCCAGCTGAGGCCACTTTCCTGACACTGGAGGAGAAAATCCACACTATCAGACGAGTACATGCGTCGAGTCAAAGCTCTATTGAACAGAAGCAGTTCAAGAAGAGCCAGTTTATCGAGACGCTCCGCGACCCCGTTTCGTGGCTATTTACTCTACAGTCTTTTACCCTCATGATGTCTAATAATCTCACCTACGGACAACAGAACCTCATTACCAAGGCTCTAGGAGTTGACAGTTTGGGGTCGACTCTCGTGGCTGCAGCAGGTGGTGGCTTCGGTGTCCTGGTTTGTATTGCAGGAGCCTATGCCCTACGGTGGTGGCCTTCAAATCTTGCACTCCATGGACTCTTCTGGTGTATCCCTGCAATTGCAGGTGGAATTGGAATGGTCGCTATTGATTGGGACCAGAAGCTAGGGATGCTTGCTTGTCTACTTCTAGCTGGTCACACCTATGGTAATACCTACATTATCGCGTTGGGTTGGACTACATCATCTGCAGCCGGCTATACGAAGAAGTTGACCCGAAATGTTATGTTCATGGTTGGTTATTCCATTGCAAATATCTGCTCGCCACAGATATGGGTTCCCAGGGATGCACCTCGCTATTACGGTGCCTGGATCTCCATGATAGTGGTCAGCTGGGCGGGGACACCTTTTATCCTTTTCATTATACGGTTCTTGTTGAAACGCAGGAACGATGAGCGGAAGGCTTGGGTTGCATCGTTGACCAGCGAAGAGAGAAGGGCTCACGAGATGGGAGTAGTCGAGGAGCTTGATGAAAATGGGAATATGATACGCAAGCAAGTTGAAATTGCCATGTTGGATATGACTGATATGGAGAACCCGTTCTTCATCTATCCCATCTGAATGAGGCGAGTATTTGGAAATTGAAGTCATGCAACACCAAATCTCTACGAAAGTGATGACCCAGGAAAATATATACATGATAGCGTCGCTCTGAGAATCTCGAAGTGCACGCTTTGCCTGAAACATCTTGTTCCAAGTAGATTTCCACCGAGACTGATTGAGATCATACGAATGGCCCCATGCAGCCAAGGTGATTATCCTCACTCGATGATAGGAGATCAAATGTCTTTGTAATATGACCTACGGTATAAGGAAGATTAATTGGCAACAATTTTAGGTTCAATGACCTCCATTAATATCAAGCTGAGACAAGATCACCACCAACTGCCTATATGTCTCCTGGTCATCCACAAGATGCGGATAATCTATCTGCAACATTCGCAGGAGAATCAAACCTTATTCAGATGCTATAATACTTGTTAAACATTACCAATCAAACACTCAAAGATATAGAATATGAGGCTACAGATAAGCTGAAGGATCCCGGGTAAGATGTGCACGAAGCTGAAAGTACAATCTAGTAATACGCTGGATATGTTTGACTGAGCTTCCAAGTCGCGGTGATCTAACAAGCATATAGTCGCGATATAGGGAGGTGAGCGCCATAATAGAATTGCGGATCACGGATTGGTCTCGACATCTCTGCAGGATGAGGTTCGTCCATAGCGTAGTATCTGAGAGTCGAGATAAGGAGTTGGCTGCTTCACAACAGTAGAAATGAAGTAGTTCACGGTCTGCGTGACTGCCGGTTCCTTTGAATGGAATATTGTGAATCTTGATTTCGCGTTGGGAGTGGGGACCTTGCGGATATCCGGGGCAGCTTTGTCCGGCGGAAGTGCACCGGCGATGTCCGGGACGTTGCTCGTCGGATTTTATTCGGTGGGTCCTGGCTCAGTTAGAAGAAGGGTACGGAGTACGGAGTATGGAGTACTGAGTGTTAACCAATACAATCAAACCCCGTTAAAATCAGAGGGTCGTCAGAGGGGAAATTCCTAGAAATTAAAGGGGGTTCTACTCCGTAAAGTAGTGAGGGTCTCGACATCTTTTGGGTTATGTAATGTGCTATTTTTACGTATATAATGAAACTCAGGAGGATTTGAGCCGGGCAGAATACTAGGCCAAGCTAAGTCACGTGGGCGGTAGGCCTCAAAGCTCACCGGAAGGAAAGTCTGTAAAACTGAGGGAGACTAAGCCTAATTAGGTAGCTCTTTACTACAACATATGGTAAACTAATTTAGGAGTCCAAATTCTTCGAAAGTTATCGAAGTCTACAAAAAGAAGTGGGGTCGATTTCAATGGGGCAGCAACGCTGAAGCTACCGAGCGGGGCATATACGAAAAGGGAATACCTTTTGACTCGGTAAACCATGTAAACGATAGATTTATATAAGGTTAACTTTTTTTTAATAAAATTAGATTAGAACATTTTATGCTAAGTATAGATAGCACTTATATTCCAATGTCATAATAATACCATACCTCAATAGAATTTTAAGGGTATGTTTTAGGAGCGCCTCTATGATTTTATATCTCATGTTAATTTCGTCAGCGATAGGTATGGCTAGGAGCTAAACATCTACTAGTATAAGCTAAAAAGAACTAGGTAATTATAGCCGACTTTAAGCATATTAGCTTATCGGTCTACGCGCTACCGTTCTCGCTCTAGTGAAGTACTAGGTAGGTGCTAGTACTGACTACGAGCAGAGCCATCGTTCTGTCGCGCCTTCCTCTTCGCGTCAGATGTAAACTTTCGCTCGTCCACTAGTTCGAATTAGAGAGAACATTTTGAAATTACACTGAACCTACTGGTAATCAATTTCCCTTTTACATCACCCTCTCCTTAACGCTAGGACGTGCCCCTCCTTTAGTTCAGAGTTTAATCGCTCTTGCTATTAAACAAAGTTCATTCCATTTATCATGACATTAACATCATTCAGTAGTAATCTATAGATCCCGTGTTGGATACACCACCAGCTTTGCAAGCACCGAGATGTGCAAAACCAGTATGTTCTGAGGGTAATATCTAAGGGCATAATAATATTAGGTACCGTACACATCGAAATAATTAGTTTAAATGAAGATAAGCGTGTGGCAGGGATGCACAACCGACAAAGTGAACGCTAAAATAGCGTCACAAAAGTTCCGCGCATCCTTATACACGATCCTCACGCACGAAATACTCAGTCCTAACAGCAATCCCCGGCCCGGAAGCCGGCGCCGTGTCCTTCACTAATCCGTCGTCGGAGTCATGAAAAGAAATATCATCGCCGCGATCAACATGACTTTGTGAGGTGGAAACGGTGGTGTGTTGCTTGCTGGCCTGGGCGCCGGTATGCACGCCAGAGTGCGAGAGCTCGTAGCCGCGACGGCCGCTATAGGTTCCAGTGCGAGAGTGAGAGCCGAAGACCATGGTGCGGAGAACGGGGAGACAAGAAGCGATGATGGCGATGGCGGTTTCGACCATGGAGACGGTGCAGGTGATCATTTGTTCGTTGCGGTGGGAGTAGACCGCTCGGATAACTGGGTACATCGTGGTTTAGTTATGGGAAGGAGATGTGAGGAGCAGATGGGAGGGGAGACATACTGCTAGTGATGACTACAAGAATACCAAGGAGGAAGACAGATATGACACCCCACTTTTGTTTCCTGGGCATCTTAAGTCGCGCAACTTGCGCAATGGGGAGGCAGATGACTGGTTGGATTCGGTTAGACGGAACGGTTGAGAAGAATTGAGCTCGAAGCCTTACTGAAGACATCACTGAAGATATTGACTGCAAAGTGTTAGTTGATAATCCATGTAAATCAAGAAAGACGGCCTTACAGAGAATCGTGAGCCAGTAGTTGACTGTGGATGGTCCTTGAGGGCATACCACTGAAAGAGCGTTAGTTCATGAATCTGTAGTAGTTGATATAGAAACATCCTCACACTCAGGGTTTGTAAGCCCCTCCCACTGCCGCTTGGGCGGATAGCACTTGAAGACGATATCGAAAAACAGCACTAGCCAGGTTGCAGCCAGGAAACCAAGTGTGATGTTATACACCATCTGGTACCGGGTGCGATCTGCGAGGCGCTTGTAGAAGATCACCATGCTAGACTTGATCAACCACAGCGCAGTGACGTATAATGTGGAGCCCGGGATGATCATCTGGTGGATAAAACGGTGCATTAATAACAATTTAATGGTATACTCTTCCTAACCCAGGATGTTTTACCTTCATCAGATGAATCTGCTGATCCAAGGTTGTGTTGGCCATATCAGACATGCCTGTGCCCGCGATCGTCAGTGGGGTCCTCTAGAATTTTGCGCTACCAGCTCAATGCTTGGAACACCTACCCAGGTTGAACATATAATGTTGGATTACCAGATCGCCGATTAGACACAAGGCAGCCATAACAACGAACAGGTCATCGAGATAAAGTCGCTTCAGGAGCCGCAGGCGGACCACAAGGCGACAGATCAGGAAGATGCATGCTGCCACTGTGCAGACATACCAAGCCACCTACACAACGGAAACCCCGTTAGTGAGCTAGCAGACGACGAGAAGGATGTACTGGGAAATTTGAGAGAAAGACAGCATACCAATTGCCCAAAATCTGGGCGCGCCATATTGACTTGCCTCTGTCTCAGTAACGAACCGCAAAGAGAGAGTTAAGGCAAAAGAGCGTGAAAATAATGTGGCGGTCGTCTATTTTTATTATAAACTATTTACGGAGTACAGAACATCTGCTATAGCCATTATCGAAATTGGGAGAATACACTGAAACACTTTTTAGGGCCCACTGCCTCGGAAGGCCCTAGCACAGATTATCGAACAGGTTAAACTTAAATGAAGGCTGGGCGATGCACCTATAGGATGGATAGATGGTATCTTTCTTGGTAATATTACATCTGTGCTTTGAATATAGGGTATATGTCGGCAATTACCGTATCAGGCGGGAATTTTACAATCGGCCCCAACTTAGTTTGTCCCCCCACCGCGTGTTCCATGGATTCGTACATGGATCTGTGCCACCAAAGCTAGATTTATTCCAAAGCTTGGGAAAGTTCCAAAGTTGCCTTCCAGAATGGGGTTTGTTCGGGTAAATTCCGAGTTTACCACTTACCTAATTTGTATACCATGTAATCTCGAGTGATGGAAATTCGGGCGTTTAGAAATTCCCCATTCGGGAGGCATATCGCTTAATCTATCCGAAGCCAACTAGTCATGCAATATGCAATAATAACGATTGCATAAGAACTCAAGTGCGAAAATATTGATTCTTCTAGATCCGCAGTGGGGAAAGGGGAGAACGTGTGAGTCTCGATCCAGATCATTCCTCGTACGGAGTACATAGTGCCACTTCTACGCTCTGGTGGAACTCTAAAAGTCCCGAATGCTTCCGGAAAAAAGCTGGGAGAGAACCATGGAAGTATTTGATTTGCCGCTCAGCACGAGTGCAATCTCCACAGTGGGGGCCGATTCAGTTGAATTGCCGCTTGCAGGATTTTGGCCTTGGGTGGCGTTCTCGAGCCGTGGTAGTACCTGCATTAGGGTCATTGTGTGATGTTCACGATTCGATTGAAATTATATGAATAATTTTAGATCTAATTTATTTTATACAGAACAAGACAAGGCCGGAACATTTTTAGGCACTCGCGGCCAGCAACACAGGGTTCTGCACCACAGGGTAGTTAGGGTAGTTGGGCTTGTAGACCTTCTGGCAGCGAGCGTTATAGGCGCCAGTCGTGCTAATCACAAGCTCCTCCTCCTGCCCAGGCACACCCAGGCGCGCCAAGGGACCATCAACAGGCTGGGCCTTGCCCCAGCCAGGGCCAGCGCTGGGGTTCTTAATCCACGCAACAAAGCCGGAGTGGATGTAGTCAGCGAGCTTCTGCTCCGCGGTGGTAACGCCATCCAGCAGGGAGAAGCACTCGTTTCCGCCGTGGAAAAAGGGCACCTCGCTGCCGTGCGAGGGTCCGAGGTTGGGGATCGGCAGCACGTTCGAGTAGTTGCCGAACCAACGGTAGATCCAGGTGGGTTGCGAGGCAGCGCGTAGGTCCAGCATGGCGTCGGTCGCGCAAAGGAAGCGCGCATCGCCGTAAGAGGCACCGCTCATCAGGGAGACAGAGTCATAGTCGGCTTCGTCGTAGGCGGCCAGGAGCTCGTCCGTGGGCACGAAGGCAATGTCGGCGTCAAAAGTGCGGATCCAAGACGAAAAGTTGGTGTTCTCGCTGCCGTAAACGTAGCCGAAGATCTCGCCCTCCAGGTTGGAGTTTCCGACGACCAGTGGCAACGATGTTGGGTAGTTACCCTTGACGAAGCGGTCAGTGTAGTTGGAGAAGCGGGTGATCTCGTCCACCGACGGCGAGAACCAGGTGTTCGAGGTAGAGTTGAAGTAGGTTGTCTGGAAGGCGTAAGTATCTGCTGCGCGTAGGCAGTCCAGAGTGTAGTTTTCAGCCGTGCAGTCCAGAGTCACGCCGGCATCCAGCATGTCCTGAACCACCTGCTTCAGCGCAACACCAGCGGGTGCATAGGCAGGGCCAGATTGGGCGTTGGCAGACATCTCAATCGCGCCGGCCAAGAAGGTATCAGGGTGATTCCAGAGATAGTGATCAACGTGCACTCCACCGGATGAGTGACCACCCAGCACGATGCGCGACTTATCACCACCGAAAGCTAGCGACTAGGTTAGTCAAAGGCCACAAGGTGGTTCAAGAGAAAGAAAAACATACCCTCAATGTTGTTGTAAATCCACTCCAGGGCCAACTCCACATCCAGGATTCCAAAGTTCTGGGACTCTCCCTGCAGCTCAGGCGCATTGGGCGAGGCATAGATGCTCTCGCGGGCATTGAAGTTGACATAGATAACATCATTACGGGCAAAGTTGAATCCTTGCCATTGGGCGTTGCTGCTGCCGCCGGTGACCATGGCACCACCATAAATATAGACGAACACAGGAAGATTGGTACCCTTTTTCGGTGTCCAAATGTTGAGGTTGAGGCAATCCTCACTCTGGCCGGTGATAGCCGTGCCAGACATTACCTGGGCACAGGACGGTCCATAAGCAGTGGCCTTAAATTGACCGTTAGGGAACGAGCTGATGGGCTTAGGAGCCTTCCAGCGGTTCTCGCCAGCAGTGGTCTCAGCAAAGGGGATGCCTAGATAGACAGTAGTGTCATTCTGGAAAAAGCCCTTGACAACACCCTGCTCCACGGTGACGTTGGGACCAGTAGGTGGGGATCGGCATGCATGGGGCGCTGCAGCCACCAAAGTCATAGCCGTAGCCGTCAGGCTCAGGGTGCGGAGGAAGAAACCCATGGTCGCGAAGAGGGCCGGAGGGGGAAGAATATTATCGTGATCGTCGAGGATTACGGTGGGAGACGCGCACTTAAGCAGCCGGCAATGCGGTAGCGGACGCCTGTGGAACCAGGCCGAGTTTGTTCTTGACCCAAACGAGCATCAAGCTGTCTTGGATGTCTCGTCCAATCATATCAACCCAGGTGGAGTGCAACCACATGCCACCCACGTGGCGTGCTAAACCTATTGATTTTCTCGCTGTTAGCTCAATCCACAATGGCGCTTAATATGCCCTGGAAAGGAAGCCAATACCCACTCCGAGGAGAGCTCGCATCCTCCGAGGAGCCTTCAGATTTGGCATTAAGCTGATCCAATTTGACTACCAGCGACTCAGAGCATGCCCAATCATGATATGGAAACGTTAAGAGTCTCACTCGCAAGATTGAAAGCAGGAACTAAAACGGGTCATCAATATTAGGAATGCAAATTAGAGCGCGGGCATTCTAAGTGCCGGCAACAGGAGGAAGAGATAACATATTCCACTACCAAGTGGTCCACCGTAAACCACATGGCAAATGCGATAAATTAAAACTCCGTATCTCAACAACGGTAGCCTATATGGGGCTTACGGTTCTGTGCTTTTTAGCTTATGTCTAGCTTCTCTAGGGAATTTGCAAAATATTCTTATGACCTTGTAATTGCGATATATATCTTCGTGGCTTTGAGGAATGTAATATCATGATAATGCAGGTTTTTATTTCTCTTAAAATTGATATATATGTTGTACACAGGGTTAAAAAATCCTTATCAATAGCTATTGTGGTAAAGAAATCAAATAACGTGCTTGTTGAGATATAAGGTTAGAAAATATCCCATCTACCATGTGTTTTACGGTGGACCTAGTACGGAGTACTCCGTACGGACTACCGGAGTACTCGGTAGTGATTTCCGATAACGTGTGAAAATATCATGCCCAGGTGGTGCAATACAACACCCAGCCCCGCACCACTTTGATTAAAATATTCTGCCGATCGAAATTCATCTAATTAACGCGTACATCAAAATCCCTGGCGTTAAATTATTGCCGCACAAGGCTGAGCATTGTCCTGGGGAAAATAGATTAGAATATGCCAAAAGGTGATATGAACTCGAGATAGATTTTGTATTGGCGGTATAGGCGAGAAAAGAAGGCGGTGTATGAGTGGAGCTAAGTTGTGAAAGCTTATGAACAGTCATATGGTTGCCTAGGTGAGAACACCTACGGAGTAGTGATAAAGGAATTCATGAGAGTGGTGAAATGGACAGGACGAACCAGATCAGATGGAGGACTGGTGTCGACACCGAGGATACTTTTCTAAGAAGGGGACTAGGAAATCATAATAAATGGTTCAATTCGTATGGAGATACATCATGGAGGAGGGGACGGTTTGCCTATACCATTCTAGTCCCGTGACCAGGGCCTGCTACGAAAATCCGGAAAATTTGTAGGACCGCCAATTGATGAATCCAAAACAAAAGTGCATTTTGAGATTAGTCAGATAGTTTAGTGTTGGAGTCTTATATACATAACTCACTAATCTATCCCATCCACAAGGTTGTTGTACACCCAGCATAAGGTAACCAGGAAATAATATAGGGTAAAGACACGGTTTGAAGACAGGAGTAATGTCGATGAATGACCAAATGCAACGGTGAAATAATGCCCGGAAACGAAGAAACAACGTGAAGGGAGTTATAAAACGTAGGCTTGCGCGAGGCTGACTTAACGAATTGACGCTGCGACAAACACCCGTGGACAGTCAAATTTGGCATGCACGTATTGTATTTCCTCACTTTTCTTCCTTTTTGTCCCTGTGCTTAGGTTTATCCTGATATATCGCCCTAAACTGCCTTCCGTTCCGCTGCTGCCCTGCTTCCGTGTCGCCTTCTCGTCATTCTTTTTAGACTTGCTTTGCTTTGCTCTTGGTATTCGTTCTTTTCCCTTTTCCCTATATTGCGTTTTCCCACTGCCTACCCTGTCACATATCACTGTGCCTCCCTAGAACTTTTGGTATCATAGATCATAGTTTATGTGTTTTCACTTGGCTCCTTTCATTTCACTTGTTACCAACCCTACCGTATATTATACTGGAAGATTCTTCGCTCTCCAGCCTCGTCTATAGGCATTTGAGCGACCTATGTAGCTTATACAACTTTATTCTGCTTAAATTTATACTGCCCTTTTAGAATCACCTCACTACGCATACCGTGCTATGCTCCTGCTGCTCGCGACCTACACTATCACCTCTATATATAATGTATCCCGCCTGCCGCCAGAAAGCCTATTGACAAAGACTCTATCGTCGTTTGCTTACTACTAGTGAAGTACTAACGTCCCTTTATACTATACAATCTCTGCTACCTTCTACAGCTTTGCCCTCGCCTATTTAACGTACGCTCTGCTCAAATTGCGCTTGATCCTAGCGGTCTTCCTGGAAGCATGCGATCACTATCGCTAATGGAAACGGAATCATCGCCGGCTCGTCACTGTGCCAGAAAGGCTCCCTTCTTCGCACTTTGATAATAGATTATAAGATGCCTTTTCTGCTTTTAATATATTTCTCCCTACTAGGGCATGACCAGACGGCCCCCAAAGAAGCTTTGCAGCATAACCGCCCCACGACGCTTTGCGCTAGGCCATCAATATTTTATGTAATGAATACGACCGTCATATAGTTGCTTCCCAATAATTCCGCCCGGATATATCATCCTCTGATATACGAACATCCGTTTCCGGAGACGACGCAGAGACTTCAACCGCGGCGAAAGCATCTGTATGTAGTTTACGCGGTAGGTTTATTTTACACACTGATCTACACTATATGGATGATGACGATCCTTTGCTTCTGCCTCTGAGTGGTGTTCTCAATCACTGCGGCCGATATGAACGTTGCTGGAATCTGTGATCTTCCTATCATACAGTGCTCGGTGCTCAGTCGAGCGGCCATCCCTAAGTTCTCCCCAAAAATTCTGCTCAATGTTACTCTCTGCTAGAATTGCCCTTCTGCCCTAGAGGGTGTCACCCTGACTGAAGAGTATGCCATCGCAAGATGTCACCCGCTAGGACTTATTGGGAACTTGCGTCTTGGCGGCCGCTTGTCCTTAATCACCCAACGTGCGCTGCGAGGTCATTTTATAACCTTCCTGGAGGACCTACATCCGTTATTTTAAATCCTACAAAGTGCAGAATTTAGGTTAGACAGCATCATTAACGCTTTCTGGTTAGGGAATCGTCCCCTATCAGACGCGGACCTGAGACTATATCTGCCTATTAGAAACAAAATGTTCTAGCGGCTTTCCAATATCTCGTTCGATGTAATTGTCTTCATCGTGGATTAACCATTGATCAACTGAGGATAAAGATCTGGGGCGATGAATACATTCCGCCCGAGATACGGGATAATATTATCCGACTTGACGAGGCAGACCACTGTGAACGTGGAGGATATACGGTCAACCTAGGGCACAGAAATTACGAGAATGAACCCCAGGCAGCATAAGAAGAAGCAGAACAAGTTCAACCCTTCGAGCCTAATGACGGTAGACACCTCCTAACTGGCTCTGTTTACATCAACGGTGAACGCCAGAACCTTGACGGGCGCATGCTAGACACCCTACTCGATGTGGTCACAAGCAGATCGTGCCCATCCGCACAATGCGCCATAGAAAGTTCTGACACGGTATCAGATGTTCCATTGCCAGTCAACGGATTTCAGCAATTTCTTGTACAACCGGTGCTTAGGTTGTATTGATAGATCATTGGCGTGATCCTTATTATTGTACCTCTGCCTTCCTAAACCTATTACCCAAGGGGTTCCAAGGCCATTTGGGCGAGTGTGCCATCTCGGTGTCGCTGAGTGAGCTTGCTGAGTGAGCTCTAAGCTCTACAGCCGAAGGTGAACCGACTTTGCGCAGTGCTTTTTTCGCCTCCGATAACAATCGTAGGTTAGTTTATCAAAAGATTTTCATGTATTTGTTATTCGACGGCTTGCAGCTTCGGTGGTCATTATTGGGTAATGTGTTCCTGGTGAACCGGTGGTATTGGAGCCCGGCCGCCCATGACATCGCTTCCCCAACTGTGGACTGACTAACCGCTGCGGAAGACATCGCCGCTGGCCAAAGCGTCGATGACTCTGTCCTTCCACAACTTTGACAACATATTGTAACCGTTGGCATGGATGTTCCTGGATCCTTCTCTCAGAATCTGAGGATGCGCTCTGAGATTCGAGGATTAGTCATTCGGTATGGAATGCCCGCTTGTGGGATCACAATTGACCCCTAGGACATATGTACGGGAAAATTCCTAGATAAGTTCGACTTGAAGGGTTGGAGAATAGGATGAGAACGAGAGAGAGAGAGGGAAGACAGGTATCTTGTAGGCGCTCGACCAGACCGGGTGAAAAGGGAGGCAATTTGAATTCGGCTGCGGAAAGCCATCATCGGCGTCGTTTTGGTCGCTAGTGTAAACGAAGGGAACAACCGTTGAAGTAGGGAATAACCGTTATAAGTTGAGCGCAACATCAGCTGGGCTTAGGATGACTAATAGTGCGGGTGCATCTAGGCAGAATAGCGGTGGTACATGGAGGCGGTCAAGGCGGTGGCTGCTGGCAGTTGCGGGAAAAAAAGGGCGGCGGTTCCTGTCTTCATTTTCAGGTCCCCATGCTCTATTTGTAAATTGCGCACTTCCAAGATTGGCTAGCACTTCAATAGTAGGTAGGAAATCGGGCAGGATGATGAGTGGCGTCATTGTCGCCTAAAAACCCCCTTAGAGTGGGCATATCTCCGAGGCACACATGGGTACCTTGCATAAACCGGAAAATACAAGGAAAACATAACGTGGGAGTTTTGGGGGCCGTAGGCTAGAACACGTACAAAGTACCCAAAGTACTCTATAACTACCCACCCCCCCTCTCCCCCTGGACAGAGTTACATGTACATCGCAAATCGAGTTCGTTCGGTCAACAAACCAAGAGGGACTAAAGGCGATTAAGTGGAAATGAAGTGAGACATCAATCTCAGACTCCCGTAAGCTGTAATTTGTTGTAACCGAATGAAAATGGTGATCCGGCTTCCTCCCGGATCGACCCTTATGATTGGCGAAACTGAGATGGTTCCACTCCGTACCATGGCCTCTGATGGCTTAGCGTAGCCTTATTAAGTTTTAGCTCGGTCCTGAACTCCCTGATTTGGAAGATTCCATTCTTCGACCTCAGACCATATATCGTTTGACCCCTGTTACACTTCCTTGTAAGTACCCCATACGATTTTGCTCTTCTAATAATTGATGCAAACAGTTGTCCAACAGATCTCCTTTCCTTCCACACTTCTACCTTCCTAAATATATATCACATCTGACGCTCGGAGTTAGTGTTCTACATCCGACATACAATGGCCGGTGGACCCCGAGGTGTCCGTGCTCTCGTGCCTAAGCGATGACCTATGATTGGGTTTTTCGTATCGAACTAATGGCCTTTGATCCAGTCATGGCCCCAATGCTAAGGCGGCTAGAGTCCCTTAGGGTCCTTTAGCCTCTGTTATGCGGCTCTTGCAATCTTACTGCGCCGAGATAGGCCGAAATAGGCAGAGGGCCAGCACATACCCCTCTTCAAAGAAAGCCTTTGATGGCTGATGGCTGATCCATTTCGTAATCGGATGTGACTCTTTGACGCCACTGGCTGTATGGTCATGTTATACCATGTGTTTAGCCTTTCCCCAGTCTACAGTGGAAATGCCGGTTGATGAGGCTTTCATGTTGGGTTCGTCATGAGGATCTATTCACAACAGTCAGGACACTGACTTGTTGGCCCCCGTGTCTATTTTTCAAACCATCAGACTTTGAACCCACCCTGTGACTCTGCGTTGGGTGCCCCTGCACTAGTGGAGTGTATTCGGAGTGGTACTGACCTATGAGTCGTGGAATCGTCCGGATATCACGTACTGGCTCATTTCCACGCTTTGATAGCTCAATTCTCCTTTTTGCTTAGTGCGCACTACGTCGGAGGTCGGCATCTTCCCCAGGGGGCAAAGATGGATGGCCCCCAGCTGGCGCTTGATGTATTTTAGTCACTTATCCCCCGAGGTGTAGCATTTTTCTTTCGACCATCAACACTCTCATTTTGAGCTCTTTGGGAAATTTCCCAAGCAGATATTTGTCTGCGTCCTCTCGTTGTTCGCGAGCTAACCTGTCACTCCTTCTATCAGGTTAATTATCGATTTGTGTTGCATCTAATTATTGCATATAATTACCACATTCATTTTTAGCCATGATGTTCAAGTCTTTTGCCGCCGTGTCGGCCCTCTCACTCTTTGCATCCTCTGCTGCTGCTGTCGATCCCAGCCTGAAGAATAATGTTGCCCTCTACTATGGACAAGGTTACAACCAACAACGACTCAAGCATTTCTGTGAACAGTCCACGTCGGATATCATCAACATCGGGTTTATCAATAAGTTCCCCCAATACCAGGGCGACTACCCCGGTTCCAACTTTGCCAACCAGTGTGATGGCGCCTTTTTCCCCGGTACGGAGCTGCTCAGTGGCTGCCACCAGATCTGGCAGGATATCCCTAGTTGCAAGGCTGCTGGCAAGACAGTCCTGCTCTCTATCGGTGGTGGTAGTGCCACAACCCAGTCTCTCCCTGATGATGCTACCGGTGAATGGTTTGCGGATTTCCTGTGGTACTCCTTCGGCCCTTATAATTCGGCGATTTCTTCATTGGGTTGGGAAGAGAGCATGCTTGGTCAGCTCTACCCTCGCCCATTCCTCACTGCCGCAGTTGATGGATTCGATTTTGATATCGAGTACAATGGCGGAGTTGGTATGTTTCCCTGACCCTTTGACTTCCTGACTGTACTCTCCCTAACAAGCTAATCCAGGATACGCTGCCATGATCAACCGTCTGCGTGAGCATTTCAGCACGGACACCACACAAACCTACTACATCTCCGGTGCTCCCCAGTGCCCCATTCCCGATGCTCAGCTCAGTGATGCTATTGCCAGGTCGAGCTTCGATTTCCTCTGGGTTCAGTTTTACAACACCGAAGGTTGCTCTGCTGCGAACTGGGTTAACGGCACCGGCAATTTCAACTTCGATGACTGGGTCGGTGTGATCGAGAACAGCGCCAACACCGATACTAAGCTCTTTATCGGTCTTCCCGCATCTGAGGATGCCGCTAACCCTGGATTCTACCTGACCCCTGATCAGGTACAGCCCCTTGTTAAGACTTACATGGACAAGCACCCCAAGCAGTTCGGTGGTGTCATGCTCTGGGAGGCCACCGCAGGTGACAACAACCTCATCGACGGAACACCATACACTGAGCACATTCAGGATATCCTGTATGATTGCGCCCCTCGCGCTGTCTCGTCTTCCACTGTTTCATCTTCTACTGTCCCGCCCTCCACCACTTCCACCTCTGTTGCCTCTACCACCTCTGTTGCCTCTACCACCTCTGTTGCCTCTACCACCTCTGTTGCCTCTACCACCTCTGTTGCCTCTACCACCTCTGTTGCCTCTACCACCTCTGTTGCCTCTACCACCTCTGTTGCCTCTACCACCTCTGTTGCCTCTACCACCTCTGTTGCCTCTACCACCTCTGTTGCCTCTACCACCTCTGTTGCCTCTACCACCTCTGTTGCCTCTACCACCTCTGTTGCCTCTACCACCTCTGTTGCCTCTACCACCTCTGTTGCCTCTACCACCTCTGTTGCCTCTACCACCTCTGTTGCCTCTACCACCTCTGTTGCCTCTACCACCTCTGTTGCCTCTACCACCTCTGTTGCCTCTACCACCTCTGTTGCCTCTACCACCTCTGTTGCCTCTACCACCTCTGTTGCCTCTACCACCTCCGTGGCTTCTTCCACCTCCGTGGCTTCTTCCAGCTCCGTGGCCTCTTCCAGCTCCGTGGCCTCTTCCAGCTCCGTGGCCTCTTCCAGCTCCGTGGCTTCTTCCAGCTCCGTGGCCTCTTCCACCTCCGTGGCCTCTTCCAGCTCCGTGGCCTCTTCCAGCTCCGTGGCTTCTTCCACCTCCGTGGCTTCTTCCACCTCCGTGGCGTCTTCCACCTCCGTGGCGTCTTCCACCTCCGTGGCCTCTTCCAGCTCTGTCGCCTCTACCACCTCCGTGGCTTCTTCCACCTCGGTTGCTTCTTCGAGCTCTGTCGCGTCTTCCAGCTCCGTGGCCTCCTCGATCAGTGCTTCTTCCAGCGCCCCTGCTACCTCCGGCGAGTCTTCCTCTTCAAGCATCCCTAGCAGCTCTGTAACACCTGTGGCTTCAGCTTCATCGGGACACCCCACTCCTCACAGCTCGCACGCCCACGGCCACGGCCATGGTCATGGACATGGACATGGCTCCCACACCCACACCCACGCCCATACCCACACCCACACTGTTCCCAGCTCCACTCCTGTGGTCTCGGGTCACTCTTCCAGCACTGCTTCTGTCTCTTCTGCAACTGAGTCTGGCGCCTCTTCCACTAGCGGAGCTGTCATCCCGACTGGTGTCCCATCTTCCAGCGACGAGACTACTGGAAGCTCTAAGCCTACTGGTGACAACACTACCGGGGGTTCCAAGCCTACCGGCGTCGAGACTACCGGTGCCTCCAAGCCTACAGGCGACAACACCACTGGCGGTTCCAAGCCTACCGGGGTCGAGACTACCGGTGCCTCCAAGCCTACAGGCGACAACACCACTGGCGGTTCCAAGCCTACCGGTGACGAGACTACCGGCGCCTCTAAGCCCACTGGCGACAATACTACTGGAGGTTCCAAGCCTACCGGCAGTGAGACCACCACAGCCCCCGCTGGTATCACCGCCGCTCCCTCCGTGACTGGCTCGGCTTCCTCTTTGGCTCCGGGTACCACCACAACTATCATCGTGACCTCCTACGTTGATATTTGCCCAACTGGCTTCACCACCATCACCACCACCATTACCAAGACTTGGTGCCCCGGTAACACGGCCACTGCTACCCCAACTGGCGCTGCCGACATCACTGCTCCTGCTTCTGGCCCTGCTTCTTCTACTGCCTCCATCCCCGAAGGCTGGACTACGACTGTGACTGTCTGCACTCACTGCGCTGCTACCCCGACTACCGTGACCCTCACCAAGCCCGCTACCACTGCCACCACCACTGAGGTCGTGTCGCAGCCCACTGCCCCTTCGGTCCCTGAGGGCTACACCACCACTGAGACTTTCTGCAAGCACTGTGGTCCCACCGGTAGCACCGTCACCCTCACCATCCCGGCTCCCACTGCCACTGCCAAGGTTCCTGGTGCTAGCTCCGGCTCCGGCTCCTCTGGAAATGGTGAGAGCTCTAGCTCTGGCTCTACCCCGGGCTCCGGCTCTAGCTCCGGCTCCTCTGGAAATGGCTCTGGCTCTACCGGCGAGGTCACAGTGCCTGGTGTCGCTCCTGTGGTGCCCTCTTCTTCCGCCAAGCCCATTCCCAGCAATGGAGTTGGAGCCTTCCACGCCGGCAGACCCTCGTCAAGCATCGTCTACCACCCCTCCCCCTCGCGCACTGCTGTGCCCACCGTCGCAACCACCGCAACCACCGCGACTATCGCAACCACCGCGACAAACGCACCCGCAGCATCCACCGGCAACTCCGAGGGTGTGTCCCCAGTCTACACTGGCGCAGCGTCGCGTGCCAACGTGACCGGCTTCTTCGGTGGCGTCCTCGCCGTCGCTCTTTCCATGTTCATGATGCTGTGAAGCTGCCCACTTGCTTGGACAGCATGATCTCATCATCTACGCGATATGATTGATCTCACGATGCTGATCTCAAGAAGAACTGGTAATTACTAGCGACTGGTTGCTTTTATCTTCATTACGATATTTTGTTTATATATTCTTTTTCATCCGATCTCCAATCTCTGGAGTGATTCAATACCTCTTGGCCTCTTTTTGTGATTTACTCTGGCCAGTAGTGGCGAGACCATCGCATCTTCGAATGGAAGTTTTGCGAGCGGTCGAGTCCTTTTTTCTCTCAATCTCCTAATGATATCCATTTTAAGGTGTCGCTGTCGAGTCTGCCTCATTTTCATATACTTTTGTTCGTTTTACTATTTACAATAGACAGATGCTCTTTGTATAAAAATACCATATTACCTTTTATTTATTTACAGTCCTATAATGTCAGATGTATGTTCCTTCTATTGTAGATCGTAGATATTATTGATTATTTTATGCCAAGCAAAATACTGTAATGACAGCTTTCTAGCGCGATCATAGTATGATGTGCATAATTTCCCCGCATTTTGATATCCACGGACCTCGGATGCGGAGAAGTATTAAACGGCAACTTTCGAACACTTTGGAACTTCATTGTTCTCTGAATGAAATATACAAAATGTCACCATTGAAAGGAATCAAAGTCATTGAGCTAGCAGGGCTAGCTCCAGGTACGCAAACAATCCAAGAAACACCATGATCTCGTCACCACAACTAACAATCACCCCAGGCCCATTCGCAGGCCTCCTCCTAGCCGACTACGGTGCTTCAGTCCTCCGTATAGACCGACCCAGATCCATAAGCGGCGACCAACTGACTCGCAACAAAACCTCCATAACCCTCGACCTACGCGACCAAACCTCCCTAAGCATCCTCTTACGTCTCCTCACAACAGCCGACGTTCTAATCGACCCTTTTCGCCCAGGCGTGCTCGAACGCCTCGGCCTCTCCCCAACAGAAGTTCTCCTAAAGCACAACCCGCGCTTAATCATCGCCCGCATGACTGGCTTCCGCCGCGACGGAAAATACAAAGATATGGCCGGCCACGACATAAACTACATCGCCGTCTCAGGCGTGCTGTCGATGCTCGGCCGTGCAGCAGAAAAGCCCCACGCTCCAGCCAACATCCTCGGGGACTTTGCTGGTGGCGGCGCTGTATGTTTCCAGGGAATCCTGCTAGCGCTTATATCCCGCTCCCATACTGGTCATGGCCAGGTCGTTGAAGCTAACATGGTCGATGGCTCCGCATATCTTGCTACGTTCCCGCGACTTGGGAGGAATACTCCTGCGTGGGCGAAGCCACGTGGCGAGAATCTGCTTGATGGGGGATGCCCGTATTACGATACGTACGAGACTAAGGATGCCGGGCGGTATTATGCGGTCGGGGCTCTAGAGCCGCAGTTTTATGCAGCGTTGGTGCGTGGGTTGGGATTTGACATTAAGGATCTTCCGAAGAGGGAGGATCGGACGCAGTGGCCAGCGTTGAGGGAGATCTTTACGAGGAGGTTTAAGCAGAAGACGCGTGTGGAGTGGGAGGCTATTTTTGATGGCACGGATGCTTGTGCTACGCCTGTTTTGGAGCAGGCGGAGCTTGAGGAGGATGGGTATGAGCAGCGGCCTATGGTGCATTTGGTTAGTACTCCCGCGGCGCCGATTCCGGCGGATAAGGGTGGATGGTCGGGTGGCGGGCTTTTGCCTGGGGATGGGGGTGTTGATACGCTTAGTGAGTGGGTTGGATGGGACCAAGGTAAGGATTTCGAGATTAGGGGGGATGGGGCGTTTGTGGTGGTGGATGGGAAGTCAAAGATTTGAGGTCTTTGATATGGTGATATATGGAAGACCTTTATATTCTGTCTATACTAGTCAAATATCTATGTTCAAACTGATTTAGACTATGTAACGCACTCTAGCTAGGCGGGTATCTGTCATTACAAGAAACACTTCCGGTTCCCCTTCACCCAAGATTCCTAACACATCACCGACATTGAACTTCATAAATACTAACGCCGGGTTTCAACCAGCATGGATTATCATTACCATTAGCACGGAACGCAAACACCAGCCTAGATATACAGGCCGTAGCCAACAACAGCATGCAAAGAAACAAGAACAAGAGAAGTCCACACGGGCGACAAAGCAGCACCGCCATTACTAGTGGGACTACTATTGCTCTTCGGGGTACCACTCTTCTTCGCAGTAGCTGTGGTGCTGGAAGGCGTGGAAGTCGATCCACTGAAAGCTGGCTCGGGTTCCGACGGCAAGTTGTAATATTTGCGAATAATGTCGCTCGCTTGCTCAGCCACGCCGTATGTCGAGGACATCAAGTGCGTGGACAAAGCGATGGGGATGACACTGGCATCTGCAATGCGCACATTGGAAAGGCCGTATACGAGCAGATTGGCGTCGACCACGCCGCCCTGATTCTGGGGCAGCATTGCGCATGACGAAGACGGGTGGAACTCTGTGCCGCCGTTCTTGCGTAGCCATGCTACCCAGTCGTCGTCACTCTGGACGCTTGTCCCCGGGGATGTTTCGTTTGTGAGGCTTTTGCTCATTGGGCTGGTTTCGCCGATTTGGCGGGCGAGTTTGATACCTGCGAGGAGGATCTCGTAGTCTAAAGTGGTGTCAGTGTTGGGAGCTTTGGTTTGCGCCTTGCTTGGTTGGAGGGGTACACACCAGCTGGGTTGTTCAGGTAGTTCGGGTCGATGACAGGGTAGTCCATTGGGTTTGACGAGTTGATGTAGATACGGCCGTGGCTGAATGGGTGTTGGAGGGCAGCTGTGATGCCAATATCGCCATTCCCATCGCTGTTCATGAACAGGAGCTCGATTTGACCAGTCGAGCCGTTGAAAATCTTCGATGTTGTGTTACAGATTGCTTTGTAGCCGGTGACCACGCCGTCGTCATAAGTCGTGTTCGGTGCATACTGATCGATTGAAGCGATGAATTTCGAGTCATATTCATCGACTTTGCTGCCGTACATAGCGGTGGAATTCACGTAGGCAACGGCCGAATCGATGTAAGTGAGGAATTTGGGATTGTTCTGCGGGAATTAGTATACCGTATCGCCTTGTTTGATGGAGGATACACAAGACGCACCTTATCTTTGCCGTTGTCGTAAAAGATGGAACCTGCAGTGTCCACATTCGAGCTCCATTTCACTGTGGCACTCTGTGCAACCAAGTCAGTTACATGCTCATCTTATGAATAGTAAGCGCACTCACAAAATGGTCTTGAAGGTGTTGACCGACACCAGGAAGTTCAGATACAAGGTCAACACCAGCCTTGGATAGGACATCCTTGGGGCCGACACCACTGTAGAGCAATACAGCCGGGCTGCCGATAGTGCCACCAGCTAGGATGACTTCCTTGTTAACCTTAACCTTCAGTTTCGTTGAACCGCTGTCAGTTGTGTATTCAACAGCATTTGCTGTTTTCTTGCCGGAAGATGTAGAATTGCCGAAAACAAGCCGGGTCACATGCGCATTTGCCAATACATCGTAGTTGCCCTGGTCTGCAAGCGGATCGAGATAACCGGAACGACTGTATGACCGCGTCCAATTTGAAGGGTTGATGCAAGAGGTCGAGACGTCAGCGCCCAAGTTTTCACCTCCGTACATATTGGGAGAAATGGGAATGCCCATGCTCTGCAGTGACTTTAACCAATTGCCCACTTCGGGGAATGTGCTAGGAATGCGTTAGCCTTATCGGTCAATTCCAGAGAACAGGAATGAGCATACTAGTCTGGGTATGTTGTATGGATCGGCCCGCTGGTGCCATGATATGATGCATTCCAGACGAGCCCCGCCTCATCAATCACATCTTGATCAGTTGGAGCACTGAAATTCTCGCTTTTTTTCATAGCAGCGTAGAATGAGTCCCACGACCAGTTATCGGCACCGTCCATATCTCCCAGCATGTCTTTCCAGGCGTTAATCTCATCTTTACCGGGACGGGTCATGTACAACCCATTGATGGCGGAACTGCCTATATCACTGTGTTAATATCCCGTTGCTTGTTCTTCGGAATATGACGCCTATACACACCTCCAAGGACCTTGCCACGGGGCCATTCAATCTCGCGGTCGTTTGCATTAGGTTGAGCAACAGTATAGAAATCCCAATTCAAAGGCGTTGTCCATAAAGAATCGAAATAAGAATATGCCGGTGTATCTGTACGAGCATTAGAGATGTCGCATGACCCCGCGGAATCGAACAATGGAACGCACCTATGCGCTTGCGATACTCGTCTCCGTCTCCGCCCGACTCAAGAACAAGTACAGTGTGGTTCTTATCCTCCGAAAGACGAGCGCCCAACACGAGTCCAGCTTGACCTCCTCCAACAATCACAAAATCATAAGCATCGTCGATTTTCGTGCGCGGTGATAATGCGCTCGCAAATTGGTTCGCAACTAGGCTTGCGCCTACGATCTGGGTAACGGATAGTCCTGGTCGCATTGTGAGGGTGTGCGACGCAGATTGTCGAGAGGTGGTGGAAGGGTGGATCTCATATATAAAAAGTCCATCGCAGTAAACAGGCTCAAAGCTGTGGAGCAAGACCTTTGAAAACCTTGTTATGAGCTTTGGCGATTCTCAATTTTACGCACGATGATCCCAGATAAGCACATCCTGAAGCCTCAATCGCGTTAGATGAGTGGGTCCATCCTAGGCTTCTACAAATGAGATCTTGGTTCCGCTTGCTCCACATGTTTTTTTCCAATAAATCAACTTTGTTTTCTTGGAACAGGTCTTTCTACCCGTCCTCGTTCCATGTTTCTTATCGCGTGTTCCTGGAATATTCAAGACAATCAGAATTTTTTCTTACAATTGTACCATGTATTGTCTCTAATCCACATATATTCAGTGGTTCCAAGCCCAATATCACTAAGTGTGTACGATTGCATTACCGCAGACAACACATCACTTTTCTGATGCTATGGCTGATGACAGCATGGTTGCTATGCACCAACCAAAGGCATAGAGCCAATAATTGACCGGAATTATCTCCACTAACAAAGTGCGCATGAAGGGTGGGTCTCAGAAAATATTCTGATAGGCTGCCGGCTAGATGATCGTAATTATAATGCAGCCAGTAGCCAGCCACGATAAAGGGCTGTACCTAAAAAGCTAGAACAAAGACCCGTAAAAGTGTCTGGATTTCTATGGGCGGGAAGTGAAACATCCATATGACGAAACAGGGACCGATCGATTCTGATCGCACATTATTGCACGCTGTCCATTGATAGTGATCATGTAATATTGACTCAGAATGATCTCAGATAGTGGAGGTGTTAGGGTTATGCTCGTCAGCTGCAATTTATTTATGTTCGGCCGATCTAACCAGGTCCCGCTCTGAGGAGCCACCTCGGCAAAATTATACAATTTTGCGATGAGCTTGCTTGGTTCGATCCATTTGGAAGAGACTATTGATTTCCAAGGGATTGTGGTAAAACTATCGAAGTCATATATTATTGGTCGCGCAAAATTTTCAATCCCATCAATTCCTTAATTCAATGTTGTTCCTGGTTACATAGAAAAGTCGTCTTCACCATTCAAGCCTTTTCCACCCTATATTCTACCTACAACACCGATAAGGGGAAAAATATCCATAGAAAAAGACAGTTTAGAAGAATATCTGAGAAGACATCTCCAAAGACTAATAAAAAAGACGTCACGAGGTCGCGTAAGTGGCCGACTACTATCCTATGATATACGTTGTAACCCCAAGTTCATAATACATTGACTCATCCCACATGCCGGGTGTTGATGAAAGGATTCGTGGCGTCTTGGATGAGTGGCAATTGCCTCGTAGGGTATCCTTTCAGCCACTTGATCGTTAAGGAGACGCCACAGTCCTGCGCCCTTGTGATATCAAAGATACTAGCATATCGGCGATGTCCGTCCAGCCATCAAGACTAACTTGATAGGGTACAACACGCCATCTCCCTTCGCTGTTCAATCGAGAAAAGTAAAACCAGCGACCGTCAGAAAGGACACCCCGGTCGGTGCTATCTGATTTTTCTTCGGCCATCTGGTTGGCCTGAACCATTGCCATATATACTAAAAGCTGCCCTAGGTGGTCCCGGTTGGCCTCTAGTGCTACCAAACAAGCCATCTGATCCCGCTCAACAAAGAACATACCGTGGTCCGCTGTTACTATACACTTGTGTGGCTTGTTGCGGTAGGTAGTTTGTCCCCATCCAAGCAAAAGCCCAAGTTGGCGAGTTACCTTTGGACCACCGTGCAAAAACCTACGAGTCTTCAGATTCTCGCAGATTATGGAAAGTAGGGTATCTATTGACCAATGCGACCGAGCTTCGGTGGGCTTTATGGGGCTTGTTCCCTCCTTAAACGTATTAGGCCAGGTTTCTATGGATACTCGTTAGTTTTTATGAAGCGTAATATATGATGTCTCAGGTGCCGAAATTGCCATGTCTCGTAGTCGCAAGCTTCGGGAAGACCAAAAGGCTCGTTGATATCGGTTGGAGCTATATCCGCTGCTGCGACCTCGGGGAGTTCAGTTTCAATACGATGGTCATTGATGAATTCTTTTAGTTCGTTCGTACGGGCATCGCGCGGTTCTGTTAGCTTATAGAGTCGGTCCCACCAGCTTTCCTAAGCCTTCAGCTGTTAGATAGCGCCGGAATTTTGATATGAACTAAAAGATGAGAATTCTTCATTTTTAGTTCAAGTAACCAGAAGTCGATAATTTGACTTCTACCCAGGGAAATGCATTGGCCGAAGCCCAAATAGGATAATAGCTCTAGATAGATAAGTATGAGGTCATATGGAATTTTTATACAAAGAGGAAGAGGACACCTCCATGTATTATAACAAAGAATAGTTAGGCAGCTTCTCATGCGTCGTTGCCCTTTTTTAGTAGTCTTCTTACATGCATTTTCAAAGGTTGATTTTCAGATATTTTCCCCCTTGTCAATGTTGTATCTGAAAGGATAGGAAGAACTAGCCGCAAAATATCCATAAATGGGATAGTAGACAAGCAAACAGAAGTTCAATTCGAAGATGCGATAGTCTCATTGCTACTAACCATAGGCCGAGAGAGAGAGAAAGGTATGAAATCAATCCAGCGACTGAAGACCCCAGACAAGAAAATCCAACAGACACAATAGGAAGAAAAAGAAATGAAACCTGTCACTAGCAGACAAATTCTTCATCACAGAGGCATAGTACCTGGGGTTGTTGCAAATGCCTCTTCCAATATTTTCAAGCCACTAACCAGCTGGTCCTCGGTAATAGTAATCGGCGGGGCGATACGAAAGGCGCCACCAAAGCTAGGATGGCTACTGAGATTGGCCCACAACCCTAGATCGTAAGCCCGATCCCCGATTGCCTTGCCCAAAGCCAGCGCAGGGGTCTTGGTCTCGCGATCCTCAACAATCTCAACCCCTGCCATAAGTCCGCGCCCACGAACATCGCCGATGCAGCCATACTTTTCCTTTAGTGTATTAAGCCGGCCATGGAGTACCTTACCCATAGCACGAGAGTGCTCAACCAGCCCATCACGCACCACAATCTCAAGCACTTTATCACCCACAGCAGCAGGCAGTGGATCATTAACATGGGTCGTGTAGAAGCAGAAATCCCGCTCGACGCACACACGCTCGATTTCAGCACTCGTAACGACAGCGCTGAGGGGCAAGCCATTGCCTAGGGTCTTGCTAAGAGTGAGGATATCAGGAACGACACCTTCGTGGTTGAAAGCCATAAGATCGCCGCACCGGCCCACGCCCGTCTGCGCTTCGTCGACGATCAAGAGCATTCCGCGCTTTTCGCACTCCCGTTTTAAAGCCGCGAGGTAGCCTGGCGGTAGGACGTGCATGCCCGCCGATGACTGGATACACTCCACGATGCAAGCCGCCAGCGATCCGCACGATTGCATATCGATCATGCGCCAGCCGTACTCCATCTCGGTTTCCCAGTCGTAGGAACCGTCTGCGCGACGGAAGATAGAGCGATATGCGTTCGGCGATGGGAGCATCAGCATCCCTGGCATCAGGGGGCCTTGGCCTTTGCGACCGAAGTGGTATTGTGCGCCTAGTGCTTGGGCTGTCACGCCATGCCAGCTACCCCCTAGTCCGACGATTTCGAACTTTCCGGTGTATACCTTGGCCATCTTTATCGCTGCTTCGTTGCTCTCGCCACCGGTGGAGAGGAAAAAGGCTTTGTCAAGACCGATTGGTAGAAGATTACAGAGACGTTCGCCTAGACTGATCACTGGGGGTGATACCATTCCTGAGAAGAGGTGGTCTAAGGAGGCTGCATGGTCGGTGATTGTCTGCACGATTTCTGGGTGTCCGTGGCCAAGCAGGCAGGACATTTGGCCGGATGTGAAGTCTAGCACTTTGTGTCCGGAGGCTGTATACACGTAGAGCCCCCTGCTGCCACAGATCACGTCTTTGTTGAATTTGGTGCCGTAGTTGAGCAGGTACTTTGATGTTTTAGCCTGAAGTTCTTCTTGGTTGACATCGCTATACAAGATAGGATTGTCATCACTCTTTGGGGGCATGCTTGCGACTGTGGATTCTTCTGTGGTGATTCCGGGGGCCATGTTGAGAGCTGTTGATGATGAGTAGGATGATTATGACCGAGTACTTATATTCTCTTTCCGAGTAGGAGCCACGGCCCCTTACGTCTGTTATCGGGTTTGTTTCTTTGCCCCCCTTCCCCTCATTAATGGGCCTTACAGCGGGGGGTAGATCATGTACTTTTTTCACTTTGTTATCTTTGCCGCGGAGCCGCGGCCAACAGACATCCTCGCGCGCTGCAACCAAAGTCTCGACTCCAACCAAATAATTGAAAAGACATTGCTCTGCTGGGAACTCCCAAAAACCCAGTTTTCAATGAAACATTGACACATGGGTAAATATCTCTTGAACTGAGGTTCTTGTTGTATCCAATTGATATCTATATATTGAATGAAGAGCGTCATCAGCATACTTTGACAAGAATATCATACATTTCGAGGATGCTTAATAACAGTGCCTGCATCCTAATTTGCCTGGATTTTCTATAGATTCCATTGTTATATATGACGTGTCAGCGCTGTTGAAGCCCTCACACCTTCTAGTCAATGGCGTAAAGTATCCAAAGAGTATAGCATATCAATCATAATTTTGAATCCATATCCGCCTCGTAGTAAAAAAGGAAAACATTAGAAACCATCCGTGTGCTCCCTAACCCGACGCTCGATTTCACGGCCAATGCGCATCGCTTCATGGCGGCACTTGCGCGAAATAATGAGGAAGAAGGCAATAAAGTTGCCATATACTTGCCCTGTACTAGGGTCAAGAACTTCCTCACCGTCCTCCATGAGATTGGCACATCTAACAACGTGGGAACCAACCTGCTCTTCTTGACCGACGACTTGCGGATCTGATCGCAACACTGTTGCGCAAATATCGCCAAATCTGTAGACACCTCCCTTCTGAGCTGAGACAAACAGCAGCTGCATGTGGTATTGGGGCCCGCTCAGGAAAGGTTTGGACAAGGACACAATGCGCTCTTTATCGGCCAAGGCGTTCAAAAGGGAGATACTGTAGTAGGATACACCGTATGTACGTGCAGTAGCTTCAACTTCTTGCCAGCCTGGTGCACGGGGATTAATTTCAATAAGGAAGACGTCCTTTGGCTGCGTTGTTGTGGTAGACGGTGTTTTGGGCTGCAGGTCGACAAGTCCGTCCGTGTCAGAATCCATCTTGGCATAGTGGCAGCTTGAGTTGCGCAATTTGGCCTCGATATGCAACATGGCATTTTGGAAACCAGCAGCCAAGGCAAGCTCATGCAATCTTTGCTGAACCGACTGAAGCTCATGTGGAGGAAGAGATGATGGTAGCATGTTTGACGTCTCAACGAAGTTTTGTACGCGGGCACCGCTTTCGTTGTTCTCGTAGTCTCCAGCACTGGGAAAGTCGTCATTGACCTCGAAGAAGACAACCTTGCCATCAACAAGGACCATATTTGCGTCAACTTCGGGGCCCTCAACGTACGTCTCAATGACAACTTCATCGCCGTGCCAGGCGGTAAAAGACTGCCGCCATAGCAAAGGTACCTTTTCTCGCAGTTCCTGCTCGTTGCCAACCTTCCAGACACCCTCAGAGGACCAGCCCTTGGAAGGTTTGACGATAAGAGGATAGGAAATCTGCAGTCCATCCTCGGAGAGCATCCTCTCTACATCTTCGGGAGATCGAACGAGTCGGCAGAAGACGTTTGTATCAAGCTGTCGTGTTTTGAATTTGTTTTGGGCCAACCCTACAGACTCTGGAGGCGAGGTATTGAAGCCCAGCTCTGTGGCTGCGTGCGCTATGATGGTATGAAGGTGCTCGTCGACACTTAGGATGCCATCAATCCGTTTCTCTTCCGTGCCATTTTGGTATCCCTTTAACGCCGCTACAATGCGGTCGGCCATTCCCATTGTTACAGTCATTTCCAGCGGCACGAATCCTTCGCGGAGATGGCTATATGCGTCATCAGACAGCCAGTGACCAGAATCATCAAACACGACCATTGCTATATTCAGTGAGGCAGCCGCCAACAAGTAGCCTTGTACCTTAGCCAAGGAACCGGCTCCAACGAGCGCTAGACGCTTTCGAGGTATGTGGCTTGGTGAGAGCCAAGAGAAGGACAGGCGCTCAACTAGTTGGTCATTGATTGCCTCGGACTTAGTTGTAACAGAAGACGAGCCGTCATTTTGCACCATAATTGCTCCGTAGCAGTACGAAAGCAAGCTCGAAAGGGTCATACCATGATACGTCTCGATAGTGTAGCCAGTGATGTGCTGTCCTGGGGTGACAAAGCCTTGGACTTTGATCACATCTAGACAGTCGATCATGCGCCGATCAAGAAAGTCAGATTGGACTACATATCCAGACTGCAAGGGTAGCAGCAGTTTGACTAAGCCGTTACCCTTTGGGAAGTGATCCCGTAGAAACTGTAGAGCTTCACATGGAGAACAACCTTTAGTCGAGCCATTGGTGGAATCGTCGGATGTACCGTTGGGGTATATATTTATGACTGCAGTGCTTGTCTCCTCTGGTAAATTGTTGAGTTTCCATGCCCATGTCACATCATTCGAGTCTGTTCAATTCGCCAGGTTAGCAATTTAAAAGATTCAAATGGCTTGAGACTGTTACCCATTTCTGGCATTTGTTCTGTTTCCTTTCGATTCCGGTAAGAAAATACCTCAACCTTTAGCCGTGAACACGTTCTGCTTTTAAGTTCAACGAAAATGGCATTTCTAGGTAGATATGCCAGCCGTTCAGACCTAAAAGCGCTAGAGGGAGAGGTGACTCATTTGATGATATTTAGCTAGGTGCTTATACCCCTGTAAACCCAGTCAGATCTCCTAGTTACTCCGAGACACTAATGTAGTCATCACACTAATGCGGTCCCCAATACTGCTAATCCCAAGGAGGGAATATTGCTATTGATATGGCGGATGAATTAGTACACCAGTTTTCGTTCGCTACAACCAGGTATTCGTTGAAACCGGGCTTTACTGTAGGGCCCCGTCAAACTAACCTTGTTCTGTGCATCGGAAGGCCGACGGCCAGGAAGTCAAGCTCCACCTAGTGCCATATAATCCATGCTTGCGAGTGCAGGGGTCAAGGGGCGGCTGAGCTTTTCGGTACAGCGAGCCAATCATTAACAGATCCTGCGGCTATCTATGAATCAAATAATCAAACATGTCAGCCTCAGGATGATCTTTTGTCAGCGGCGTATGCCAATCCTATAACTACATACAAGTTAGTTGAACTTCTTCCAAAACTATCTCAAGATTAAGCTGAGTACTTATATAGCCCATTGACCTACATATTACCTTCTTAAACTGCTTGTTTTATACCATACAAGTATAAACCTCGTCTATATTTCCAGAACCCATAATTCATCCCAAGAATCCCCCTAGACCTGTCTCTGGGTGTTACAATTGAAGAGAAAGGCATGATTATTAGCACTACTCTCTTAATGCCACATTCTAGGAGCTTACTGTCGACAGAGGAGGCATTTTTATTATCTGAAAATAGCCAACTAAGCACAAATAAAGCGACTGAAAATGTCCACATGATGCATTCCCCGCCGTCTATACTAACCTTAGAATTGCACCGTATACAGAGGATGTGTATGGTGGCCAAAGCGTTATAAAGTAAGTCCATGCATACTTTCTTTCACTCCATAATTTGTAGTATATCCCAAGTACTCGGAAACATATCATCGACAAAAGCCATATCCGGTACAAAGGGCTGACGCAGTTCGACATCCGTCTCCCCCGACTTCTCAACCGGTGGCTCTGATCTCAACAGCTTGTCAATGACATCGGAATGTTGCGCGAGACAAATATCACCCAGATCCCACCCAAAGTTCTTGTGGTGCGATCGCAACGAATCCAAAAGGTCACTCGCCATTCGCAGAGAACCACTTTGCGCAAGACCAGCTGCCTGTTCTGTCTCTAGTGCACACCGAATCAAAAACGTCACCGTTGCTGAAAATGTGAATGCCACGACAGGTAGCCAGTAGTCACCCAACTGTGCTTCTCCGAGTTCCTGGACTAGAACCACAATGTCCTCCGCGGTCCTACGGGCCTCCATAACCCGATTAGCCATGTGCTCTACATTGGAGTCTGTTGCTTGCCGCTCGCGATCTAGGTCGATGCGCCGGAGGAGGAGTCTTGTCGCTAGATATGCTAGACGCAGGTTGGAGGCGCCGGGGATGTTTAGGTTTGAGCCGCGGATGATGATCTTGCGAATGTCTCCTGTGAGCGAGTCCACCCATTTGTTCAACTCTAGTTCCAAATTCCTGGTTGGTCCTTGGGTCTCGGTGCGGATGCTGTACACTTGCTCCAGACAGTGGTCTAACACGTCGGTCAAGTTCATGAGTTCGATGAACACCGCGTTTGCTTCGTGATCTCGTTCCCAATCTGATAGGTACTCGGATATTGGGAGCGGTACGTCGTATTGTGATCTTCTGATATGGGGAGGTGTCCCATAAGCAAGACTTGACCTGTTCGATGATGAGTTCCTAAAATGGCTTATTGTCTAGAAGGTTGGCGCTCGAAAACATACCAGCGATCCAGGAGTAAGATAGACCACCAGATCTTCATTCTTAAATGCTTTTCCTCCCGTGGAATATCCCACGGGAGTGGGTTTCGATTCAGACCCAGGGAGTGGCACAACGCAACAGCCGAACCAAGTCTCACGCCGTTACCTGTCATAGATGTGGTTGGACGGCCCCCAACATCCAGGAGAATGGCCTTTATTGTGGATATTCCAGCTGACGCGTGTAACTCAGAACACGAGGCTTCAATGGCAAGATTCCAGACAAAACGAACATCTGGGCATCTTTCCCGTGATAGAAGGGGGTCATGTTGCCATTGAGTAAGCACGTGGGCATACAGGCACGCCAAAAGTGCAGGAGAAATGCGATGCCTGGCATTTGTGTATTGCGCCCGAAAAGAGCTTTCTTCAAGTAGTGGGAGGCAAGGATTGATCTTTTTCAGATATCTAATTGATACAGTTAGTGTCCAAAACTTTTGTCAAATACTGATATAAATCAAGTGTGACCCACATGTCTATCAGATGCGGCCCCCATGGCTCTACAAGCTTTTCAATAGTCTGTAGCTTATGCAATGCGGGACTGGAGTTGACCATGAGCCCGAGCGGCCTTTTTTGCACTTTCGTGAATATAACTGGGGACGAGGAACTACCTGGCTCAACGGGACGAATTTCACGAATTCCCTGACCACCCGAAATGTTAGACAGATAGTCAGCCAAGATATGATTATCCCCCGTCACTGCCGGACCGAGGATATGGGGGTTATCATCGTCGGCCTCAAGAGATAGCGGTGTATCCTGGTCGTTCTGAGCCTGTGTAACAATGGAGAACTGCGGCGAAGCGGCTACCACAGGCGGTTGACTCAGTGAGTGGCCGCCCGCGATTGGCGTTCGTAAAGTCGGATGTGGTAGTAGTGGCCCTGTCTCCGTAGAATACCTCTTTTGTGGTGTTGACTTTGGTCTCGCGTTAGGAAATGTGCAATCTGTGCCGTGCGCACGACACATCAGACACGCCGCGGTGTGGGGCTCCAGTTTACATCGTGATTTCCTCCGCCGGCACGGTACACATGCTGGCTTCGTGTGAGACCGATATGGTCGTTCGTCTCCACTTTCCATCTTGTTTGTTAATGCTTCTCGGATATAGGGAGATTCCCGCGGCGTGTTCCCCTCGGCGAAGCCTTGAAGTGATGTGTGTGTGTGTCGAAATCGACTTCTGTCCTGTTCCTAGGATAGGAAAGAGCAGTGAGTAAAAATCAGGCTCTCCCTAACTAGATAAATTGTCTTATGTGATTTATCAACCTTCAATTCGCCCGTATCCGACAGTCTGTTGCAAAATCAGTCGTTGCAGCAGGGAAATTCCGCGGGGAAGAGTGGGTCCTGTTGTAAGTGGTCCGTGGACTTCCCGAGATCAAACCCGTGGACTAGATCATTGCTTAGGTGAACTTAAGAGTTGTATTTCTAGGTTTTTATATGTCTAACTGCTGATATAATATATACTCAAGGTGAGATATAATTTAGCAATATGTAGGATTAAATAGAAGAATACCTAAATTCGGCATTCGTCGTTGGTCAGTTTCGTACTTGCGACGTGGGGCTGTGGGGCCTGACACGTGATTCCAGATAGAGTAGGACCAATCATACATCACAAAAAGACCCCCCACCGTATAACCTCAATATTGGACGTGGAAGCAAAAAAAAAATAGGTAGCTTCTCTTTGATTAAACGTGTCATCCTTAGTGCAGGGGCCATGCTAATCTTCTCTGTATATTTTCAGTTGACCATATGCCCCGAAGGGCGAAAGATCTATTCGTTCAGTGCATTATAACTTCACTTTTTGGCAGAATTATACCGCCTACCATATTGGTCGAGTTTGCTTGTTCGCAACATCTTCATGCCTTTAATTCATCCTAGGCTACGCAGCTACAAGGATTTGACTATTTTGAGTTTGCTTGTTGCAATGACCAGAGGTCACTGAGCTGTTTAGGTGCATACCTCGATGTGCCTAGGAGGTCACCATGAGTGAACGTGCCTTGCGCATCTAGAGGATGCTCTGGAAGGTTCAGAATGTGTCCACAAGCCAGCTTAAGACAAATCTAGCCCAACTTTCTCCCGACTTTGATGCTGCTGCAATTATCGCGGCTAGTGCAACTTAATTCAAGAGTCAACGGTAGTCCAGGTAGAAGCTCGCGAAACTATCTAATGCCCATACAATGAATATTTTTGCTAAAGCCACAAAACTTATTTCTCCTTGTCCCGTATAACAAAGAAAAGGATGGGGGAATAACAAATATGAAGAATGGCCCTGAGATGGGGGCCCGTGCGATATGTACATTTCCAGTACGGAGTAGTATGGTCCAACAAACCGTCGGACAACAGACCTTGGTCCCATAGATAATCATCCAGGATGTTACGTGCCTCATTAGGAGGTTGATTTTGCCCTTACACTGCACCAACTAGGCTGTTGTCTAGAGAATATCTTCACTTCATATACATACCCCATCGGCACCACGTGACCCTAACCTGCACTGGTATGAATTACAGCAAGTTGCACTTCCGAATTTATAAACACTATATTGCGTGCGTATTCTCCACATGTTCGACATCTAATCTGACAAGCGAAAATACTATAGAGAAACAAGTAGCCGATTGGACTCGAACAAAACGACTAGGATATGGCGTTTTGACGCAATCGAGGCCGAGTATGAGCTCAACGGGATATATAGGATGGAGCAAATCTACTTCTATTTTACCCGAATTGCAGGCCTTTTATTTATTTGAAATACCC